TAAACTTAAGAAAGTGCTTCCACGAACCAAGGACCCTGTCTGCCTGCTTTCATCAAATTTCTAATTGATCCATATTCGGAGAGGGTTTGATCTGCAACCCAACCACGTAGCTAGAGACCAAAAAGGACTGCAAATATTTATGAATTTATTTCTACCAAAGCATGTCTGGACCAATTTATAGCCGCCCATGAGAAAAAGATGATCATGAAAAAGGACTGCAACTTTCTTTTTTTTGGATACAGTCCACAGATCAAGTTCTTGGCCAATTGCAGCTTGTATATGTTTTCTAGATATTGGAAATCAATTAGGAATATGGGTCAATTCAATTCTAACCCAAAAATTTTAACTGTTACTTTGTTTGCAGCAGATAATTTTCTTCTTGATCCTTGACCCACCACTAATAATAATATTATCCTAATTGATTTTCTCCAAAATTCAAGGTTTTGGAGATTCGTCTGTCCGTTAATGGGTAGATTTCTTGTGTCTCGTTGAGATTTGTATAGATCGGTGATGATTGTTAATAGTGATCGGTGGTCAGATCATCGCACTGTTTCTGATTTCCCTCAGTGTGGGTTGACCAGTTTTCTTCTCCTTTACTGGCTTTGCTCTGGTTGGCCTTCTTTTTTCTTTATATGTTTTAAAAGAAATAATATTTTATCTTTCCAAAAAGAAAAATAATAAGAGTCAAATGGACAGGTCAGAGATATATTTTGGAAAGTGTTTGACGAGCAACATAGAGCCAGCCTGACTGTATCAAAAAATTTAGCACCTTTTTCTGAAGAGAGAGGGAGAGAGAGAAATGACAACGTTCAATTAGGAGGGTATATATGTATATAGTCAATTCTACTAGGAGAATTGCAATTAGCTTACAACAACAGTGCCTGCATCATGCTTTCAAGCATGTGAGCATCTTTTGGTGCCAATAAGTCACTTCTTATTTTGACTGCTGTCTGAAAAGTCATTGCAGAAAATAAGCAACTTATTGTACCAGAATGTCAATTATAATTACAATTCGCAGAAGAAGATGAGGTTGTTTGAGTTAGAAAAGACTAATTCGCAAATTACGTACAACATAGAAAAGCCCCAATTAAAAGCACCAAAAGATGAAGAAGATTGAGCAGTAGATGCGAAGAAGAAAGCCAGATAGGGATACATAATCAAGAAAAAGTCGCGCATAGAAAAAAGAAGATGCAGTGAAGCTAGAAGATGAAGAAGCGTGTATCCCTTCTCCTTTATTTATTTATTTATTTTTATTTTATAAAATAAAGGAGCGTTTGAGTAAGACAAATAGTATGATTAGGGAGGGATAAGATTATTGATTATGAGTGTTGTTAGAATAATCTAAAGGCTGTTTTATAAAAAAGACCTTACTTGACCTCGTTTTTAGGACATTAGTTGAGTGGTATTAGTATACATAGACTGTTCTTCTCCTATGCGGACGTTTGGACGTTATTACGGTGTAGACACTATTGTAAATAAAGAGCAAAGCAAGAAGTGGTATAAAAAAAATACATGACGTCCACACGGTAATAACATCTAAACGTCTATATATGAGAAAATATGTATATATATATATATAGAATGTAGGTTGAGACCTGCATGCTATAATGTTGCATAACAGTAGCAGAAACCCAGATAAATAATTTGAACTGGAATTTGATTAGTTTTTGGACAATAATGTTGCATAGAGTGTCTGACCTGCTTTCCCCTAATATACATTGTCCAATTCACTTTAACCCCACACACCACAGCCACAGGTACATTATTTTTCACTTCCCACCATCTGTACATGAAAGTGACAAATATATATGGATGGATCTTACCTATATGGATTTTCGAATGATCATCATCAGCTGTACATGATACCATGCATGAAGCATGCGGCCCCTCCAAACATACATCTATTAAATTTGACTTCCAACATATAATATATATATATTAACTAATAAAGAAAAATAATTTCCAGCCCAATGTACATTGTTTAGTATATGTATATGTAGTAGCAAACAGTGAGTTTAGAACGAGAGCCCCAATTTGACGATTATTTGGATTTAGCTTATCACAAGTGTAAAGGACATGTATCTCAAATAGTTAAAACGATTTGCTCATTCATTCGATATCATCTTCTCGATTTTCGAGTTCCTCTTCCAATATCATTTTGTATTTAAAAATAACAATAACAAAACCTATATGTAATCCAGTATGTCCACCTCTTCTTACCGTCTGATCTAATGCATTCAAATAAGTAAGGAAGAAACTCGTTCCTGAAGTTTGGCTAACCATGTCACATGCCCGTAATATATTTATTGGATAGGTTAATTGAAAAATCCAACTGAAATACTTTATTTTCTTCCTAATTGGATCCCCAATATAATTAACGGGACCCTTTTAAGAGCACTTTCACCGCAGAGTCTAGTCTGGCAAAAGCACCAACCCCCCCTCCCCCCTTTCAAGTTGAAGAAACCTACTCCACCGCACAAATCTAGCTCGGGCAGATGGTGGGCTCCACGAAGACTGGGCAGGTCCGAAGGCAAGAATAACCCGAGTTGTTGCCTGAGGGCGTTGACGTTAGTGAAGAAATTTTTTTTGAAAAATTACCCAAAAATTTAGAATCTTTTTTTTATACATACATAGCAAAATTTTTTTATTTATTAATCTCATACATAAAATTAAAATTAATCCCATGTGAATAGTAATTGCCATTGAGTTGCCGTGATAATGGGTGGAAAAGTTTTTTTTACTTAAAAAGTTGCTAGGACAGGACTATTCACATGAATAGTATCTGTCCTTACTTGTTCTTACTCTTTGCCATAGCATGATGAGTGAAAGTGTTCTAACTTCTGATACTTGATCTATTCAAATATTTATCCCTCATAAAAAATAAAAAATAAAAATCTAATTATACAGGGGAGAACAATGACATTGATGGTTTCAGTGGAGAGCCGTCGGTGGTGTAGAAGAAGTAGAGAGATATTATTGGACCTCTGGCGGAGGTGGTGGATAAGGCAATCTAAATATATATAGCATACAGATAAAAGGTGGGGTTTGGATTGGAAATACTCCTTTTTTATTTATTGATTTTCACTTCTTTCTTTCCTTTTCCTTATTTATACTTTATCAAATAACCATCTTTCTTTAAGCTGACGTTGATATGGTTGGCTTTGCCGTATGTTTAAGAAAGATACTGTGGCAATCTATAAATGTTAGCTTAAAGAAATGAGGTCACGTTTGTTCATTTGAGTCAGTAACTTGATAGTTGGATGAAATTTTCTACTTCTTCTTCAAATAAAATAAAAAACAAATCAGATAATGATCTTTCCTTTTTCATCAAAGTATATATATTACCGTCTTTAATTTTTTTTATTTCTTTTGTGACACTTTTGTAAATTTATAAAGAAAACAAAAAAATTGTTACTTCTTTCTTTCAAGTTCTTTTTAATAATCTTACCACTGAGTTATGGACCCATTGACAAACCTCCGTAATTCATAACATCTTTTTAAAAAATACTATGAACAAAATTAGAGATACAATCAAAATACCTACAAGAACCCAAAATGTACATGGCTCGAGATGGATTGATATACTTGAATAACTTAAATAAATTTATCTGGACATTCATGTATTTAGAGTTTAAGAATTGAGTGTTTCAATTCAAACTTAGAGTTTAGTATTTAGAATTTATTTAAATGAAAATCTGAAACGATGGAATTTTCTAGACATACACAAGAGGATCAACAAAGGATCTAATATAGCGCCATGGTGTACTACTTCTTTTAAAACATTCTAATATGAGGAATATTTGCCCAAATACATTATATTACGGGTAATTACAAAACTAATAACTAATTAATGAGCATGACCTACATAAGTACATGTTTATTCTCCATACTTTCTTCACTTGCACAAAATCTTATGTGTTTCTCTATACTAATGTTATCGTTTGTACTAAAAAAAAAGAGGTTATCGCTTCATGTATATCCATGGAAAAATAAAAATAAAAATCTTTTACACATGTGATCTTTTATCTTACGAAACACCATACTAATAAATTAATTTATTATTTTAGACATTTAATCATTTACTTCCACAATTTTATAATTTTGGGGCCTATGCAGATAAAGGGAGTGAGCTATATTTCCCTTGTTTTTTGTGACAACAAAATTGTATTTTTTTTCATATAATTTCGGGGAAAAATAAGAAAATATCAAATTTTGTAGAAAACGACACTGTTCTTCTGTAGCCGCCGGGAACTAAATTCCTCATTCAAAATCAATTTACGCGTACTTTTCTTGGCCTTTATAGTTTCAAATTTCAGCCGTCCAATTTCCCCTAGGTCAAGTCAGATCCAGTATCACCCGTACACGTGTACCCCTCAACGGGACCCTCAACCCTTTCTGGACTCTAATTAGCGCCAAATTCCACTCGTGTCGCTTTCCCAGAACGAAACCTAAGCCATCCCGAATCCAACGGCGGTCTTCATCTCCTCACTCTTCTATCCAATCTCAACCGTTTGACCAATATTTCAATCTAGACCGTTGGATCACCAATCACTATCATCTAGCCCTCCATTATTTAGGAAATTCAATTTCAAAAAAACATCGAGAGGGAGAGAAAGAGAAAAAGAAAACCAAAAGCGAGAGCTGCTCTATCTTCTTCCCCAAATCTTCCGGTTCGGTTCAGTCTCTACCGCTTTCTGATCCAATTCGAGATTACAGTAGCTTCAAATTAAGCTATTTCAACAATTTTTACACCATTTTTTTAAAATTATATTTTTCAAAATAGTATGGTTGCATTTCTAGTAATGGAAATCGCCGCCAAATCACCGTCGCTGTGTAACCGTCTCCGATGACGACTTGAGCTCCGAAACGCCATCGTTTCGTTGTTACCAATGGCGTGCAAAGTGCAATTATTTCTCACGATTTTGAGCATTTGTTTCGGAAATTAAATGTGGATTTCGAGGCTGATTGTGCATGTTTGCGTTTGAATTTATTGGTGATTAATGGAGCAGAGCGAAACGGTCTCCCAAATTGCACCGAAGAAATTGGCGAGGCAATTGGATTTCACGACGGTGTGTCGAGCGTCGGCAAACGCAGCGTTGCCGGAGGTGCAGCTACAGCTACAGCTACAGGCACCGTCGCAGGCGCAGCTGTCACAAAACTCACCGGCAACATCGCACGTGCATTTGCAGTTACAGTCGCCACCGCCGCCGCCGGTAGCGCAGTCACCGAAACAGCTAACGCCGCCACCGGCGATTCCACAGTTTCTGGCTCGGCCGAGTCCCGCGCCGGCGGCGAACTCTCGGATTCAGCACCCGGTGCACAAGCTTTCGATCTCGACATCGCAAGCGAGGTAATTTTTATGCAATTTCAGTTGAACTTTTGAACTAAGCTTTATGTTGTTGTTGTGGTAGGAAAATTGTACTAAATAGGTATGGTGTGTTTGAATGGCAAATGTGGTTGCTTAGGGAGTGTGTATTTTACATTTATGAGCCAGTACGCTAATTTTCAGATATACTGGTATTATTCATGCACATTCATAACTTAACCGAAAAAAGGAGTGAAAATCAACTATCTTAATCATAGAGAAGTGACAGCAATGCTTTTGACATTTTATTTGATGTTCTTATTAGGCCTGTATGATTTAATGCCCAAGCTTGTCTATCTTTTTCTAATAAGCATATGTTCAAGCCGAGACGGATTTTGTATCACTAATGTCCGGCATTTGTGTTGATAATCTTTGATAACACGTCGATATATTTTGCTATTGACATGTTTTCTATTGTGTTATCAACACCATATTGACAGTCCAGACGTCCTGCAGAGAGAAGAACTGTGTTTAAGCCCCTAGATTATGATATCTGTTGTATTATGTTCTTCTTGACCTTTGTATGCATGTGTTTCTCCTCAGTAAACAAGAGTCTCCTATATCACGGCAACGTGGCGATGGAAAAGATGGCACTCCTAAGAAGCAGAAGCAATGTAATTGTAAAAACTCTCGGTGCCTGAAGTTGTAAGGACATCTTTACTTCCTCCTCTTTATAAGTTTTAGCACCAGAGGGCTCCAATTTATGAATTTTTTGGGATCTTGTGAATGTGAACTTAAATACCTGACAACTCCTTGTGTATGATTTCTTGACTTAAAATGTTACAGATATTCACACTTTTCGTCCTGAACGCTTCTGCTCACCTTTGCATATCTTGTCAACTCTGTTTTGGATGTAGAGTTTCTACTAGCATATTTATCCAAGTGATAGTGTCGTTTTAGTATCTTAATTTGTGTAAATATTTTAGATTATGACTAAGTATGTGGCACATCATCTCTTCTGTTTCTCCCACATTCTTTTTACTACCTAGAGTCAAAATTTGATCATTTTGTAGGTACTGTGAGTGCTTCGCAGCTGGAATTTATTGTGAAGGCTGCAACTGCTCGAATTGTCACAATAATGTGGACAATGAAGCTGCTAGGCAGGAGGCAGTTGGATTAATTTTAGAACGTAATCCAAATGCTTTCAGACCAAAAATTGCTAGCAGCCCACAAGAATCTCGTGATGGTAGGGTATGTAATCTGATTCATTTAAAACTTCATCTGTGCCCTTGCATTTACTAATTCTTATACTTAATTCATTCTAGTATACAGAGAAGCAGGAACAAGGAGAGGTGCAAGCATAGTATATACTTAATATCTTTTAGTAGACTTGTTAGTGTTTTTGGGTTAAGCATATTGCCTTTGGAAATTCAGCTCAGCGTGCATTAATAATTTCTTAGAAAAAATTCAGGAAGATGCTGGTGAAATTCAAGCACCTGGAAAGCACAATAAAGGATGTCATTGCAGGAAATCAGGGTGCCTCAAGAAATATTGTGAGTGCTTCCAAGCCAATATTCTATGCTCTGAAAATTGTAAATGCATGGGCTGCAAGAACTTTGAAGGAAGTGAAGAAAGAAGAGCTCTCCATCATGAAGACCACAATACCGTGGCCTACATGCAGCAGGCTAATGCAGCCATCAGTGGGGCCATTGGATCCTCTGGTTATGGGACCCCTCTGGTGTCCAGAAAAAGAAAGAGCTACGAACTCTATTTTGGCACTACAAATCAAACAACTCATCCGATTAAACAACCTCAACAGGTACATTTTTCTTCAATTACTCAACAGTTAATTTAAACTTTCAATTGGTTTGACTATGGAATGTGCACTTGTGTGTTAGGCCTATCTTGATAAATTGCTCGTGTCAGGCTTAAAAGATTCCTGTATTGCCTTAATACTTGAATTGCCATAAACGCTCCTTTTCTAGCTCATGAAGGCTATGATCATTATTATACAAAAAAAAGATTTATTGAATAGTACAATCCCTTAAAGATTAAATTTGGATTCAGTTCGTTATTTTTTCTTCCTTGAATTTTCGTTCCCTCTATTTCTCAAGCTAGCAGGCATCGTAGTAACTTATTTAATTGACTTAAAACAGGAAAATCATCTAAGACCTCCTATGGCCTCTTCTTCTCTGTCATCTGTTCCAAATTGTCGCACTGCTAATGCAGCAGCATCAAGATCTTCAAAATCCACATACAGGTGTCTTAATTTTCTTAACATAGTTATATTGAAACTTTTTCTTTATTTTTCCTTGAAAATATAATAATCTTTGCGTTTCATGACTGAAGATCTCCATTGGCGGATATTATCCAATCAAAGAACATAAAGGATTTGTGCTCACGTCTGGTTGTAGTTTCAGGAGCTGCTGCAGAGGCACTTGCAGGTTTTGGTTATTACAGAAGTCAATTAAATTTCTCTTTTCTCTTGCACCTTATTTCACTGTTAAGTTTTTAGCTCTCTCTCTTTTTCTTTATTTAAGGCATTTTAAGGGACATTATAAGCTAGAACCCCACAGGCTTCGGAAGTATGTGGATTTACAATTGGGTTGTCACCAAGTGACAAATTTTTAGCTAATTAGTTTACTGAAACGGCTATATTTTATTTAAGGCATGTAACTCTATTTTGTTTATTTTCAACTAGAACTGCCTTACTTTTGTTTTTAAAGGAAAATAGCAATAGGCTGTTTTTAAAGTGTCTAGCAAGTAACTCATGGTCATTGACCCAAATCAAGTATATTCTGTTCTCTTGTATTTTCATTGTGCCATTTCCCCTTGGACTTCCATTTCTTTCAGATTAATTAATAGATTTCTGATTTCATTTTGATTTCCCTGTGGAGTTAAACTTACCATTTAGCTGGTACCCAAAGCAATATGTATAAGCATTTAAACGATCTCTTTTTTCACTGATCTTAGCATGTTAATAATTCCCACTTGAGTTGCTAGAGTGGCAGTTAGATATTTTTGTCTTTTAAATATGTGATTCGGTTTTGAATTTGCTAATTTAACATGTACAGGAAATAGGCGCAGAGAGACAATTGATGATTCTAGTACCAATTTATCCACTCAAGAGGGGAAAGAATGTAAAAAGGAACATGATATTCAAAATTCCGTGCATGATGACCATTTAGGAGTGAACGAAGCAGATAGAGATGAGAGCAGCTATTCTGGATTAAATGGAGGTGATGTGCAAAATAGCAGGCCAATGTCCCCTGGAACACTTGCCCTGATGTGTGATGAACAAGATAAGATGTTTATGGCAGCTGGATTGCCAAATGGTGTGGGAAGCAGTAGTCCAAGCATGACTCAGAACTCAACTCAGGAAATAGGATGCACAGAGGTTTATGCGGAACAGGAAAGGCTTGTACTGACCGGGTTCAGGGATTTCCTTAACCATCTTATTACTCGAGGGAGCATAAAAGGTGAGCTTCTTCAAGTTCCGGTTCTAATCTCATAGTTGTCAAAAACTAATGTTTGAGAGAGAAGGGGGGTTGGTGGTTCTTAATTACAAAAGATTCGTCCTAAGCAAAATGTCTGTTAAAATTTTGTATGAAAACATGGAAAGCATTGTGATAACTTGGATGATCTTCTGTTGCTATAATACGTGGACTGTAGTTCTCGAATGAATCTTTATTTTTAGTCATGATATGAAAGGGATTCTGTTTTTTTGAATTCCCCACATCCACATCAAATCCAGTAATCGAATTTTCCCATAATGTCTGTTTCTGTTTCTTCTTTTCCTTGTAAGATTTCTGCACAGCTAAGCCCCATAATTTTCAATTTGAAATGTTATAATGACCCCATACCAAAACTTATTGTGACCCGTCTTTCTAGATCTATCAAAAATTTAGATACGGTGATAGGGAATCCTGGGGACCGAAATGCTATTTTGCGACTTTGATTGATTTTCTGTGCAATTCATCCATCCAGTTAGCCTAACAAGAAAGAGTCCTTTGTCTTTCACTTTGCAGAAACAATGTGTTCTCCCCAAGCCAAAAGAGAGAGGGTAAGCCAAAAAGAACCTGTTCAGGGTGGAACTGCAAAACCTAGCCCTGAACCCAGGTGCCAGAAAGAGGCATACAGCAACGGCATTGCAAAATCTCCTGTTTCTGCAAACGGTAAAATGCTTCAGCTGGTAACGACTCTTCATCCGGTAGCAACGGTCACTTCTGGTGACAATGATCTGTCTCTAAAGGTCGGATTGCCCATTGAAAAATAGTACCGGGAAATAAAATCAAATATTGAGAGAGTTGTAACTTAGGATAGAAGTAGTTAAAATGCTTACCACCATGCCTCTTTTGAGGCATCTTGGTATGATTTCCTGCCACATCAGTTGATCTTAGGTCTTCTTGCACTAAGAAACATCATTGAGAGAAACTAATAAGAGCTAGACCCTTTTTCTCCTAGCATAAATTAATTCTCGAAATAGTTTTTCTTTTGAATTTTCTTATGCATTATGTGCTGCCTCAGATAAAGTGAATATTTATGTTTTACAGTTAATTTAAAATTTGCTTAATTTATAGTGTTCTGTTGTAACGTGTCCATGAAGGCACATTTCCAAAAAGTCCATGAAAGCGCACTTCGAAAAAGCCAAGCCAATCCCATGCCAAGAGTGGTGGAGCTTCCTTGCATCTTCCTTCATTGGTCTTTTCATTTCTGATCGAAGTCTGAATGTTGCTTCCTACTACTTTCGTTTTTCTGGTTGAGTTTGATTCAAACAAATTTGTTTCCATTATGATTGAACAACACAATGAGACAAACACCTGAACCCGATCCTTAAAGATGACCCCCTGAATAGAATACCAAAAGTTTTCTGTTTGGTTGCTCGGAAATTTCAGTAAAAGGATGTAATATGTGCTTCACCGGTTATTCTCTGAACACGAGGTGTTGAGAAAATCTCATTTCTACTTTGTTTTAGGGTATAAAATTGCCATTTAGAGCTTAAACTTTAGTATTCTAATCTCGGTTTGATTAATCGCTTTGATTTCATGTTTTAAGTCTCAGCCAAAGATTAAAAAGTTAAAGCCTATCTATAATCAAAGCTCCAAATGGTCATTGTATACCTTAAACAATCAACTATATCCATAAATAAATGAGATCAAAATTGAATAAAATTAAGTAAAAATGAGGTGTTCACCTCGTTCTCTAAATGGTCACCTGTTCGAATCCCAGGAAAAGTGCCCCCTCCCCAATCGCCGTAATTTGAAGAAAAAAAATGTTTTGACAAGACAACAACAACAACAAAAAAAAAAAAAAAAAAAAAAAAAAAAAAAAGTAGGTTTCAGTCTTATCCAACAAAATCATTATCCAATAAAATATTTCCCAAGCTTAATTCTTAAACGAAAATTAATGTGAGGCTAACTCATGCACATGTTTATCCAAAATTAAGCAACAAAAAAAAACTTTTTACGCAAGCAAACCACTCCAACCTCATCTGCTTATATTTTCTCAGGCGCCAAACAGTCGGTAAAGAAAAAGCTCAACCCACCCTGTGCCAATAGGATCAAACCATCGTCATCCAAAAAGGCCCTCATAATTTGTATTTATTACTTTATCGTGCCATTGTATGGAAAACACATCATCATCATGCATCGCTCTCTCCTTAATGCTCACCAACAACCTCTGAGCTTCACTCTCGCATCCAGCAACTCCAATTCGCCAAGCACCGTACTCTCACACGTGGCACAAACTTGTCCACGATCGCTACACACCTCTGCCCCAAAACTGTCCTATAAATACCGGTCATCGTCCCAGACCAGAAGCGTATCCGATTCCACTGAGACTGCAATGAGCCCAGCAATGGAGGAAGCTCTCGACGACGCCCAGAAGCTTCGGGATGAGTTCCTGAAAGTCCTGCGTAGCAGACGATCGGGCGAAGGTGAGTGAATTTTGAAACTTTCTGAAACTTTCTTGCTTTTCCTGTTTGGTTACTGAGAAAGTTTGGGAAAACAGAGGAAAAGGCTGAATTGCTTTCTTTCAGTATAGCACTGCTCACCCATTTCGTTCTAAGGCTGCCGAGTGTTATGTAAATTAACCATAGTTAAGCTATTAGAGATTAATTAATTATAATTAATTATGTCTTAGTGAGGAGAGAGAAAGAGTATTTTAACTTTTTTATAAATAAAAAAAACAATTTTCTGCAGTAACCAAAATTACCCCACCGTACTCTTCCTCTTCCACCGTTCCACAAAGTGGGAAGCCATGGCAGCTACGTTGTTATCCTTGAGTAACACAATCACTGATGCGTACCAAAATACTCCATTACAAAAAAGTAATGTGGTTGGTTTCTATAATAAAGTCTTTGCTTTTGTCTGTCTCCTCATTATGAGTAATTATTAATTTTTAAAAGCTACCCATCATATGGTTGATTTATATAAGTCGTGACAGCATGGTGCTGCACCATAACCATTGGTGGTGAGCAAAAAATGAACTCTTTTGTTTATGCATACTTTGACTTGACTGTGTGGGTGACGATGGATGGATGTTTGAATTCTTTCAGTTCCGTTATCGGTTGAACCGGCAAAACCAGTGGCTCATCCATTGTTTCAGGAGGCTTCTCCGCCAACTTTCAGTGAGGTTCAAATCTGACTACAATGTTGTACATTTTTATGTTGGAAGTTGGAACTTGAAAGTTGATTGTGTTGTTGGTTATTATATTTACCAGGCAATGAACGCTTGTCCCAAGGCCAACATCCCCAATTTTAAGGATAAACTACACGAGGAAAACCTTTACTTAATTACTGAGGTAATTGGAGCTTTGAGCAACATATATATGGAGTTTGATATGGGCATAATGTTCTTAATATGGTCAATGACAGGAAGGAGAGCAAGGGCGGTTACCCGTGTGGATTTTAAGCATGAAGGAAAACAATACCCAGAAAAGGCCTGCTGTTGTTTTTCTGCACAGTACAAACAAAAACAAAGAGTGGTTAAGACCATTGCTTGAGGTACCTAATCCCCAATATTCAGTCTTTTTCGACTACAATTTGTTAGAATGAGGAATTTTCATTATTTGCTTTGTTTTTCGGGTTCTGTTTCAGGCATATGCTTCAAGGGGATATGTAGCAATTGCCATTGATTCTCGCTACCATGGTGAACGTGCCAGCAATATATCCACTTACCGAGATGTGTGTATATTTACACCTTTACTTTGCTTCAATTATGCAATCTTGGTCATGTCAAAGAAATAAGTATACAATTTTGGCCTATGAGTTGCTAAAAGCATGATCCAGATGCTATTTGATTGCATGTGATGTCACAGAAGTGAGGGCAAAAGTACTGTGACAAAATAATGCATCAGACAAGTACTTATTTTGAGAGTGTGAGTTAGGGTATTGGTGCTGAGTTTCACATGGTTTTCTCATGACAATGTGGACCAATCAAAGATCGAGTCTGGCTTCCTGATTTTATTCAAGTTAGTAAACACTCTTAAGCTATATGAACTTTATCCGTGATCAGGGGATCTAATTCACATGCAGGCTCTCATATCATCGTGGAAAAAGGGTGATACAATGCCATTCTTATTTGATACGGTAACTTCACTTATCTTCTTGTAAAATATGAGAATTGATAAGTTGAAATGTAGTTAATGAGATCAGTGGGTTTTGTTTATCTGATGATTTTGTTTCATAACAACATAAATTCCGTTATCGCAGACCTGGGACTTGATAAAATTGGCAGATTATCTAACACAGAGGGAGGATGTAGACCCTACTAGGATAGGAATCACTGGTGAATCACTTGGAGGTTTGTGAGACAAAACTTTATAAGGAGGGAACTTGAATATATATTACCTTTCCTGCTGAGCTCATCTTGTTATTTTGTTATGCAGGTATGCATGCATGGTTTGCTGCTGCTGCTGATACCCGCTATGCAGTAGTGGTCCCTATTATTGGTGTTCAGGTGGTGTGTCTAATTTCATTAATTATAATTTTACCCAGTGTGATTGGAATTAACATCCTAGGCAACTATGATTGCAGGGGTTTCGATGGGCCATAGACAATGATAAGTGGCAGGCTCGAGTTGACAGTATAAAACCTGTCTTTGAGGGTAAGATAAGTAGAAAAGTGAATTACATATTAGAACAAGGTGCTTTTGGTTCCACTCCAATGACTAGTTTCGCTCTTAGTTCCTTTCCAATAGTAGCTTTTTTTCCCACTCCATTTTGTTAATGTTCACTCTGCATATGATTATAGAGTAGTGGATTCAAAAGTCCTTTATATATGTATACGTATGTATGTTATTGGAAATAAAACAATGAAATTGTCTTTTGTTCTATTCATTTGAACCAAGACCTTCTCTTAGTGCTACCTTTGTTTTGGAGACAGTGTTGTTGTGTTTAATTCTCTGATTCTTTCATTTTCTTGGTTGTACTGCAGCAGCACGAATTGATCTCGGGAAGACTTCGATTGACAAAGAAGTTGTGGAGAAGGTTACTAGTAACATACTTGACTCTTCAGATATTTGTCTGGATAGTCTGATTTATACTTTTAGTATGATTATGTCCAAACTAGAAGGGTAATTGATTGTAAATATGAAGGGATGGCATCTTACAATGTTACTTATCTGACCAGGTCTGGGATAGGATTGCTCCTGGTCTAGCCTCCAAGTTTGATTCTCCTTACACAATTCCTGCTATTGCACCACGCCCTCTGTTGATTGTGAATGGTAAAAATAAAATCCTTTTCTACACTTCAACTACCAATAGTGCACGTATAGCATGCATGTGTGTGCCTATACATACCACTTATTTCCATATTGGCATGTCCAAATTCTAACACGGAGAACTATTATATTCTTAAATCTAGAGGCAATACATGACCCCTGAAACTTTCTTCTTTTTCTTCAATTGAATCATCGTGAAGATTGCCGTTTTGTTGGTTGTTGGTGATCATGTAACGTGTTTAATTGGAGTATCGTACAAATTTTTCGAAAAATAATAGGTGCAGAAGATCCTCGATGTCCACTTGCTGGTCTGGAAATCCCCAAGTCAAGAGCATGCAAGGCTTATGAAGATGCGCAGAGTATACATAACTTTAAGGTATTGGCCTAGCACCATGATAAAATTGCATTTAATGTCTCTGGTTCAGCAGGCAGAATTCTTCTATTTAAACAAGTTATCTATCAATCGGGGAACCCATGAATGTGGAAAGTATGATCACTATTATATCTTCTCTCGTACTTGCTTCTTTGGCATGTCTGGCATTTTTCCTTCTGGAGACTAAATCGATTTTATGTTTTAAATTGCCTTAAAATCCAGTTCATAGCAGAGCCGGGCATCGGCCACCAAATGACTGCGTTTATGGTAAAAGAAGCCAGCTACTGGTTTGACCAATTTCTCATGCCGTGACATGACGGTCGCGACTATTCTGTTGATTCTCGAGCGATCAAATTTCCCAGAGTTGTAAAGTTATGTGTCGCTCATTGCATCTGAAAATGTAAGAGTTGTTTTTATGTACTCGCTTATGTATGTATTGATTGGTACTAAATAAATCAAAAGAAAAATCCAAGAGTTGTATATGTATGGGCTTGCCCAATGAGGAGCAATGGTTGTACGTATTATTACAACAGCTTTCTAAAAGAAACGTGCTTGTCTCTACACAATTAATCATGATGTATAAATATCCCCAAAAAACATGTGTCAAGGTTTACATTATGTGCAAATTCATGCATAAAACACAAGACGTTCCAAACAAAGCTAGCACAAAAAACCCCTCCTAAAACTCAAGACAGAAACTACAGCACACCAGTTCAGCCTTTCTTGGGCATGGCGGCAAGCTTAGTGTACATTCTTGCCATGGAATAGTACCCCCTGAGATCGCCAGACCGCAAAAGATTGCCTGCGCACAAGCAAAACCAATCCATGAGGAATAACGGTTGCAGTACCTCAACTAAAAAGAACAAAGAGAAGAAAACTGACCGAATTTGGGATATTAACTCAAAAGTAGCACCGAGTTTAATCCAAATTTGTGAAAGGAAAGAATGAGACCTATGTGGTTTGTTTTGAAAAGATGCTTTTGTCACAGAAATTTTCATAGAATACATAGAATCGGGATTCCACATGAATTTCATCTCCTATGAAACAAATCCATCAATAAGGGCAAAACTGTCTTTGGGGTAATCCAGTCAGTGGCCTGAGAAGTGGCTACTAAAGACAACTCACAAACCACTGGGGATGGCAAAAAGAAACTGTTGTTGGGTTGCTTGATAGAGGTAAAAATTAATGCTGGACTGCTGTGATTTGGAATGTATCGCTCCACTCAAGTGGGCTGCTTAGCAGAAAAAGATTGGCTAGACTTTTAAGGGCTTGAGCATCCTCAGAATAAGGATAGCTTGTGGTTTTGAGAATATTTCTTAGCTTAATCATATTTGAGCTTCTAGCACTTAGATGTTCAATGTCAATGCCCAAATCCATAATATGCGTGCCAACTTACCTGAATCACAGTTCAGTGGGCTATCAGGCTCCGGATGTGCCATTAAAGCAATTATAGCCCTACAAACAGATTGGAGTGTCCAAGCAGGGCTCCATGCATTCTTCAAAATATCAAGGCAAATCTCTCCCGTCTGTAATAGAAAACAACATATAAAAACATGAAGTAAGACTTGATACGCATTTGTAGCACTACAGTGAGTGAACATATAGTTTCAACTTTCAATGCTAATTTTCATTTGGTGATGCAATCTGTCAGAGGGTAAACCCAGTACAACACATCAATTGACCGAATCAAATCTTTAGTATGTTTTGACAGACTATTCATTATCAATTTTAAGAAAAAAAGTTTTAAATGAATTTTGGAAACTCTTCTACCTAGGAAGAAAAAGTATGAAAAAGGTCAGGTAGTCTCAACTCAATAAATGATAGTACAAACAACTTTTACTCTTAAATATTGGTGTCAATGAACATCCCCATACTAATCCACCACTATTCCACATTGGACACGTTCACTCAGTTCCAATCTACAAAACTTTTCTAATTTCACAATTTCAACCAGACTCCTCAAATTTCCAGTGCTTCATGAGATCTTTGAATTAAGGAATTCAGGCAGCATCATATTCAGACAGATTAGACATTATCATACATAGCCTTCATACCTTGAAATGCACATTTGGATGGAAAATTTTTGTCAAGAACCTGACTTGTGGAGGTTGCAAAGGATACTGCTCAGGAACTGCAAAAGCAAGCTGGAATACACCGCCTTCAAATGGAGTCTCTGATGGTCCCTACACTCATAATTGGACAAATGTGGTCAAATAATATAACATGACAAGTAAGTTTTGTTTGTCTCAGGACTGAGCTTACCTTGATGAGAGCAGTCCATTTAAATATGTTTGAGTCATCACAAACTAACTGAATATCTGGATCAGCAACTTTCTCTCGCTGCACCTCTTTGTATTCCTTGAAAAGCCTTGCTCTTGATGCCTGCACAAATCTACTACTTCAAAATGGTTTCACCATGAGATTAAGAAATATATAAATATATATATATATATATGTGTGTGTGTGCATCATATCAATTCAAGATCAGAAACAGGGTGGATACTGTATAATGGAAATACCTGCTAGTCATTAAAGTTTACAATGCTCACTGCCATAAATGGCATCAGTCTTTTCTAAAAGTAATGGTTGTATTTCATGATTTCTTCTTCAGAGTGCGGTATACGTTACAATTCCTCACTATGCAATGCAACACAATACAAGTCATTAAACCTCACCATACACCGTTCCAGGAGGCTTCACTGTCTACTTCCTCCCCAAATTCCATCTCTAAGATCTATAGCAGCTACAGTTCACAACACAAACCCTGTTTTCTTTTCCTCACACCCACATCCATTCTCCCTCCATTTCTCACCTTGTTACCCTTTTGCCTCATGTTTCAATAGTCCTCCCTCTATCCCAAGTCATCTTAAGCCATAAGGGAGAGTTTCACCACACTTTAACATATTAAACTTTAAATGTATTTTATTTTAAACTACTAATAATTTGTTAACTTGGGACCATCATATGCATATATGCTCTAAAGCTAAACAGAAATTGTATAAGCACCCACAAAAAACCCAAAAACCATAAAATAAAATAAAAGCAATCTAATATATTTTAGCTAACCTGCATATTAGCGGTTGCTTGGAAACTTAAATACAATACTGCACCGCAAAGCCCACTATCTGAGTAGAGTCAGAACCTTTTTTACACGCACAAAATCAACAGCAAATAATCAAACAAATGCACTTGCGAATATGAACTTTCACTCTCAGAATGCCAATTTCAGTTGATTGGGAGTTCAGTTCCACCAACGCATCCAAATCAAAACCTCTGAAAAACCGAATCAATACGAACTGCTTGAGGTGTGCAAAGGAACACAGTTTCGAAATTCAGAGATAAAACCGTCATTTCATCAGGTGCATAAAATTCAAAACAACAAACGTTTCTATTTTTCCATAAATTCATGGAAGTATTATTCAAACAATCGATTGAAATCGCAGAAGCTTACCTTTAAGGATGAGAAATTGCAGAGCGACTTTGATTGATCAGGAGAATTGAAGATCGATTATCGATTTCTTCACAAGGGGGGTATGAATTGGATTTGTTATATGGTGCGGGAAAGAGCATATGGAAGGGGAACATTCGCGCCAATCATGAGGCGCCACGTTTTCTTTCACATTATTTGTCACCAAATTGGTTTTTTTCTCTTCTTTTAGTTTTTTTTTTTCTCAGTCACATGACATGGGTATCAAACCTGCTGAGATGCCTAATCGGCCGATTCAAATTGTAATGGGCGACTCGGTTCGGTTTTCATCATCAGAAAAGTCAAATGGTCCCAAAAAACATAACGAAACCGTACTTATTTAGTTCGGTTGCAATTTTGTCTACCATATATCGTTCTAAACTAAAACCAAACTGTTCACTTTTTATTTGGCAAAAGGAGAATCGAATTTGAGATTTTTTTTAATTTTGAGAAGAATAAATAACACTAAACTAAGAGCCGGTTGGCTGACAAAGAAGGTTCTATTGGTTATTGATGGCACTCCTCTTTTGGCATCATGATTTTAAAGTGAATATCTTCTATTTTATAATGTCTCTCTAAAGATTAGATAAGTAAAGTGACATGAAGAAACTAAAGTAAGGAGTTTGTAATTTATTAAAAGCATTTACTTCTACATCCGAAGTTCTAGATTTAATTTCCCTTCCTTAATATCTCTTGTATAAAAAATTAATAATAATAAAAAGAGACGCAAGACACACCATCGTTCGTTTTTGTGACTTCAATTTATAACAGTAGACTTCATTCTTTCTTGTGCATTCCTGCTCCCTCCCCATAGAAAAGAAGATTACAAGTGTATGGAAGCATTGAAATTTGATTGTAAAAGAAAGAATAAACGTTTATTCTCCTGAAAATTTCTAATTAATATACGATGATCACAAGCCAAGAAGCAACAACTTGTAGGTAAAATATTGTGGTATAAAAACACGGCACAAAACTAAAAATGACAAACGAGTCTTTGAGTCTTGAACTACAATTTACGGCCACCTAAGAATAAAATGCAAGTCAAGAAAGTGCACAAAAACGAAGAGAAAGCAAATCTCATAAATTCAATCTAAATCACATGGAGGTCTCCCATTTTTATCGGGTTTTTTTCTACAAAGAATGTACATGATCCCAATGCCATACAAGCACAAACCCAGATATGGAGCCAACAGCTCAACGAAAAAATTATATATATTGAGAAACGACCAAAGATGAAAGAAAAAAAACAGAGGAGAAGAAAGAAGGAAAAAAATTTAAGTTGGTCAAAATAAAGAAAAGTAAAAAGACAGGAAACCAATAATAACTTCAGACGCTACCGGCTGCACCAGAGGTGGGTTTAGTTGGCTTGAGTTTTGCAAAGTCAACAAGGTCTCCAAATAGCTTGTCCTCCGGCCTGGATGGCTTGCTGGGCGTAACATAAGATGGAGCGGAAACCTGGTATGAGTTTTTCATACCATTATCATCTCTAACAGAAAGACCATACATTTGCTGCTGAAGGGCATATGCTTGTTGTTGTTGCTGAAGGGCATACTGTTGCTGTTGCTGTTGCTGAAGTGCATACGCTTGTTGATGTTGCTGTTGCTGAAGGGCATACACTTGATGCTGCTGTTGCTGTTGCTGATCGTAGCCATAGGGGACCATTTGATTACCATACATTTGTTGAGGATACATAGATGTCATCTGGCCCGCTTGAATGGCCTGCGGAGTCATACCCGTATATGGCCCTTGGACTGGTTGAGCAGGCAAACCCAAATGACTGCTTGGACCAACCTGGTTGTTGATTGCTGACAAATGGGTGGTCGTAATTGGCTGGATGTACATACCTACTACCTGGTCACTCCCTGTCGGTTGAGGTCCCTGGGGATTGAAACCACCCTGCCCATGTGTGACAACCACTTTGGTAGTAACTTGCACTGGTGGTTGAGGGTAGCGAGGACCTGCGACTGGGATACCATCATCTGTTGACTGAGCTTCCCAGGGAGGTGGTGGTAATGATCCACTAGTTGGTGAACCTGCCCAACCATGTGAAATGTTAGAGGCTACAATATTCTAAGAGCATAAAACGCATAAACATTCTCTATGGTTAATGCAATCACCAATAGCAAGAACATCACTTGCACTAGTCAAGAGAAATTGAAAGACTAATAAAATGACTAGGCCAAAAGAACGGATAAAGAAATCAAAACACAGTGATGTGTCATGCCATGATTGCATCTTCTTATACGCAAAAGCATGTAAATGCAATGTGAGACTGAAAAGCTTATTGAAAAGTGCACCGTAGCCTGGTGAAGGTGGCTGCTGCGACTGCACAATCTGACCATTCCAGGCAGGACCAGCACCTTGTGTGTACTGTGCCTGTGCCTGTTCATACTGAGGGGCCCCCCATGTTCGGGGCACTTCCATTTGGGTAAAAACCTCCTTGTGAAGCTTGAAAATTCTGCTGCTGTTGGAATTGGGGTGGTGAAGGATTGATTTGGCTAGCTACATTAACAGAATTTGGAGCATTGTCACTGCCAAACATGTCCATGAGAGCAAGGGCATTCTGCTGGGATACAGGAGCGGTTGGCTGTTGACCACTCACAGGAACAAGAGCCAGTGAATCTGCCTTTGGTGAGCCAAAGTCATCACCGCTAAGAAGATCCATCTTGGGATCAACCTTTGTTGTTGGAGTTGGACCATTAGTAGCAGGAGGTGCAGTAAGCAATAACTGATTAAGTGGATTAGACCCTGCACCGGCACTTGAGGTAGATCTGCAAAAAATTACCAGCATTACTAGTTTCTATGGTTACACAAACGCTGGATTACTAGTTTCTATGGTCATTGGCATTACTAATCTGTTCAGAATGTGCTTAAAACCCTAATTACCTCCCATCTAGCTGTTTGTGGTCATTTCCAGTGTCAACTAGAGGACCACCAACATCTACAAGTGCTCCAGAAGGTCCTGACTTGGGTTTATCTGGCTGAACTGGATTTCCTGAAGCAATGGCTTCATGCTTGGCTAGAAGACGTTGCAAATCATCATTCAGCGCTAGTCCTTGACACAAAAGTGATTCATCCCTGACATAAACTTTTGATAAGTAAAGAAATAGGCAAAACTCACCATGGTGGTCAATTAATAAAGAAAACAACACAGAACCCATCCTTGCAATGTTTCATTAAGCTTTACCATGCAAGCTAATCTCTTATGGCTCCTATTAAAGTTCAACCCTCATCTTTGCCTGCATAGAACCTTACCTTATCTTTAGTTGGGTTGGGGCATTATGCCTAAACTTGCATGTTCTCAATAACAACATATCCTCATAATGTTCCGTTTCTCATAATTATAAAACTATATTATCCACTCAAGGATATTTTATAGTTATTCTGAAAAGACTCAAGAAGAAGAACGGGATTCCGTGCAGAAAGCAGTAAGTGTGGTATTTGTCCCTTCCAACTTTTAACTACCCACAGTCATCAATTATCCAACTATATATCTATTGGTATTGTCCATTAAAGGGAATAAATGGTCAGTCATCTAGGAAGCTGGCTTGAAACTTATATGTTGTGTTGCTGTTTTCAATTGAAAACAACAAGAAATAAGTGAAATAACTCATCTTTAGAATTCAACTTCCATTGGATATTACATATATATTTTCTGAAAGGTTAGTGGGGAAAGAAGTTTGTGTCCTTACGAAGTCGAGTTAACAAGGTGTACCACTCTCTGCTTATATGTACGACACTGCTCAACCAAATCAACAATAACCTCCTGCCTAAGCCCCTGCAGATTGAAAATAAATAAATTTGAGCAACATGCAAATGGAGATTAAGTTGAGAATTGCAATAGATGCTAAAATGAGGTTCAAATGTAGAACCGTACAAATTTAAATGCTAAAAGTATCTCTATTATCAGATTACTAAACCTATCAAACTACAACAGACCCCTTTTATGTAGTTATAGCAAGTCACTCAGAACAACCTTGGGCATGAACTACCAAAACTACCCTTGTACATTTCTTGATATGAGCTTAAAATTTTGATAATGCCACTTAATACATCTCTAGTCAACTGTTCTAAACAAGCTACACAGTTTTCTGCCTCACCTCCTCTGCATGACTTATACTTGCCTCAAGGCGTGTTCCTCTAACAACATTTCTTCAAGTCTTCATCCAATTCCAGAAAATCTACAAAACCTCTTCAATCCTACTAATTCTTCAAAGATGATTGAAGCATCCTCCTCAATGCCACATCTCCTCATAGTACAGATCCAAGTAGATTCAGTTAAGTAGGGCTTTCCTAAATAGATAAGATACACTCACCGGCAACAACAGACTACTTGTTCGATTTTGACCTATCAATACTTTAACTTTCCAAATCCATATCTTGAGGAACTAATGTCATAAGATGTTGATACACCTGTTTTCCCATTTCAGTAAGTACTTCACATTGGTTTTGACAGGTAAAATAGCATTTTAGTGGCATTCTCTATGACACCAAAGGAACTGAAGAGGGTTTTTTTCCTTTTTATGCGTTGTACTTCACAATGGTTTTCACAGGTAAAATAGCATTTTAGTTTCATCACTAATGAATATCACATTGTAATAGTATTTTCTTCATCTAAATCGAGAGATATACCTCTTTGTTCCCAGGATCAATTGCACTTAGCATTTCTGCCAAGACATCCATAATACCCCGTGCATTCTGAATTTCCGTCAAGCTAAAACAAAAAAAATTATCAATTAAAAAATGAGAAAAGAATAGATGTTATGCAATAGTTCAACCATCTGTACATTATAAAGAAAAATAATAGTTTCCTGCTAACTCTCATTTTGACTACTGTTGTCCTTGGAACCTCCAACTATTACATTTCTTAAGACGAACATTCAGAGTAGAATGGGAAAATCCCAGTCTGCAACTTTAATCAGCCCACTAGGAAATAAGAATATTCTAAAGTCAGCTAAACTGCTATACTAATAGAATATTTATAGCTTCCATCCAGAACAAAAGAGGAGCTACATATGCACCTTAAGGTTGGGAACTCGGCTTCTGCAGAAGGCTCAGCTGCATCTTTTGGAAAATCTGGATTTTGCAAATTCTGAGGAAATGATGTCAATGGTTGTGTCTGGGGTGGCGTGAATACAGGCGGTGCAGCTGAGTCAGATCTTTGAGGGAATACTGCTCCAGCACGCTGAATAAAATAAATGATTAGATTCACAGAATGTTGAAGAAAAAAGCACTACAACAGAATATAATCAAGGAAATAAAAAATTCCATACTGATTATGTTTATATAAATGCTTCTCATATTTCGGTCTAACAATGAAGCTGTTCTATTAATTGGGATGCTTCAAGAGAGATTTTCTTTATGAACATACCAACAATTCCTGGTATGCAGCATAATATTGTGGATATCTTGCTCTTGGCCCTCCAAAAGCTTCTTGCCAAGTATCTATCAGGATCAATATCTTCTCTTTGACATGATAGTCCGGCTACAATTTGCATCATAAATACTATAAGAAAATTTCAACAAAAGTGATTAATGTATAGCATTAAGAGGCGATCAGATCATTTGAGGGACATATATACCTTCTTTTTTACTATTTTTACCATCTCATGGAGGAGGTCTTTCTCTGCTACATGCATATGAACAATGTCTCCACAATTCTTTATTATTGTTTCCAACAGCTAGAATGTAGCAAACAGACCAACATAAAACCAATTTAGACCTCTGTAATACAAAGTTGTTCAAAATGACAACAGATGTGACTATATCAATGGCATCTACTGCAGACAGAAATTTAACATACAATCTCAGTCAGGTTTCCAGTATACACACCAACTAGTTCTTTTATGCATCTAACTTTTGAATCCACCAACTTTCTAGAATGTTGGATGTAAGCCATTCATTTCTTTCCACTTCTATAAACTGAGTATCAAGCATAAACATGTGAGAGTGATTCACATCGGGACCCAGTCCATACTAAGTAAATTCACTGTGTTCACAGCTTACGAAAATGTCACCCTATTTGTTCCATATGAGAGTCACACTTGTATTAGAAGTTCACTAAGCATACAACAAGAAAAGAAGTAAGGATATAACAGATTACAAGACCCTTCCGAGACTCAATGATACACATACATACACTCGTTGTGTCAGTTTTCCTATAAGCTAATTGAACCACTAGCACAACTCAGCCAGTAAACTCATATCATATCATTCTCCAAAAAAAGTAAGCATCTACAGTTGTTAATATTACAGCGCACAATAAATATATGACTGATTTTAAGACAAAACACTAATCAATAGGAGTCCTAGAACCAAATTGTGACCTAAAATTTCTGCTAAAGGAAGAAAGTTTAAAACATGAAAAATTATGTACTGCGAAACAAGAAGGATGGATAACTAATTTAATCAAACAAAAACAAGTCCTGTGGAGCTTACTGTAAGTGCTAGAAGTTGAACTTTTGAATTCCTACTTCCAAGGCGCTTCTTTATACCTTTAACAACATCCTTTGCTTGCCTGATATGTGAAAACCAAACAGAGATTTTCAATCTAGGTAATCTAGAACAAAAAGAATCACTTGAGGTAGACATGCGTCCAGTAGACCGTAACAATAACTAAAATTAGAAGTTGGAGCACCAACACTTGAAATGCACAAAAGACGAAGAAAAAGCATTCTCATTATAAATACATAACTATGATAATACTTATATTGTCAGACATGCTTGGTTTACATTCTAAAATATGAAAAAGCATTCTCATATCAGTACATGTTTTTCTACTTCTATTGTTTGGGCGATTCTACTTCAATGGTTTGCTTACTTTTCCACGCAAATCATATCAATGGCTACTACCAACCACTTAAGCCATACGAATATGAAAATAGAAAAATACGAAATGACAAGTATTACTAATCCGACGACCAATTGTAAAACATTTAGCTCATTAACACATACTAATCACTTATTATCACTCAAAAAACCCATTAATATGCATCAAATTGAATAACATTGCAGCTGAACAAATGCCAAAAGAACCAAACATCCAAAGCCAAGCATATTGAACCCACCAAATCGCAAAGCTCGCAGCCAGATCCAATTCTTATAAAACAAATTGCAATAAATCGTAGAATTCAAAATTTGTTATTTTCTCTTCTTTGTTCTCAACTTTTATGGGTTTCTATCCTTCAATTCTCGGCAACCAAACACAAATTAACTGTTCGATCAAATTCAACCCCCATCCCTCACTCCCAGTTTGATTTAAATTATACATATAGATGAGGCATAATCATAAACACATCCAAAACATAGTAAAACTAACAAATGGGACAGTGATCAAATAAACAAGTAAGAGAGATTATAATCGAGTGCGACGCGTACACAGGGTCATGGTTGCACATGTCACAGATTTCGATGTTCATGGCCCAATCAGGGCCGATGAGCATGTCGCTCGTAGCGCGTTCCACCATATAATTCACCATTTCTGCTCACCCGAAAGTCGCCCCGATCCGAATACCAGACCAGCCTCCGTTCACTGTGAACTCTTTGCCGCCAAGATCGCAGAGAACTCCAATGATACGACGGAATATTCCGGCTTTTCGCTTCTCTCTCTAGAACTGTCTCCCTCTGTCTCGCTCTGTTTCTCTCTCGCTCTAAACTCTTTCTCTGTGTGAGATCGCTGGCTTCCTCTTTTCTGTTGAGGAACCGATTTTTTTTCCTTTTTCTTTGTTTTGTTTTTCGGGGACGGAATTAGATTTGACGGGCCAATTACGTAGGGCCACGTATTGGAAGTTCGGAGCCTCGCGTGCCGTAGAGAGGTGTACTTCTCCTAGACCGTTTGTTTGGCGTACTTTTTTCATCAACGGTTGACTGTTTTTAATTTCTGTTATCCATGGGGGTCACCGACTTTATAATTCAATTATTTTTTACTTTGTTGATAAATGACTTTATATTTGATTCTTTTTTCAAAAAAATTTATGCGAACTTTATATTTGATTCTTAAAATATAAAAGATGGCATTGCTGTACTGTGAAAATAATCGCTGTCAAATTTGCTGTGAGAAAAAGTAGTTTGGCGTTTTGTAAACTTTTTATCACAAGTGTTGTTGGTGCTAATTCTCGTATAATCAGAAAATGATTGCCGCATTATCATTAAACCCAACGCTTCTTCAAAACTGATTTATGCATAATCAAAAAATAAAAGCACATCATTAGCTGCTTTCCCTTATAGTTTTCTCTTATAGCAAACTTTAATAATAAGTGATTTTCTCATAGTTTACCAAATAGGCTCAACTTTCTAAAAAATTTTAAAAATCACTTATAACCCCCAAATAAGCAATGTCAAACGGGCACTAAAGATAATCTAATTATAAAAAAGTGATTAAGGTTAAGGTGTAGTTAGGACGAGTTGGATAGATGGAATGAATTATTGACTTTAGCTTAAATCGTATTTGATTTTATAATTGTCATTACGAAATATAAATTCATAATTTCTATGTCATGAGAAGTCGTTGATATAATTTGAGTTCAAACTAACTAGAATTAGAGCATCTCCAACCGATGTGTCAAAAGTGTCACGTAAACATTTAACAACTAGAAATAACATCTCACATCACTCCAACTGATGTGTCAAAGCTGATGTGAAATTAATGCTGGAGGTTGAGATGTTATTTTTGACATCCCAAAAGCAAGATGTCAAATGAATATTTTATTTTATTTTTCTTTTCGTTTTAATTAAAAATAAATCAACACTAAAATGTAATAAAATAATAATTTAATTTGACATATCGGGTGGAGTGTAAAGCTATATAAGATGTCAAATTGCCACATCAGCCATCAAATTTAAATTTGATGGCTGATGTGGCAATTTGACATATTATAAAACTCTTTATCCAACCAAGATGTCAAATATACATTTTATTTTATTATTTTAAAGGCAGGTGGGCCCGATATTTAAGAGTAAAATATTAAATAGAGTTAAGAACTATACATGGAAGAGGAGAGAAGAAAGTGGGCTCAGCATTAAAATAATAATAAAAAATAAAAAGACGTCTCAACATCTTGGCTTCAATTTTGACAGCAAAAGTGAAGGATGTCAATCCAACTAGGATTTGGCATCACGGTTGGAAGGATTAAAATGTCTTTTTTTGGGGTTAAAACTTGCCACGTTGGAATTGGCATTTCGGTTGGAGATGCTCTTAGGTAAGTCTCAAAATCAATTGACAATTGATAGAGTAACCCAACTTTTTATAACCCCTCACATTCCAATGCGAGATTTTTTTTTTTTTTTTTTTTTTTTAAACACAATAATACTATAAATTATATATAATCCCAAAGGGAGGGGAGTTTTGCATATACACACTACTAAGGTGTCATGATGGTTTGAATATGAGACCACGAGTCTACAAGTCGATGACATTTTCCAGTATACTCCATTAACCAATGTGAGACAATTATTCACATCCTCGCACAAACTAACATGATTTAGTTTGATTTCTCTCATGAAATTTAGCTCAAACAGAAACAAATCGCATTGCTCAACGGTTAGTTAGTTTGGCTGCATTTTAAGAGTGAAATTAATCCAAATCCATCACAATTATCACTTCTGTTACCAACAAATGGTAAAGTCCACACTTTTTTTTTTCCTATTTTTTTTTAGCATTTTGATCTTATTTTTCTCAATATCTAAACAACGGCAAACGATGCAGAAAATCCAAACACAAAGCCACAGAAAATGAAACAACTGGAACCTACCCCACTATAAAAAGCTATGCTCTGCCCGTGGCAATTATTGGTTTAGAATAAGCATCCCCTTTTGTTAAGCCTTGGCTTAGGTAACAACTAGGTGGATGCAGCATATATTTAAGAACAAATGCTCCACTAGGTTTTAATAATTATAAATAAACTTAGGATTTGCCCCCCTTAATTGTTTGTTTTAATTTTCCATCACCAGTAGTTTCAAGTTCCTTGATCAAATCATGTTAGTGTATCATGCAATCGTTAATTTGTCTTTTCTTTTTGGTGTGTTTGAAAAGGCATGTTGAATTTCAATAATTTCCTTTCCCTGGTCTCCAAGTGGGGGCTATGAATACAAAATATATGCTCAATTGAAAGCTACTTTTTATGCTGACCTTATTCAGACAAAAATTCGTTTGATATGGTTTATATTTACAATCTAATAATATAACATATCAAACAGTGAATGCGACCATGTTTTGTTTTCCCCAGAATTTTTACCTCGATGATCAACTTGTTTAGATGAAATTGAAATTTCCTTAGATACGTACCATTTCGATGCTTTATCGGCAATAAAATCTTGCATCGACTTGTTATTGTTCATAGGCTAGGAGGAAATCTTTAGTGACCATTTTGGAGAAGGTGAAAACTTGCACATGTAATCTTTTAACACTGAAAAATACATTAGGAGTTTTGGCTTCTTAACAGTAATGAAAACTGCGACTGGCCTTTACAACACCACTGAAATGACAGAAAAAGAAAAATGAAGCTACACATAATAATAGAAATGCCTTCCTCTAGTCCTTAGCAATGGAGAAAAGGAGCTAGGTTGAGAATTCAAGAAACTTATGAGTCTGCGTGCACAGGGCAGGAATGTCACAATTGGGTAATGATAGATTTCCGGCACTTGAAATTTCAACGGAATTGAAAGTGTCGTCTTGTGCCAGCTTAGTAAGGAATAGGCGCTCGGACAGTAGGAGGGCCAGATTTCATGTCCTCGATAATAAGATTCAATAGAATCTGAGTCAAGGAGCCTTCTTTGCCTATAATAAAGAAGCAAATGTTTTTGTAAATCAAATCCAGAGGTTTCACAAGCAAAATTTGAACAGGCAATATCATTTGAAACTAGTAGTTCAAGAAACATTTCAAAAGAAATCTAAGGGGCAGTCTGAACAGGCACAGCAACATGATTCTAGAAAATATATGCAAATATTTGGTGCAAAGCGTGTATGGATTTATAACGTTGTTCAAGTACTTGTATGCGTGCATGTTGTATGTCTTTGTGCCTGCTAAACATTCTACAAGTGCACAGCATAGTGTAGAGAAGTTCTTACCATCACCAATGACCTGCTCATCCCACTGCACTACAGGGCGAACGAGAATTCCACTGCCGATAAGCATCATCTCATCTGCCTTCTTCCCTTCCTCAACAGTCACATTTTCTATCCTTACTCCCCGAAGCTTACCCTCCCTCACCAGCCCTTCTGCAAGAACCAAAACTCTCCTAGCTGTGCATCCACTTAGGATTTTGTCAAACTGAGGCATCACAAGTTCCTTCTCTTTTGTAACAAAAGCCACATTCATGTTAGGCCCTTCAGCAATGAATCCATCACGGTCCAGCCAAATTGCTGCAAATGCACCTTCTTCTTCAGCCTCCATCTTTGAAAGCACATTTGGAAGATAATTCACACTCTTCATGGTTGCAAATTGGGGAGGTTTTATTGGGATCGATGAAGTAACTACTTTAACGCCCTTCGAATTGAAGGGTGATAGATCTTGGATTACAATAGCATAAAGAGCTGGCTGATGGCAGCCAGATGGAGATAACTGAAAATCACCAGGCCCTGCCGAGAGCCAGTACCTTAGCGATCCTGTTTTGCACTTGGAAGCACTCACAGTTTGTATGAGTATTCTCCTTATGCGTTCTCGATCAAATGGTATGTCAATTTTGGCCATGGATGCTGACCTTAAAATACGGTCAAGGTGCTGGTCCAACTCGTACAGATACCTAGGATGTGTAAAACATACAGAGAAACTTGAGATTAGTGAAATAAAACCTGTAAAAGGCCCATGTGTGTGTGTTAAGATCACACAAGTGTTCGAAATCCATATTTGGTGTTCAACAAAACTTATGCTGGCATCACGAGGCCAAAATCACTAACCCATCTTTTATAGCAGCAGTGTCAAAAACACCATGCCCTCTGTGGACCATGTGGTCATCAATGGGGATCACCATAGCAGCTGGATCAGTTGTTATTCCTCCAAAAATGCTGGAGTACATGGCGAGATATTGCTGCTTACCGTGTTGGTTTTCCCGGTATGTTTTTAGCCTTTCAATTGCCTTTTCTAGAAAGAAAAACAGGAGAAACAAAACTTCTTGGATATGAATATTATTTAGTACCAATCTCTAAACTAGCCTGGTCGTGAATCAAACAAGTCTCAACCCAAGGCATCAATTACTCATCAATTTTTTACTGTATTTTTCTAACTTTCACTGCAAGCAAAGAACTTAAAATAAGAAGACATTTCAAAGATGAGAAAATGACCTCTGAGCAAGTCAGCAGTGGAACATCAGAGACTTGAATGCTATAATCTGGCAGAAAAATGTTATCTTTGTCAGTCTTAGCAGCTAAATTCAAAACAAAAAATTTACAAAACAGAAAAAAAATTTGTTTTCTTCCAAAAATTTAACTAGAAAGATGAACAGGGAGGCTAAACTTACCAGGCATAGCTTCGGTTTGGTTCGAGCTTCTGATGACCCTCATCTCTCTGGCTCTGAACGACCCATGTTGAAAATTAAGCAACCCATGTCCCGTAAATGAATGATTTCGTGGAATTACGTTCAAGCTATGTGAATGGGCAGCTGGTTTTGTGGGAAAGTGTGGGTTTTGCGAGATGGGTTTTGGGAGAGATGGGAGGGAAGCCATGGAAGCGAAGCGATCAGAGAGAGAGCTCAGAGAAGCAGTGAGATCAAAGCTCAGAGCTTTAAGCGGTTGACCGGGCATATCATAGGGTGGGTCCCGCTTTTAACATTACTTTTTTATATCTCGTTCTTCGACAGCTCGGTATAATATAATGGGATTGAAATGGATGCCACCACCACGGTTTCTGGTGGCGCGTGGAGTCTACACTCGGGTACTTGGAGGATGAATTTTGAGTATGTTTAGAGATCATGTGTATGACTTGGAAACAGTTGATTGACCAGAAACAATTGGATTTCGTAAGATTCAGATAGCAATGATTGTACATTATTGATCCCAAATGCCAACAATATTTAATGGGAACCGATGACTGAAATGTTTATTTTCCTTATATCTTATGAAAATAATTGTTTATAAAATAAGAATTGTACATAAAGACGAATTTGATTTTGATAAAATTTATAAGTGTGAAGCATTTTGTTTTTTTCACATTCATTCGATGTGGATTGGGAATTTGGGTACTACTCAAAGTACCTACAATTTATTTTTATTGGAGGCCGGACATCTTTGTCAGTGCACTTTCGGTTGCTCTATTAACATTTTAGTCACAACCTACTATTCAACAAGATAATGTCTAATTTGACCTTAATTCACACATATTTGTTATAAAGCGTTCAAACTCAAAACTCGTCTAGGTGGCATTAATTTATGTATATATTTTTTTGTTAATGTTGATGTCAACTTTTGGTTGAACAAATTAATACTCAACTGTAACACATACAAAAGCATATATGATTCACCTAAATTCTCATCACACTAAATATGAGCTCTCTTCATTAATAAGACAACAAACTAAAGATGAGGTTCCTTTTTTGCTTGAAGTGTACCTAATTGGAAAGTTTATTTTCTTATATCAATTGGAAGTAAAAATTTAGGAGATTCATTAAATAAAAGTGTGAAAAGTCTATTTCCTTACAGCTAATAGAGGCAAACTTGTTAAAATCTATTTTAATGTAAGAATAAAACTACATAATTTTAATTTGTGATTCCAAATCTTGTATCGACAATCAAGAAATGTCAATGAGGTTCTTGTTTCTTCTAATGGATTTATTCCATTTTAATTTTATTTTATGGATTTACGTTTCAGACGGGTGGTTGGTGGACTCACCATTCTCCAACAGAAAAAACAAAATCGGGCTAATTATTCCAACACAAAACAAAGGCCAACTATTATGATTTAACGGCGAGGACCTAATTTTCCAGCAAATCAAGCGGTTGGGAAGTGTACGCGCCACCACACACCAAAACCCGCCAAATCCCAAAACATGCGTAAAAAAGGGGAAAATGTTGCTTCTGCTGATCATATCTGAAAGCACAACACCCAACTTCCCATACATAATACTTCTTTAGAATTTTAGGGTTTACATTTTCCTTTTGAATTTCAACACTTCCAACTTTGGATCAAGAGCCCCAAATTTGGGGGAATTGAAGAAGCTAGGGTTTCCTCTGTCGGTCAATCAATCAATCCATCATCAGTGCAAGCAGTCAAGAGCCAGTTCATTTTGAATCCGATTGAGCTAGGGTTTCTTCAAACGAACACTGAACAAGCACAAACCTTGGTTCCAAAATGGCGATAATCGGCGACGCGCTTCGCCAGGCCTTCATGCCCAAGGACGAGTACATGAGCCTCCGGGAAGAAGACAGAGCTTGGGGCAAGATTCAGAGACCTCTGTTAATGGCGTCCATGGCTCTCGTCTGTTTCGTAGTTGTTGTCTGCACGGTTATCAGCTTGACCATTGTGTTTCCTGGCGACCCGGCGAAGCGGCCGTTCTGCGGCGACCGGAGGCTTAATTCTCTACCGATGAATGTGAGAGGGGGCGATTCTGATCCGTTTCCCGGAGCGTTTTATCTTACGGATCAAGAGATTGCGGATTACTATTGGATGGTTGTGTTCGTTCCCTCTATGATCATTTTCTTGGCTACCTTCGTGTATCTTGTTGCGGGTAAGAAGCTTTAAGCTCTGCTTTGATTGTTTCCAATTTGAATATGTTATTTCGGCGCTAATAAATTTAAGAGAGAGAGGGTGTTAATTTTTTCATTTTTGCGTTTTCTTTCATTGATTTGGATTTTGGGAAAGTGGAAACTTCGTAAATTTCGCCAAAGATCCAGTAATGAATGCGTGAGATCAGTGATAACAAGGGGAAAGACTTGGGGAATCTTGGATACTTGTGAAATCTTGGTAAAATCACTAAAACTACGGTAGTGATGGCATTTCTAACTGGGGATTTGTTAGCTCGGATAACTATGGTCTAAATATCTTTGAATTATAAATTAGAGTTTTGGCAAGGTGGAATAGATTCATGCTCATAATATTCAAGTTGATAGCTCTGTAGAGAATGCAAGATGGTTATGGTTCAAAGACGTAACTTGCTCTCACCAAGTGATAAGAAGGATAGAAAGAATGCTTGTAGCTGGCGTATGAGTACTAGGTGACATGCATTGAATTAACCCATGCCGTACTTCGAGGAAAAAGCTCAATGATCTTTTACAGAGGGCTACGTGTACCTGGAACTGACTTAGGTGGGTTGGAGAAGACACTAAAGGAACAATTAAATCTTTTTAATAGAAAAATAAGAATAACTCCATGATCTTCGGTCCTTGGGATGTTGTTGCCTAGAATCTAGAAACGGGGTAAATCTTCTCTTGGCAAATGTAAGTTTGAAATGCGATCTTAAAACATGAAAGCTTAATGCATAGGCTGTTTTGGATTAGAGACATGACTAGTAACTAGTAACACCAAGTCACACTTCACATGGTTATCATTTTCGCTGCCAAGTTTGTATATGAATTAGAAGATTCCTGCAAACTCTGTGTATAACCGAAAAAAATTTATAATAATTTTTTTTTCTTTGGTTCTCAGTATTCTGTAGCATGAGTAGAGCTTCTTTAAAAGGAAAATCAAGAAATGCATCAAAGCCAAAAGTCCACCCTGAGAGGGTCAATATTTGAAACCTCACTAACGAAATAAGGCGATATATGGTTCTGGAATGGTTGATTCACTCCTTGTGACCAGCTTCATGCCTAGGCATGGAGTTCTGCTTAGAAATTAGTATTATTTGGATATGCATGGCATATTATGTGGTTAAAGGGACATTGTTCATTGGGATATTCTCACATGATTCTACATGGGTTGTATCTAACCATTAGTGGGGCAATAATTTGATTTGGATATGCTAAATGGTTTTCAAGTTCTCATAGCTTCAATCTGGTTGTAGGAATCGCTGTTGCTTATTCTGCTCCAACAAGACACGGATGCTTAAAGGTAGTTGAGAATAACTACTGTGCTTCAAAAAGAGGTATGCTCCCTCCTTCCCTCCTCCTCAAATGAACTACTGTATCCACTATACATCAGTTGCCATTTTCTATTGTTTTATCACGTATGACTGGACACAAGTCATGTTTTCTCTGGAATCTTGCTTTTACTCCTAAATAATGAAGCTGTCTGTCTAAAGAATTTAGTGTGCTGCAGAAAATGTTCATACTTTGTTTAGTTGCCAATACGTCCAGGTAAATAAAATAAACTAGGATTCTTACAGCTATTTGGCAGGTTGGGCTAGGCTCTCTTTTGCCGATTAGAGAGAGCTCTAAATGATTGCTTGCATTCCCTCTTTAGAGTTCTCACACTCCTTATGGATTCCTTGCTAGAATGAGCATACAGATGTTCATCTGTTCTGTTGCTGTTTTTCTTGTGGTACAGATTGTTCATCGTTTTTATCATATCATTTTTCTTTTAATATTACAAAATTCAGCATGCCTTTTTGTCCGTTAACTTTTTACTAATGTTGCTCTATAACTAAATTGCCTAACCTCAGATCACACTAACGTGTCCTAAACTAATTTTAGTTTGAATAGTTTGAAGTTTTATTTCCATATTGGAATTATCCCTCTATCCTGTATGGTTCTTCACAAGTGCATTTTGCAATACAATTTCAACTATTACTGTTCCGTTTTCAATGGATTATTTTCCAGCATCTAAAAAAATGAAATTATGTCTGCCATTTGTTTATATGATGTAATATTTGGCCAAAAAGACTAGGTTGCATGAGAACCTAAGTGATGTCTGAACTCTCATATTGTAATATGCAGGTGGGGTTCGATGCCTATCTATTCTGAATGCTGTCTTTGCTGTCATTTTTGGTCTTCTTGCATTGTTTCTTGGTTCAAGCCTCCTCACACAAGGAAGCTCCTGCTCTATGCCCCTGTTCTGGTGCTATGAGGGTGGGTGTTGGGGGATGGTTCTTCTATACGGAGGAACTGCCTTTTTTCTGAGAAGGAGAGCAGCTGCAATCCTTGATGAGGGAGAATTTGGTGGTCGAAACCTAGGGCTTGAAATGTTGGGGAATCCCTTGGAAGTGACACCAGAGGTGGAAAGGCGGGTTAATGAAGGGTTTAAGACATGGATGGGGTCGTCGCTCCTATCGTCCGATGAAGAAGATGAACCAAACAGTTATTAGGAACCTTCTCATGTAATTCCAACTCTAACAGGCGAATGGTTTGGCGTTTAAGTGAAGCCTTTCAGAACTACACAGCTTCCGGCAGATTTTTGACAACTTCAGGAGAGCATAGAGTAGTATAAATTCAAATTTTGGCTTATCAAAGGTGCCAGCTTTAAAATCGTTCTAGTGATCATGATGTAACACAAAGTGAAATGCTAACTTCGGGACTTAGGTTCATGTCGATTTTGTAACATGTCTGTTGCACACGCCCACTCTGGTAATCTTGGTTGCCTGTGAATATCTAACCAGTGTCTCTTTCTCTCAATTTCCGTGTGTGAAAATGAAAATCGAGCATTTGTTGCAACTTGCAATTCTCTTCAAGAGCTATCTGTTCCAGACTCAATTGCCCTAATTTAAGCTCGTTGCCATCTATGGTTGGGTTGGGTTGGGTTTCTCTTCTGTAGTTGAACAGCTTCGGCTGTCGACCAAATCTACTAATTAGATGTGCTCTCATAATCAAAGATTTTTATCATTGCTACACTAAACATTTTTACCAAATTATCTTCTCAATCCATACGACAGGCTTACTTGTGATGATGCAATGTCATTTTTTCTTCAACGCAATAACGTGGTGGTGAGCCATATCATGTACCACGTGGTGGAAAGAAAGTTGGAGCTTGTAGCTTTAGTGGTTGCAAGTATTTACCCGTATTCCTTAGAAAAACTTACCTACAACTGGGTGTCATTTTTTCTATCCTTACAGAATATTTTTGGTGCCATGATCACATTGATATGTGTTATAATATAAATGGATTGAAACGTGTTATAATATAAGTGGATGACAAAGTTGATATTTCATAGACTTAGGTACAATATTAATAAATAAAAGACAATGCTGTCTCACTTCGAGTTCCTTCCTTCATAGTAAAATCACATTATACCCTTGAGTGACGTTACCCGCCAAATAAAAAGCAGGCTCACATTTGTTATAACATCAGTGGATTGGCAATACAAAGTAAAAGTATGTCGATACGATGAAGAATTTATCCGAGTCCGAAGTTGGAAGTTTCCCCTCCGGCCTCCTTTGTAACAGAAGAAAAAGGCCGTTTAGGACAGGCCCTAATAAAAGGCCCAATCCAACTTATGCGCCCAAACCAAACCCAATCCAAATCCTACGACATCTGTTGGTCAGTTTTGTGTTCCAGTAGAAAGTGTAAAACCCTAACTCACCTCTCTCCTTCTAATCGTCTCTGCATAGTGGCTGTGGCTGAGCGGCACATCCCCTTTCCTCATCTCCGGCCCTACGACATTCAATTTCTTCAGCCACAACCAACCATGGCCGCGTACGACTACGAAGATGCACCAGGGACCTACGACGAAACGTCAGCGACACAGCGCCAGGCGTCGTCCGGAGCCCCTCCATCTCAAGACCTAGGGTACGACCCGAACTTCGTCCCGGACTCCGTCAAATCTTTCGTCGTCCACCTCTACCGCCACATCCGCGAGAAGAATGTGTACGAGATCCACCAGATGTACGAGACGTCGTTTCAGACTCTTTCCGATCGGCTCTTCAAGGACACGCCATGGCCCTCCGTCGACGCAGTCGCCCACTACGTCGACAATGACCACGTCTTCTGCCTTCTCTACCGCGAGATGTGGTTCCGCCACCTATACGCTAGGCTGTCGCCGACGCTGAAGCAGAGAATCGACTCTTGGGACAATTACTGTAGCCTCTTCCAGGTCGTCCTCCACGGCGTCGTTAATATGCAGCTGCCCAACCAGTGGCTCTGGGACATGGTCGACGAGTTCGTGTACCAGTTCCAGAGCTTTTGCCAGTACAGAGCTAAGATGAAGAACAAGACTGAGCAGGAGATTGCCCTTCTCAGACAGTTTGATCAAGTAAGAATCGTCACATTCATTTCTAATTTGGGGAACATTGATATCTAAGATGACCCTGAATTGTGTTCATTGTTTTTGTTGCAGGCCTGGAATGTGTATGGTGTGCTTAACTTTTTGCAAGCTCTGGTGGAGAAGTCCATGATCATTCAGATTCTCGAGCACGAGAAGGAAGGGCTTGAGCAGTTTACTGCTACAGATGGGTATGATTATAATGGTGGGAGTAATGTTTTGAAGGTGTTGGGGTATTTCAGCATGGTGGGATTGCTTCGGGTACATTGTCTCTTGGGTGATTATCATACTGGCCTGAAATGCTTGCAGCCTATTGACATTACTCAGCAAGGTGTTTACACAACTGTTATTGGAAGCCACATTTCCACCATTTATCATTATGGTTTTGCTAATCTTATGTTGCGTAGGTATGATTGCTCTTTTCGTATCTAAGAACATTTTGATTCACTTTTCTGATGCATGTTTGTGTGTTGTGTGTGAAAACTTGATTTTGGAGCCTTACAAATATTATTAGTTTCCTTGCAGGTACGTGGAGGCAATTCGTGAATTTAATAAGATTCTGTTGTACATCTATAAAACCAAGCAGTACCATCAGAAGTCTCCACAGTATGAGCAGATACTAAAGAAGAATGAGCAGATGTATGCCCTGTTGGCAATTTCCCTTTCACTGTGTCCACAGGTGAAGCTTGTTGAGGAAACTGTGAACTCTCAGTTGCGTGAGAAGTATGGTGAAAAGATGATCAGGATGCAAAGATACGATGATGAAGCATTTGCTATTTATGATGAACTCTTCTCGTATGCATGCCCTAAGTTCATTACCCCATCCCCTCCAAGTTTTGAGGAGCCTCTTGTTAATTACAACCAGGTATGTAGGGCCAACAAGGCAAACGAAAATACCCAGTGCCTGAAATATTTCCAATTCGGAAAACAACAAGTATATGAAATGGTGTAGTGGAAGTCAGCTTCCAGGACAGTATAATGTGATGCTCAAATGATTATTACTAATTTAGTGCCTTGTGTATATGTTATGAGGAGAATAATGCATATAATTTAATTATCAGTTCTTGATTGTATCATGCATTTTAATACATATGCATGGTATCAGTTCACGAGCTGTCTGAAACATACACTTACTGAAAATGCCATAGATGGGAGTTTCTCGGGAGTTTATAATTTTAATAATCTGTTCTGGATTGTATTATGCATTTCACATGAGATGACGATAGACGTGATACATGCATATTATCAGTTCCTAAGCTGTTTGAAACATGCACTTACTGAAAATGCCAAAAGCAGTACCCAAAATGCCATCAACCGTGGAGTTTCTTTGTAGATCATACCAGACAGCAAATTAAACCTTGTCTTTAGTTGGGCTGTGGGGTTTAAGGTTGGACAACAGTTATGCAAGGGAAAAAATGGAAGTCTTACTTTTAGAGGCTATATGTTGCTGCATTAGATTCTCTCTTTTGGGCGTTATATATATATATATATATATATATATATATATATATATCTCTCTCTTTGAATGAGTGTGTGGACATGCACACATAATTATTAAATGCCATTTTACTTCTTGCAGGATGCTTATAGACTTCAATTGAAGCTGTTCCTTTATGAAGTGAAGCAGCAACAGTTATTATCAGGCATTCGGACCTTTTTAAAAGTATATTCATCCATCTCTCTTGCGAAGCTAGCAAGCTACATGGAAGTGGATGAATCCAAGTTGAGGTACTTGATGAGGATATTCTTTAAGTTATGTTTATATAATTCTTCTTCTGATTTTATAATAATGTTATTTTTTCATTCTGCCTTATAGGACTATCTTGTTGACATACAAGCACAAGACACATGCTGTTGATACTGACGGAAAAATCATTTCCAATGCTGATGTGGATTTCTATATTGATGATGTACGTTTTCTTCTATTATCTTCTATCTTGTTGATGGAAAACTTATGTAAGGTCACAAAGTTCCAAGGGCGTATTTGTAGGAAATCCTCTAAATTTGATCTGATGTCAGAAACTAGAACTCCTTGGGCACTTGTTTCATTTGATTTTTCTTGAGGAATCATCAATTTCAGCCCCATAAAATCTAGAAAAAGTGTTAGCTTAAGTCATCAGCTAATCTTGTACAGCAGTTACCTAGCCCAGATTTTGGATTTCAATGTGATTTACATGAGATTACTAATTATATGTTTTACAAATTGAGCGAACCCATGTTTTCTATCTCTAGTTTGACCTGCACGAGGTATTTCAATGCCCTAAAGAAGAAAGAAAGTGATGTGAGTGCTTGTGAAGGGAAATGGGTTAAGTAGTTCTGACAATTCCCTTCTCTTACACTTGGAGGATCTACCTATGTTCTCATCACATCAGTCTGTATGAAAATTATTGAACAATTGTCTCCCTTTCCGAAAAATAAAAACTTAAATATGCAAGAACTTTGAAGTTATATGTGATTAATTCACTATATTGGAACATGGTAAGTGAAGACATTTACATGTTGCTGGATATAATATTTTCATTCTGCTGCAGGACTTGATTTATGTTGTTGAATCAAAACCAGCAAAACGATATGGGGATTACTTCTTGCGGCAAATTGTGAAGGTTTGCACAATTCCTTGTTATCCATCTTTTCCATCGGATTTAGCAACATTAAGAAAATGTTTAATTAATCATTCTTTTCCTTTTTTCATGGCAGCTTGAAGGGGTTATCAATGATATGGACAGGGTAAAGCTGGATTGAGTCATCCATCCCTTTTTAGACTAGCTCTCTGCTGCAATTTTTGCCCATTTAGATTCATATAATGATGTTTGGAGATTCTTTTTCTTTCTAATTACTCTGCTTCATGTACCGCCCTTTGAATTAGTGAATGTGGTTAGCTCTTAAAATCACAATGTAATTTTCTCCTGTTGTGGCTTTTTTCTACTCAAAGTTGCTAGCATGGAAATATGCAAGTGTTTTTCTTGAAGATGTGCTCTTTAATTCCATACAAAATTAAGAGTGCCAATCCGAATCCGAACTATAATTTGGTGTGGGGTGTTTCCCCAAAACTAGGGGAAGTATATCCATTTAAATTGCAGTTTGTGTGATTTTCTCTGCTCTATTCTCGCTGCAGCTTTGAAGCTTTTTGTTTTTGTGCCTTTAATTGGTACAATGATCTTTGATCTGATTGATTGAGAATGCATTATGAGGATGGCTGTAAATTCATAGGGTTGGTTTCGATTGTGGGATGGTCCAGAGTTGGCTTTGAGTGCCATTGACAAGTCCAACATCTTAGGATTTTTAAACTCTATTTGAGATCTCTTTCAACATTGAGAAAATACAAATTTAATCTACTCCGTTATTCGATCTGTTTAACGGTGTAATCGGTTGGGTTGTGATCTGATTGAGAGTGGGAGGAAACACTTACCTGTTTAAGATAAAAGTTTTTGTTTCATCTGATTTTCTTGTGGAAAACTGAGTTTAGGCACGCAATAATTGAGTAATTGACCATAGCAAAAAGGAAAGCAAGTGCTTTATTTGTTGGAAATCAATATCATTGACGACAGTAATTACGTATTACTCTGTCGTTTGTCAATCTTAAACATGATTTCAATTTAGATACGCACTTGGGTGTCTCTTTACAATTGTTTGAAGCCTTTGATGTTATGTTATTTTCTTTCATTGTCGGACGTAAACGGCTTTTTAATCTTAAACAAACAATTTGGTAGAAATATTCTGTGTGCATATAATAAGTAATGTGATAACGATGCAAAATTGCACATCTTTGGTTTTTTTTATGGGTACAGAGAAAGAAAAACAATTACAACTGGAAACCACAAGGGCACGCAGGCCCAAACAAATTAAAAACAATTATAATTTCTACTAAGAATGTCTGGATGTTAAGAATGTAAAGAATTTTGCATCTTTCTATTTAGATAAATAGTCAAATAGGTTGACTTGGAAAATTTTATAGTCTCTAGGATACAATCTTAGTCACACTTTGAACCGTCTAAAATGGATCAATATTGAATGTTTTTCCCAATGGAAGGATCCAACAAGCCAAATGCAAAGAATTAAACCATCCAAGATTTGGTTCAATATCAAATGTGTAATTCTGTTATTAAACAAATAAATTGGGACAGATTTGGCTGACATAGATGAACACAAAGCCTTTGTCTTACTCGAATGTTGGAGTTTGAATGTTAGGTGCACGCGCGCGCGCACACACAGTGCTTCTCTATCTAACATTCAAATTGATCCCTCATCTCTTCTATGTATGCACATACAGTACCGACATACAAATAGCACAAAATCATGGACCAAGTAAATGTGTTAAATATTTTTTTTTCTCTTTCCAGAAATTGGACATGACATATCACTATCTGAATTGGGTATGTATCTTCCCCCTCTAACTTTCTGTGAACCTCCAACTTTATATGGTCACTCTGGATTACTCTCCCACACGCACAACCTCCAGCCAAGTTCAACAACCCACCTTTCTTCTTAACCCAGCAGAGTTTTCAAACCACATGGTTTTAACTTGAAGGGAGAGCAAGAGATTTTGGATATTGATATGGTGGCTTTACTTATCTAGCTAGCAATAAATTATGGAGGCCAAGTTAGCATATAATACTGCTCACTGATAGAGAAATGGTAGGCTGCACTAGGTGTTGCGTGCACACTTCAATGAGAGCAGTGAACTTATTTGTCAATCTTTGTGGTGTCGGAGTGATTATCTACTCTCTTTGGCTCATCAAGAAATGGCAAGTTGGAGTTTCTGAGCTGCCTTCTGTTTCATATATACCTAAGCCATGGTACATAAAATTTCATTTTCCCTTTTCAGTAATTTCTTTTTTATTCAATATTGTGCTTGCTTTCGTGTTAGCGCACCCAAGATAGAAACTATTTTTTTTTTTTTTTTTTTTTTTTTTTTTTATTTTATCTTTTTTTTTAAATTTTAAAAAGTTTCTTGGCTGTTTTTCTTTGATCTTGTTCATATTGAAATCATTAACTGCTTCTGTTTGACAGGTTTATATATACATGTTTAGGTGTGGGAATGGCAGTCTGCTTAAGCACACTTTGCGGTCATATCGTTGCTCACCGTAGCAGCAGTTCTGTTCTCTTCATAGTATCCTTTCTGATGAGCTTGGATGAACAGCTTTCATACCACTAACTAAGCCTTGTTTCAATGTTTGGGAAAAAGTTTTCATCTGTTTTTAACTTCTTACCACTTTTCAGCAATAACCCACAAATGTGTTTTTTGAGGAGCCTATGCTCTTTGCCATTTCAATCTATTTTGGTAAAATCTTTACATAAATTCATCAATCTGGTTTATCCTTAATCAGTTTTAGTACATTATCTCCATCTTCTCCCTCCTCTGCCTTGAAGTTTTCGTGATTGTCGCAATTTTCTATAAGATGAATTGGCAAATGGTATGCTTTCCTGGAATTGTAACTTGGTAACCATTAATTTTGAAGTCACTTTTTTTTTCTTTCAAGAAGCTGCTTCTGTGTTTTCTTATATGGGATTTTTCTTTCCTGGATTGCCTTCTTGTGACAGAAACTTGCAAAGTTCATTGATAAGAACCACATCAAGTTCAAGGACTTCTTGATATTTCATGTCAACATGTGCCGCCTGATTGTAATTCTCATTTTGGTGCCACAGGTACTAATTCTATCTTGCTGTTTTGAAGTTGAGTATTTCATTACACTGATGCATGTAGTGGCCATTTCTGCAGATCAAAGTTATTGTTCTAGCAGCTATTCTCTGGGTTATTGGGGCTGAGCCAAGAGCACACTGCAACGATTCCGAAATACCCAACTTAAGATATTCTTTTCTGGCAGCACCTACCCAATCTCTACTTGATGTATCAAGACACGGTTTCAGAAATTATGAAGCTTCCCCAAGAGAGAGCTTTTCGACATATGTTAACAGAATTTTCAGAATGCAATTTCATAGAAGAGTCAGTCTTAGTTAGAAGTCAGAACATGTGTACAGAATTTTGGGTTGGGTTCCCCTGCCTTTCTGTATTGAGTTGAATGGGGAAATTTGTGAGGCTGAAAGAAAGCAACTTGCAAGCAGTACCAAAGAGAGAAAAAATGGTGTCGAGCGGGTTACCACAGTGGTTGTGGCCCTATCCCTTTCTCCTGCTTGGCACTTAGGGAGATTCACTATTATACTCAATATAAGGGCCTAAATTATAAAAATACTCCATATGAAATGAACTTTAGAAACACACCCAAAGCCCATTTATAACATAACAAAGAAGCTTTTAACTTATTATAAATTACAAAACTGCCATCAATTTCTTAAAACAAGCCCAACCTCAAAATCTCATAAAAATACCCAAAGCACTCAATAGGGCATCAAAGTAATTTAATAATCAATATTAAATTCAATAAAGTCAGCTGTCATTTTTTGGGTTTTTTTTTGTTTGTTTATAGAAATTCAATAATGTAGGGTTTATTTATAATATTAGTACTAAGAATTGGTATATCACTAAATATCTCTATTTGTAATTGTAAAAATACTAATTCCCCCCTATATTTACTTTAAAAGCATATATAAATGACCTTATATGCCCATAGCTAATTCTCCTATGATGTGAAAGTCTTGGGTTCAACTCCCTTCATCTACTTCACCAACATGAGCTGCCACCCACCATTAGTTATCCTAAACAATTCTTAGCCGTTAATGCATACCGAGTTAAATTACATCAATGATTAGGACGGGCGACAAGTTACATCAATGACTAGGACGGACAACAAATGACATCAATGATTTGGATGGACAATTGATGGTAGCAAAATTCCTTCCCCAAAAATAAAGTTGGCAACAAAAAGTTGGGACCACTTTAAGCAAAATTCCTTCATTATTGTACGCCTTTGTAGGAAGGACATTATCTGATATAGCACATTATCGTTTTCTCTAAACTTGGCAGTGGTGTTTACCGCGCAGGTGTCCTTAAGGGGAAATCATTTCCCACATTTGGTAATGCTGGGAAAGGAATCGGGAAACATCACTTTATTTCTTTTTCTATGTTTGTTTTGAATAGGAATGGAAAATAAAGTTTGTATAAATTTTCAATTATATCCATATTAAATCAAATAAAAAAAATGCATTTAATGATAAATTGTAATTCTAAATTGTTAATGGGGACAAAATGGTCATGAAAAATGTTTATTTAATATTGGCTAATTTTCCCAAACTTTCCTCTGATGAGGGAAAACAAAACCCAAGTTAGGAGGATGGCTTCACTTTCCCTCTTACTTTTTCATGAGCCAGACAATGATTTCTCATGCCTAAACTTACCAAACATGAAAAAGTAATTAATTTTCCATTCTTAAATCTCATTTCCCATAAACCAAAGGGCCTTCTGAGAAGACGACACCGTCCCTTGTGTCGGTGAACTACTAAAACTTTCATCGTTGGAAAAACCAACGAAAGCTTGTCCAAACGAACGTCAAAGCCTTCGAGCTTCACCTCCTCCACCACCTCACTGATCGTACAGACACTCTCAGCTGAGTCCATGGAGATGGAGTCCCGAGATGGTGGTTCTGTATTTGCCCACATTCCTAAGGTTCCTGAAGTACCACTTTATGCGGTAAAGAAATGCATTTCCCACATTTTTCTTAAACTTTGATTTCTTTGTGTTTGGTTATAACTTGTAAGAATGATTGTTTTTGGTTTGAAACAAGCAGTTGCAGGTTGCTTATGGCAAAGACCTGAGTCCCCTGAAGCTGAATTTGGGCTTTGGTGTTTATAGAACAGAGGTGGGTTTTCATCTTTTCACTTCAACACATGCATTGTAGAAAATATATTTACTGTTTTGAAAAGATGGGTTTGGATCGGATTGCATGTCCTTAGCAGTTAACACCAAAACAAATTCTTATTCTTGTTCAAATTCTTATGTAAAAGCAGGATGGGAAGCCTTTTATTTTGAATGTAGTTAGAAGAGTGGAGCGCTTACTAGTTAATGACATGTAAGGTGTTTCATTATTGTTCTTGCATTTGTAACTTTGCTTCAAGTTGTGGTTATGCTCCACTTTGGATGATTTTCCAGGTCCAATTTTAAGGAGTATCTTCCCATTACCGGAATCGCAGAATTCAACAGATGGAGTGCTAGACTCATTTTGGGTGCTGACAGGTATTTGAGCCTAAGCATAATCCTTATGATAGTACGCTAATTAATATTGCAAAACATGGAGCCCTCTATATGATGCATAATCTGGCTGACATTACTGTGTGGAGACTAGGTAATTGCCTTTTCATCCTTGAAACAGTGTTGTATTGTAAAGATCCGGGTTGTCATTGGAGTTTATCTTTCTTTATGAACAATTTGGGTTTCTTTTGCTGATTGCATGTTTCATTTTTCTTGGAAATAGCGCTGCTATTAAGGAGACTAGAGTCACCACTGTCCAATGCTTGTCTGGTACTGGCTCATTGAGGATCGGAGCTGAGTTTTTAGCAAAACATTACCCCCAAGTAAAGCCCTTGTCCTTTACATTTTGCATTTGTATGTGCTCGTAACTGACTGTCACTTGGCCTTATTGTGTCCCTTGCTCAGCACCATACAGTGTACATGTCCCAGCCAACATATGGAAACCACCCAAATTTGTTCTCTGTGGCAGGGCTAGCAATAAAAACTTATCGTTACTATGACCCAGAAACATGTGGACTGGACTTTCAAGGTTTTTCACTTTTCTGTTTGGAAATGCTACTTCTTGTCTTATCATGTTTTGGTTTTCCATTACCTTTTATTCCTCCCTTTTATGGTACACTGTATTTATTTTCTGTCAGATATTAATAAGATTATACAAATTATGATTTCGAATATATTTGATTAAAATCGACAATTCTTCTGCTTCTAATGGTCTACCTACCCCTTTCCACTTGTGAGTTGTGTGACATTAACTGAGTGTTCTTTTAATCACATATTGTGATTCATTTTTGGCGAATGCCAGGCATGTTGGAAGATCTCCAATCAGCCCCATCCGGAGCTATCGTGCTTCTCCAAGCATGTGCTCATAACCCTACTGGTGTTGATCCAACTATTCCACAGTGGGAGCAGATAAGACAATTGATGAGATCAAAAGGGTTGTTACCTTTCTTTGATTCTGCTTATCAGGTAAGGCACTGTTTCCTTAAAGCTCAGAACAGCTTCAACTTTGCAGTTTTCTAGGATCCCCCTAGTGTTAAGCCTGTGGGAGGTCGTACCTGAGAACTTGGTGCAAGTGTCCTGATCTTGATACCTTCGTCTCCTGAGCTCTATCTAGGGTTTTGTCAGTGGAAATCTGGATGACGATGCCCAATCTATTCGTCTATTTGTTGCTGATGGCAGCGAATGCCTTATAGCCCAATCATATTCGAAGATTATGGGGCTTTATGGTGAACGTGTTGGTGCACTCAGCATTGTAAGACATCAATTTTTCCTAGCAGTTAAATGCCTGAAAAACAAAAACATAACCAAAAAACCCACTGCTGCTTACTTTTAGACCTTGTTTTTTCAGTACCAGTGCATGTATCTATGCTCATTGTTTCTTCTATTTTCTGTACATATATACATCAATGAATTTCTAGCAATTAAAATTTATATAGCTTTTTGTTGAATAGGTTTGCAAGACAGCAGAAGTGGCTAGCCATGTTGAAAGCCAGCTGAAACTTGTGATCAGGCCCATGTATTCTAACCCACCCATTCATGGGGCAGCCATTGCGGCTGCCATCCTAAAGGACAGGTTTTGGATTATACAAACTCATTCTGGTGTCTGCCCTTATGCAGTTTAACTAAGAACATCAGAATCAGGAAACTATGGCTTATCTTTATAAGTTCAATAAGTTCTTTTCACATTTGGCTACTCGTTTTGACTATTGTCCCCTTTTCCTATGCGATTAAGCTTTTGAGATTACTGGTAACTTGATGGTAGAACAAACTTCTTTCTTAAATGTCTTTCAAGATTGTGGATGCTTTGTTTGCAGGGATTTGTACAATGAATGGAGTATAGAAGTGAAGGCAATGAATGACCGCCTTATTAGCATGCGCCAACACCTATTCGATGCACTGTGTGATAAAGGCAAGCATGATTAGTCACCTAAAAATAGCCTTTTGTTTCCATTGTTTCCAGTCATTTTTGACAACTTCTCTTTTATTATTTGGCAGGTACTCCTGGTGACTGGAGTCACATAACCAAACATGTGGGAATGTTTACTTTCTCTGGATTGAACCCTGAACAAGTTGCATTCATGACAAAAGAGTACCATATCTACATGCCATCTGATGGGTAAAAAATCATAACACTTATCTTAAGCTCTTTTCTCCAATGCGTGTGTATTTGCACGTATGTACGTATTAGGGTCCTTGGCTTGATACTGTCGGTCCACGCAGAATCCTTCTGGGAAATTATCATAGACAACACAAAAGACTTTGGATTGTAGCCCTTTCCACTGCTACTCACTCCTTCTAAACTCCATTACCAATTTATCAAACATCATGATTTTTTGATGACTTTGTTCATCACGATGAAAAATCACGTAGAAACCACATTCACTTACAAGATTATTATGTAAAATCATGTAAAAAGGAGATTTTAGACTTTAGATTCTCCAAATTTCTATGTTCTGTTCATTTTGATGATTTTTCATCATAATCTCATGAGTAATTGTGTCTTCTTTCTTTCTTTATTTATTCAAAATATGGGCTTTCTGTGCAGGAGGATTAACATGGCGGGTCTTGGTACTAAGACAGTTCCTCATCTTGTAGATGCAATACATGCAGCTGTTACCACCCTTTGTCTAAATTAGTTGCACACCATTCTTTCTTCCGTGTACTCCTCAATCTAATCTCATGATGTACACATTTGACCTTGTAAATTTTAATAATCCAATGGCTTAGATTACTTATTATTTGTAACCGTTGATGATATGTAAACTTCGCATGCATCAGTTGTAAAGAACAAGCTTACAACTCATCGTCGGTGAAAGGTGATCCGATTTCTGACCATTAATATATCTCATCAGGGTGAGAGACATGTATCCATATCGATACGTCCACGGTCAGAAATCGCCAACCGCAACCCTTACATAGATATCTTGGGTTAGGCCTCGACAATCGCGAAATATGGTCGGACTGAGACGCAGTCCACACCTCTCAACCTCGAAGCACGTGCCAACCATAACATCCAGTGGGCTATGTCCACGTATCTTGTTTTGGACAGCTATCTCCAAAACGGTTTTCCACGTCGCTCGACTGACAGCTTCAATCCAACGGCAAGAAGCAATGCCCCGGATGAAATCAACGATGACCCGTGGGTTTCTTTTGTCCTTGAAAAAATAATAAAATGGGGCAAATAATAGAAAATAGGGGAAAGTAGGGTGGGGCCCACTTAATCGGACGTGTTACGAAAGAGACGGTAGGCCTTCATGACTTGCCACGTAAGCACCCACGTAAGTCATTTTTTCGATTTATAAAAGGAAATGCCCCGACAGTCAGAAATTGTTGCTTTTCCTCACTGATACACCAAACCCCGAACACGACTTAAAAAAGGCGTATTTTAAGCTTGGAACGAATAAAACTGCCTATCATGCGCCCACAGTTCACATCACCTGACGCCCATAGTTCTTCTCCTGCCTTTTCTTCTTCTTCTTCTTCAAGCAGCAGTGATCGGAGGATCAACGCTCTCGTGCGTCACCTTGATTCGTCTGCCATGGATCCTAACAACAACAGCTCAATCTCTGCTTCGCCAACTTCGGCACATGCCAATTCTGTCTTCGCTCACGTCGTTCGCGCCCCTGAGGATCCAATCCTCGGGGTACTCTCTCTTTCTTCATCTCTGCTTGATATTTGTGTCAATGTTTGTATGATATTTCAGATGTTCATTTGTTTTGTATTAATTTTGGTTTTGATTAAGCTGAACAGTTTTGGTGATTGATTTATTTGAATGTTAACAATATTTTGATTGTTCGTCCCTAAATCCTTAGAAATCTTCGATTTCGATCGTTTTTGGGTGTTTTAATCTTCGCTTGATGTTGATCATGATTCATGTGTCATGCATGCAACTGATCCTCTGATTTAGTTGATCATGCTTGGTTTTGTTTACCTGATTTTTTAACCATTTTTTAAACATGTTTATTTGGTTTTCTTTGTCAAACAAACAGGTGACTGTTGCATACAACAAAGATCCGAGCCCGGCTAAGTTGAATTTGGGTGTTGGTGCTTATCGAACTGAGGTGAGTCTGTTATGGACTGAATTTAATTATTGTTTTGTAATATTTTGTGTATCATCAGACAAATATGTCTTTTCTAATGTATCGAAATTGAGCGTGCCTGCTCACATGATTGTAGGAGATGCTGATGTTTGTCTCATTGTAAAAATCGTGGTTGTCTAGTAATTTTTTATTTTAAATAATAACAATTTTTTTTATTTTGAAGACACTGTCGTTGATGGTAATAGTTTTGATAGTGGTTTTTGAATGTGTAAAATTTCTTAACAGCCTTTCTTCGTGGCATGACAGGAAGGAAAACCACTTGTTCTGAATGTAGTGAGGAAAGCAGAACAGCTGCTTGTTAATGACAGGTGGGTTATACCATTTGATTTGCACTGTTAACTAAGAAGCCAACGTTATTGACATTAAACTGATTCCTACTATTAGTTGACGACTTACGTTTCAAATCTGCATTATATTCCAGGTCTCGCGTTAAGGAATATCTGCCTATTGTTGGACTGGCAGATTTCAATAAACTGAGTGCTAAGCTGATTCTTGGTGCTGACAGGTACAAAAGACTGTTTATTAACGTTCAGATCCCTTGTTGTTCTATTAAGTTTTTCCTTTTTTGAGTTGGTCACTTGTTTACCTGGTTTCATGCATGATTTACTTGCTTGATACAGTCCTCCTATTCAAGAGAACCGGATTACTACTGTCCAATGTCTGTCAGGAACTGGCTCATTGAGAGTTGGAGGTGAATTTTTGGCAAAGCATTATCATGAAGTAAGTGCTTACTTGTTGCAACACCTCATGCTTCTACCATTTTCTGGATTTTTATTCAGAGAACTTGACCTTGTCTATTTTTCTGCAGCGCACAATATACATACCCCAGCCAACATGGGGAAACCACACAAAAATTTTCACTCTGGCAGGGTTGTCTGTGAAAAGTTACCGATATTATGATCCAGCAACGCGTGGCCTCAACTTCCAAGGTTTAAAATTAAACTAGTTAATAGTTACTTATTGTTTCTGTCGCAGTTGAATGTTTCCCCTCCAACTGTTTCATCTTCTTTCAGTTGTATTTTAATTGGCACTGTAGTTATAATATCACTAAACTGCTTATGGTTCTTCCCATTGTCAACAGGCCTCTTAGAAGACCTTCGTTCTGCCCCAGCTGGAGCAATTGTACTTCTCCATGCATGTGCTCATAACCCCACTGGTGTTGATCCAACCCTTGAGCAGTGGGAGCAGATCAGACAGCTTGTGAGATCAAGAGGATTATTACCATTCTTTGACAGTGCTTATCAGGTAGGTCGTGTATGAAGTTCAGAATCTTCTGCACACTAATTTGTTCTTTTTCTATTTTATTTTATTTTATTGTGCTATTTCTACTTTTAATGCCTGATGTTTTCTTGTATTTGTAGGGTTTTGCTAGTGGAAGTTTGGATGCAGATGCAGCGTCTGTTCGTAGGTTTGCTGCTGATGGTGGAGAGTGCCTCATAGCTCAAAGTTACGCGAAAAACATGGGGCTCTACGGAGAACGTGTTGGTGCCCTAAGCATTGTAAGACTTGTTCAATAACTTCCAGTTTGGGATTGCATTATTTTGATAGATCCAACAAAAAATTCAGAAGAAAAAAACTGCCCATTTGACTTTTTTTTTTTAAATCTAGAATGTTTTTCAGACCTATACTTTTGGCATACATCTTAAGTTATCTCTTGATTGTGTTGTCTGTTGCAAATTCTACTCTAACGTAGGTCTGCAAGACTGCTGATGTTGCAAGTAAGGTTGAGAGCCAACTGAAGCTTGTGATCAGGCCCATGTATTCAAACCCACCCATTCACGGTGCATCTATTGTAGCCACCATTCTCAAGGATAGGTACTCTTCAAACTTTGTCCAGGTGCCTGTGAAATGACAATAATTGGATTGATGCGTCTTCACCTAATTATTGAATTCCACCAGATTTTTTTTTGTCTCGCTTTGACTTATAGTTACCGTATCGCCTTTTTCTTCTGCGCTCAGGGACTTGTTCGACGAATGGACAATTGAGTTGAAGGCAATGGCTGACCGTATCATCAGCATGCGACATCAACTGTTTGAATCCTTGCGTGCCAAGGGTGAGTACTTCCATATATGACAGTCTTGGTCATGTAGATCATTAACTAACGTAACAATGTAATTACTCATTTGATCAGCATAGGATATAGAAAAATCGTTAATCAACATGGGAATGAGTCGAACGACAAAGGAATAGTGTAAAGAAATCCAAACTCTTTGCCGTTTTGCATAGTTGTTTTACCTTGCTGACTTTTACACTCTGCAGGCACACCTGGTGACTGGAGCCACATCATCAAGCAGATTGGAATGTTTACCTTCACAGGATTGAACTCCGAGCAAGTTGCTTTCATGACTAAAGAGTACCATATCTACATGACATCTGATGGGTAATCAACCAGCTTTATTTCTGAATATAATTTTAAGGTTCTGCTGTTGTGTCTGTGTTCGTCTTCCTGCTGCCTATGTTTTTATTGTTATCCTTAGTTAGCACTAGGATAAAATGAAAATTTGGTAGCAATAGACTAATCCAAACTCGTCTTGATACGAACAGAGTGAGGGTTTGGCATAATGAGGTGAATGAGCATATGGCTTAAGTTCTCTCTTCATTTTTGGCAGGAGGATTAGCATGGCTGGTCTGAGTTCGAGGACCGTCCCCCATCTTACAGAGGCAATACATGCAGCTGTTACTCGCGTTGCCTAAATCATGTTTCCAGGGCAACATTTTTCGTTTTTTGTGAGCCAAATCCATATCGGACTCTACCCTTTCCAGATTTTTTGTTGTAATAATTGTTTGCCTCATCAAATGAGGTTAAAGATTTGGCGAGTACGAAGTGAGCGATCTAGAGATGCGCTGTACCCTACCCAGGGTCTTTTTTACAGGGTTTGCGAGTTTTTGTTTCAACCTGCTACCTGCTACCTTACAATATATCTATATGCATCTTCTTTATCCCCATGGTGCTGGTCATGCTATTCAAATGAATGGCATTGTTTCCAACTTCTAACTTTCCTTTCATATTTTTTAGCAAAGGAATCGAAAATTACGCCGGTATCACGTTAAAATCAGGAATTTGTTAGGAATTAGATTGATGAGCAGTTGATTTCATACTTTTTCATTTGCACTCTTATTCCAACTTTCCCATTCACAACTTCAATCTAAGGAAGCATATCCAAAAATCTGTTTGAATAAATTCAGAAAATTAGTGGGACTCATCCGTAAGTTGGTTAAATTGTTATAGTAGAATTGATTAAAAATATTTGATCCTAACAAAATTAAAATAATATACTCTTAGCACAATAAATATAAGAATCAGGGATTAGCTCATAAAAGAATTTCTTTCAATCAATTGATTTACTGGATCCAGCCACTAACAAAAATAAAAGCAGGAAAAAAAAAAACCAAAACTACATACATATATGGATAACATAATTTACTAAGGCAAATCTGGAAAAAAAATATATATAGGACAACAGATATTATGGTTACAATCTTTTCTTACAAGAAGCTTTTTTTATCTGCATCCCTTCAACAAATAACTAGACGGACTTGAAAAGGTTTTAGCATTAGAAGACTTGGCATTTTCTATTCCCTTGCCAGGTGTCCCACACTCACTAAAGTCAAGGGTGCGACGCTCCACCTACAGAGATGAACAAATTATCAGCTCATTTCACAACATTGATAAGAAAAAAAACCCTATTTTTTTTTTTTTTTTTTTTTTTTTTTTTTTTTTTTTAAATTTTAACCACCCCCACTAACCCCCATGATGATTCTTGTTGAAAAATTAAATAATCATACCAAAACATTTGCAGCCGAAAGGGAACTGCTCCCAGGCTGATTAGGTGGGCCATGATTGTTCTCAGGGTCCACCAAGGCTTGGTTTTTACGTCTTTCCCTGAATAATGTTTCAGGGGTTTCATTTCCAAGAACTTCCTGGGCATTGGCATAGGCGGCGGCAGTCTGCTCACTTATCTGCTTCATCAACCCAATTGCATCATAGCTTCTATCCCCAGGGCTCATAAAAAACCCAATATCCTGGAGGGAGGAAATCACATTTATTAATTAAAAGTAAAACATTTACCACATAATTTGAGAAGAAAACCAGAATTTAAGGTACCTCAATTGAAATTTCAGTATCAACCCTTGGGCCAGGTACAAAGGAGTTGATAAACCAAGGGGATTTCCATGCTGAAGGAGATTCTATACTTCGTTTGAACGGAGTGTCACCAAATCTATCATTAAGCACCATCCCCAAAGAAACCCATCAGATATCGATAATGACACTGACAATCAGAATGAGAATGAGAATGATAATGAAAAAAGACTAAATCTTACATGTTTTCAATACTGATATCATTCCCAGCATTATCACCAGTTGTTTCTGGGGGAGCTGACAAAGAATCAGATTGTACACATGTATCCACAAGTGAGTAACTTTCATGCTTTTTCACACATATAGTAGGGGATTTAACCGATGCGCATTGTCTTGCAGAAAAAGATTTAGAAGGGACTCCTGGGTTTGTAGCTTCAAAGCTTTTACGAAACTGACTTCTAGGAGTTTTAGTACTTGTGCCCAAAGCTTTTTCAGCTTTACAACCAACAGGAGAACACAATAGCAGATCATTTGCGTTATGTTCAACAAGAACTCCAGAGGTCTGTTGCGCCTGAAAAACAGAAGGCAATATGAGAATTTAATATTTTAAACAAATGCAAAATAAAATCCACCTATGATTGGCCAGTAATATACCCATCCTGAAATTCACAGTATATCTCCTGATAAAAAGCTGATATGTGGAAATACAGGCAAGAGAAACTCACAATTTGTGAAGTGGGGACAACATCAACCTTATTCTTAGCATCAATATCAGCAATTCCTTGGAACTGCTTTGTCTTTTCCTGGGATTCACCGTTATCAAAATCTTTATGTGCAATTCCATCATCTGATAATGCAGTGCTGTCACTTCCTTTTTCTATTCTGCTTTCACATGTACCTTTGTTCTCTTTATCTTCACTGGGGGAATCAGAATTCCTATTCTTATTAGAAGATGGAGAAAGTAAAGTTGTTTTTTCCTCACTATCTTCAAACATAACATCAAGACGTGAAAAATCTCTGGCCAAGGAGGAGGTCAGGTCAGTCCCAAGCCTTTTATCAATTCTTCTATCCGACAATGGCGACAATGGAGACAACAAATCTCGGTGTCGTTTCTTCAAAATAGACGGCGTTCCTGTAAAAGTTTTAGCAGCACTTTTCAGCACAGCATCGGGGCTACTCTCACGAGATGGTGAATCCCATAACCTATATGGAGTAAGGCAATTCATGGAAGACATCATCAGCTGACGAATGCCGAGTGGACTGTATTCTTGCTGCATGTCATTACCAGATTGTACAAGATCACAACTAAAAAATGGAATATCCAAGCTTGGAAAGCGAGGAGGTTCATAACATAGAGCTCCGCCATCCTGCTGTTCTGTCTGCTCATCTGACCTCACATCCACAGGACAATTTTGCGAATCCAATCCTGAATCAAATGTATTTACAGGTACTAATTTTGAAGGATCCTTAACCAGATCTGATTGCTCTTGCATTCCTGTATCATTGCTGGCAGAGTCATTGGTATAGATAAACCCGTCATTTGAATTTGTGACAAACTCTTGCTCTTGAACCCCGAATAAATGACTAGGTTCTCCAGCATATATAAGCGGACCTTCATGAGCAGAAACTACTTGAGAGCACGAAGTTCCAGTTACATCAGAACTCAAGGGATGATATACTTGTGAAGCTGAAGTTCTCCCGGTTTCAGATATCTGGAGGTTTGATGGTTGTAGAAGTACTGAATCTGTGCAAGCACCCAAATCAACCATGTTTGCACCATTTGTAAAATCTCCAGAGGAAAAACATCCACCATTCATTGCATCTGAAAATAATACCCTGCAACATTCATCGTCAGATATCAACATGTGCTCTGATTTAATAAAACCCACGGCCATATTCCCCATGGAAGTAGAAGTTTGAAAAGGAGCGTTCACCCCTTCATGGCTCTCATTACAACCCACACAATGAGTATGCATCCTCGATGATTCCTGGCCACATTCTAGTGAAGAATTGATAGGTAACTCATGCAGATTAAACTGGAAATCCCCACTCATTGAAGCTCCAGCCTCATGTGAAAAATTTTGCTCTATGAATTTGGAGCAAACCATTTCAGGAGGTATTTCTGGGATGGAAAAAGTGGCATCTCCTACAGATGGGTAATATGGTTCTGAACAAGACGCTGGACTGCAGCTTGGGTCATTTCCTAAACGGGATACTTCATTTATCTGAAATTCCTCTCTAGGATGTGGTACCACATTGGTCATTTCCGTTGCTGAGAGAAAGCAACCAGCAACAGTAGAATCTTGACTGCATTCTGAAATTTCTTCTCCTTCTGCAGCTTTGGCACCACTATCATCTCCACTGCTCTGCATTCTTGAAGAAGATGACAACACAGATTGGTTTTGATGTCCAACATGAGGCAGTCCTTGAAACTGTGTAAGTAAACCCGATTTCAAATAAGAATCCAACTTCTTCTTCACAGAGCTGTTCCAGTGATTTTTTATAGCATTGTCTGTCCTGTTGACCATGCAAGCATAGATATATCACAATTGTTGCCAGTGCAACAGATTAGAAGAATATCTAGTTATACTAAACACCCATAGTAGCAAAAGAAAACATTTCATTTTGTTTCACAAAAAATTTAAGTAGAAATAACAGAGACTCTTTGCCTCCACATAACGTATGGGCATACCTTCCAGGCAAGAACTTTGTTAGCTCTGCCCATTTGTTCCCATACATTTGATGTGCACGAATCAGAGCCAGCTCCTCGTCCTGTGTCCATGCCTCTTTGTTTATGCCAGGATTAAGATGATTATGCCACCTAAAAGTAGTTTCAACACGGTCAGCAAAAGAAACAAATATTGGAACAGAAAAATATGATAAACAACCCAAGAGTAAATCATTATAATAGTAACTCCACTGAGGGTTAACATGCACAACCTGATCCTGGTGGACCGTTGAAGATTTACAATTCTGTATCAATGAAATCATCCACAATAAATTCTGTTATCATACCTTTCTCGGCATTGCTTACCAATACGTCCAGGTAAATGTTGTGCAATAGTGGACCACTTTTTTGGCCCGTATTTTTTCACCAATTCAATAATAATTTCATCCTCCTAATCAATTTTTCAGAAACAACTAGTAAGGAAACATTACATATAAAAAGAGAAAACTTATTTGATCAGACAAAAAAATTTCAAACACTGCAGAGAGGAAATCGACACAAAAATAAGACGAAAGTAGTGTGATACCTCTTTAGACCATGGACCTTTGACCAGCTCTGGATTCAAGACTTTCTGCCACCTATGTAGGCATTGCACATCAGTCCGATCCTTGAAACACTCCGCTACACATCGCCAAGATTCACAATTAAACAATGCATAGAACATATGTGAAGTAAAAAGTAGCACCAATTAAGACAAAAATGCTTCGTGACTTCAAATAAAGGAAGATAAGAGGGAGGGATGCACAGACAGAGGGAGTTAGAAGGAGAGAATGCCATAAAGAGAAACAGGGCTAAAGTTTAGTGAAAACTATCTTTAGTTTCATGACATACTAATGGTGATGGACACACAGTTCCACAATAGTACCTATTTTTTTCCAATTCTTTCCTTTAAAACGCTGAACTGCCCTCCGCAAGATTTCATCCTGAATATAAAGAGAAAAAAAAATCATAAGCACTAAAAAAAAAAAAAAAAAAAAAAAAAAAGAAAAAGAAAAAAAATCTACACAAGAAAATTTATTGAAATAGAAGCACAATGAGTTGAGAACTGAATATCAGTGATATACCAAATAGAAAAGCAAAAATAATTTATATCACAAGAACCCATTTTCTGCTGAATAAGATATAAAGAGCCCACGGTACAATAGCTGCTTTTGGCATCAGGTGTTTTTTTATATACCTAACTATAAACTTACGTGTCTTTGTGATAGTTTGTTCTTTTAAAAGCAAATTTACCTCTTCAGGTGTCCATTGTCCTTTTGTAGAACGCCTTGTAGGCCCACTAGTCCTCCTACAATAGACTTGCATAATATTAGACAAACATTGATTCATATAACAGATTCTCAATTGAAGATAATTTTAAAATACTAAAACAAATGGCATACAGAGAGAGAATCCTAAAACATAGAAGATTGAGAATTTAATAATACACACGTTGTCACATACAAGACACCCAAGTAAAAAGTTAACAACGGCCAACTTCTAAGAAATGGTGGTAATAAAGAATGAACATATGCACTTTAGTTAAAAGTTCGCAGAAAGTGCTGAACACATCCTTAGAGTAAATATCCTTCTTTCATTTAATTGAAGATGATCCAATCCATTGACAGGACCAAACACGAAGTTGATTACTTTTCAGTTTTTGAATGAAGTAAATATTCAAATCAAGATGGACAACTGGAGATGACATCTAAAAAGCAAGACTGAATAGTTTTCAATAGAATTACCCATGGAGAGCTCTAACTTTCTGAATACTGTCACCGAGCCCTTCTGAGGGAGTAGAATTTGTTCTGTCACCTTCCATAGTTTATCAACAGACAGGTCAAGCTGCATACCCCAATTCCTACTCGACAATTCTCTTCTGTATTTGCACTCCAAATCATTATAATCACCCTATGAAATGGTAGGACCCACCTTGTTGCACAGAAAACCCACAGGCTGGAAAAACATGAGCAATGATAAAATTAAGAGATATTTCGCTCAAAATTGAGGATAAAAACACAACAAGAAATGAAGCCCCATGAAGAATGAACAAACTAAAAATAAAGAATTGAAGAATTCAAGCTGAATTGTGGTTTGATGCAGGAAAATGAGTAAGTTTAGGCAAAACATTGACAAATCAAATCAAAGCTGGCACAGCAAAGAAATATAGCTATGCTCACTGGACCACATCATATGCCCTATAACGATAAAGAACATGAATTACAAAGAAACTAAAACGCCCAAGAAACTCAAACATAGCAAATTATATCCTAAAGCATCCAAAACGCAAAATTCACCAATTCTACAACTACAAGCTCAACAACAACAAAAGTAACTCCTTGATATTCAAACTCAAAATGGTATTGAGTAAATTTTTAAATAGATCATATCAGACTCAAATTCAACTGAAAATCAATGAACCATTTGTCAGTATCCAACAGATTAAGCCATCAGACAGGAAAGAAATTGTTTACACAATTCAAATTCAAAACAATCCAGAACTCACATAACTTAAACTTGGGGTATCAGGAAAGCTTCATCAAATTAATTCAATGAAAACAAAAAGTTGGGATCAATAAAGAAAAAACCCAAATGTAGTCAAAATGAAAACCCTAAGCCACTGACCGAACTGAGCTTGGAAGAGCGAATTACAGAGATTCCACACAGAGAGAAAGTCGACGATACGATCGAAACAGAGCACATTTGAAGATCGAAACGAAGAAATGCAAAATTTGAAAAGAGATCTGCACACACAGTGCAGAGCAAAGAGGGAGAGAGAGAGAGAGAGAGAGAGAGAGAGAAGTGAAACGGTCCAGAGCTCTATTCAAACATAAAGGGGCGGACTATGGGAGTTTCAAACCCTCTGAGTTAAAGCTCGAGCAAGTTTCAGAGGCCGGACGGTCCAGATTTTGACACGTAGGAACGGAAGCCGGCCCCTCTAGACCTACTTTGCCGTATGTTTTTTTTTAAAAGTTCAACGGACAAGTTAATTTTCTCCTCTTTTGATTTTTTAAATTTTTACTCAAATTCTTTTTGGGGCAAAATATTAGGTTTTTGAAATTGTAATTTGGGTAAAGAAAAAACGCAATTGTGATTATGGCGGCTTTGTTTTCTAATGGGAAAAATGAAAGCTAATCTCAATCCACTATGTATTGTCTATCCGTTGACCGCTTGTTGGGTTTCAAATTTGTTGATTTTTTGTTTGGTTTCATTTATAAATTAAGAAATATTTGTTGACTTATATGGGTGAATGCGTGTAAAATATAAATTCATATATTTGTTGCATGGCATTATGTATTTTTTTTCAATTGTAGAAGGATGGTTAATTAGGAATAATTAGTAGAGGGATAGTTAATAAGGACTAATTAGAGAGAAAATGAGGAGATATTTGAATGGAGAGAGATTAAGAGAACCTTTTTAGACTAGGGAGATCTTGTCAACAAGGTCTAACTCGGTGAAAATAGCATTGGCTTAGTCCCAGGTTCGGATCCATACGACATCATAGTTATCCCTCATTTCCTCTAATTTAGATTATCGCTCTAAAAATAAAAAATAAAAAAGATTAATAAGTAGATCTTAGGAGGGATAAAAAAAAATATTAAGAGAGGATCTGGTTCCCTTAAGAAATGGATATTTCTCTGTACGTTTTCAGGAAGTATCCATGGTTTCTGTTATGTTATTAAATGAGTCACCAAATACACTACAATAAATGACTTTACAGTAAAACTTTTCTAATTGATTCTTATAAAATTTTATTATTAAAAATTTTACGGTAACTTTTCATAAATTAATCAGTTGTCATTTCCAATTGATTCTTATTACATTTTATCATTAAAAAAAATTTAATTTTAAATTTTATTATTATTATGATTTTACGGTAAACTTTGAAGGTTTCCTGAGAATTTAAACTTTCAAATATCAGCAAATAAAAAACAATAAAATAAATTAGGAAAATAAATTTGAATAATTATATTATTCGAGTTACACAGGCAGAGACAGGGTAATGGAACTATATTATTGTTCAAAACGAAGAAAATAAAACCACCAGGCGATCAAAAAGCAATGTGCTAATAAACCTAACATATCTCTAAACGGTATTGCACAAAATTGATCCCAAAACAGGTTTGAGATTTCTGGATTGGACGGACGGCTCTCCTGTAGCTCAAAATTTCCGGGCTTTGTATGGGCGACTTCCGTTGTCATTGTCCCTTGATCGGCCATGTTCCAACCCCTATTGCTGTGTCTCCCTCCCCTGGTAATCGCAAACATAGATTGAAAAATTGAAGTGAGTTTCAGATTAACTCTGGATAAGATTATAACACGGAATGAAAAGGAAGCAGGACAAGTGGTACTAACCTTCCTCCTCCGCGGTGGCTCTTACTATCGCGGAATTTTCTTGGTGGCCACGGAAGAGGCTCCAGTACTCCTTTTCAGCCTCACCTGAAAGAATATCAAGCAAAACAACATTGAATACAACAGAAGAAAGAAGTACTACTCATGAAACACCAGGCTGCTAGACAACCACTAAAAATGAAATAAAGATGAAGGTTGATGCCTACCGCTGACTGGTTCCAAAGTTGCAATGAAATTCTTCACAACCAGACCTCCTAGGTCAGTAAGGACTGCAGCAGCACGTGCTTTCTGAGCTGCTTCAGGCTCTTCGAACCGAATGTATCCTGATTCTTCTCCGATCTTAAAATCAATGTACTTAACATAACAGACACGCATGTCAAAATGTCAGAACCAAACAACTCAAGCAAAAACGACCATGCAGAATACCAAGGATCTACCTAAAAGTTCTTAATTGCTATCAGTAATCAATGAGAAACAAGGTGATTAGGACATATTTGTCAAACCCATTAGGGTTTACAAAAAACAGAGATGGAAGAGGAAATCATTTAATTCAGTCTTCAAATCCTGCTAAAAAAAGTAAGATAAAATCATTGTGGTACCTTAACAGTGCCAAATTTTTGGAATACACTCTTCAAATCCTCACGCATAACAACATCCATGTTATCTTTGTATGCGGCAGCACTCAATCTTTCTTCCTTCTCTCCACTCTTTGCAGCAGGAACTTCAGAAGGATTTTCCCCATCTCCAGTTTCCTTTCCTTCACCACCATCTGAACTATTTTTCTCATCAGCAATTTCCTTATTCTCCTTAACATCCTCTCCAGGAATTTCTTCATCTCCATCACCTCGGTTAACATCTTCCAACACCTTCTTTTCAGTTTCTTCGGTAGCATTCTCTGAAGAATCAACGTGACCATCAGTTTTGTTACCATTTGTACTACCATTAGCAGTGGCAGGACTACCACTATGCTCTGCAGAACCTTTATCTGATGTGCTCTTTAACGTGAACGCAACAATCAACCCTTTAGGATAGCTGTAACATCATAAGTATTAGTTAAGCAGGTTAAACCCCTCAAAGGGAAAGAACTTGGAAATCAAATATTATTATCTACTTACTCTGCCTCTGCTTTTGAGTTATTCTTGCGGTTTGTATCGGTCCGAGGGCGAGCCTCGTACTCCTTTACCTCTCTTTCTCTATCAGTATCAAAATCCTTCCTGCATCAGGCATATTCTATTAGAAGGAGCAGATATACAAACAAGGACTTGCAAGCACACAAACAAAAATCATATCATTTAACAATATGACATATCCATTTAGGCACATTTAATATCAAATTAAAAAAATTTGTCAGAGGAAGAATGTAAAGGGCCAGAAATGTATCTATTTTTGGTGATTACAAGCCATACCTTCTTGGATTGTCATAATTTCATTAAACACAACAGCAAAAACACACTTTCCCACGATAATGGATAAGTGAAACTTACTTTGGTTTTAGGTCTAACTTGAGACCTGAATAATCCAAAGATTGCTCCAGGATCTTATTGGCTTCTTCCTCTGTGGAAAACTCGACCAAGGCAGTGCCGCAAAACAGCTTTTTGTCTGCAACATGACGAGGCAGCCTCACACTGTTAACCTGAGACAATGGAGAACAAATTCTTACACTTACAAGCTACAACAATATACAGTCCAGACTAATTGTCAGTGTTCAAGCACACCATAACAATTTAAATAACCAATTTGTTAATCTACTTTGTGAGTTACATCAATGACCTGATTTCTACCTTGGCAAATTGTCCAAAAAATGTTTCGACGTCTTCAAGCTTTGCATCATACTCAAACGGTGAAGCAGCTACGGTCCTTATGTCTACCTGCTCTATCAACTCCTCTGGCTTCAGGATTTCAGTAGACCTGCCAACCTTCGTGCCTAAAACACATAATTATCATAAAATTTGTCAAAAGGATACATTCATTATCAATCAGAAACAAATTTTGAACCAAACCTTGGCGATCCTCAAACCCAGGACCTTGCCTGAGGGAGCAATTGCTACAAACCACTAGTGTAGTGGGTCCTTTGCTTTCTACTTGCATTCTATTATTGAAAAGTAACAGTGAGAGGCCAGAAAAAACTCACCGTCTTCGGAAAGCTTTATGGTGGTAGATTTTCGAAGAGTTTCGGCAACAGCCTTTACTCTATCTTCAGGGACACTGTCTGGCTTCACATCCCCCAACTTGAGATGATTTCTCATCCGAGTAAACGAGCATATCAAAGCCAAGCTAACCACTAAACGTTCACAGTCAAGGTCAACCAAAACTCAAATATCCAAAGCGTCAACAAAACCAACAGAAAATTGATTGAAAAATACATAAAATGCTCAGAACCACAGCACAGTTTTCAAACAAAGGATACATCCTTCTTCACTTTCGCTTATGGTTTTTTTTGAGAAAATCGTCCCGAGGAAGATTGCTATCGCTGAAGTAAAACTCAACCTGCAAAAACAACAACAAAATCACAGTTAGTTAGGAAATTAATTCGTCAGAACAAAATCAATCAAAATTTGGAAGCGTTTGAATATGAACCTGGCGGAGCACTTTCTTCGAAGTTTCTTCGTCCAATGAAGGCGTCGCCATTGTTGTGAGAGAGAGAGAGAGAGAGAGAGAGAGAGAGAGAGAGTATGTGTGTTTTTGTGTAACTTGCTTGGCTTCTAAACAGCGAAAGCGAACAGAGAAGAGGTAGAGAGAGAGAGCTCCTAGGGTTTTGGCTTTCGCAGGATATTTTAAGCTTTGGTTTGGGCTTTGAGTTCGTTTCTGGCTTTTAAACTGAATAAATCCGAGTGGGCCGGGTTTACTTAACAGTGTCGTTCCAGTCAGTAATTCTCCATTTATCTGCCACGTGTATAAACAGAGAATGGTGGGACCCACAAAGTCAAAGGACGTGGGGCAGCATCTAACCGCCTGCAATTAACTTGGATTTTGTTCGATCACGCTTCACGATCACACGTTAAAGAATGGTGAAGAACACGATTAAAATTTGCATTTGGCATGTATCTTCGTATTTAAAATTTTCACGTTAAAATCTTTTAAAATCTAAAGACACACGGATGCATACAGTTGCATAGTAGTCAATGCTTAGTCAACGGTTCGATACAGCCTGGTCCAACGCAAGAATTTAGACCCAACACAACAGCTCTCAAACTTTAAGTTTAATTTGCAGTCAACAGCCCTCAAACCTTGAGTTTTGTAGTTTGTCCATCTGAGTAAGTCCTCAGTAGTCATTGTCCTAATTCTAAGTACGATTTACTGTGTGATTCATGCATTTCCGACTGACAATCGATCATAAGCCACGTGTGTAGCCGAGTATAGATTGTGGTACTTGCGAGGGTTTAGGATTTAGGGACGAAAAGACCATCACTCAATTAGTTAGCTTTCAAATCAATGTAAGATTATGTAGCTGGCTACTTGGTTAGGTCTCAACTAAGCTTTACACCTCATGGCTATTGTATTGAATTGAATTATCCACGCACCCCCAACTCAATTCGGAGAGACCTACCAATTTGAATATAAATGAATCACTTCTCACTCCTTGAATCAATTTGTACTCAATTTGGGATAGAGGTATGGAGACAAATGTACACAAAACTCCCATCAGAAATGAGCAAACAATTAAGCGTTGAAATTCAGAGGTTTTGGGGAATAGTACTTCATATTTCATTCATTCATCAACAAGGCATATATACTACTAACGGTAAATTAGACTTTGTCCTAATCCACTACTAATTACATAACTTTCGCAACATTAAGAACCGTTTGATATGGCAATTACCACATCACAATAAGATTGGAAGACAATCTGATACATGCATACAGAGATTCAACCCCAAGCATAAGAATATTAATGTCCACTATCATTCCTTTTGCGCCCTCAATCTTGCAATATTAATTTCTAATATTGCACAAATCAAATGGTTCACCAGGTCCCCTCCTTTTTCTCTCTCTTTTTTTTTCTTTTTTTCTTTTTTCCAAATACACTTATAGATGATTTAGAAATCATTCACAAATGGCTAAATATAAATAAGGGTTTTAAAATGCAGTAAAATACTTTTGCAAGAAATTGACAGCAAAATAACAAGTTTATCTCCCATCATCCTTAATGAAGTTTGATTTGTGTGGTATCATCATTATGAACCACATACAACATGCAGTGACAAGAAAGAGACTTCCCCCAACCAAACTTCACCCATAAAACCCTTTTCTTTTTCTACCTGCATTTTTTGCATTTTCTCTTTTTCTTATCGACAGCAACAAATTACAAGGTTTATGACATATTATATTCATGAAGGGAAGTAACTTTTAGGACTAACTCACAAACTGAATGATAAACTGCAATCTTAATGGGCGGCAGGTAGCAGCATCTCACCCAACTCATAGACAATGATATCCTTACATGAAGTCCTCTTCCAGTTCCTGCAATGACTTGTTTGCCGATGCAATTTGTTTGTTAGATGTCATATTTTCAGAAACCATCAAGCCTTTGTAACTCCTTAGCTCTGCTTGTCTCTCCTTCTCAAGCCTTTCCATCTCCTCACGTCGTTTCTGCAAAACAGTTTCATAATAAATTAAATTGTTTTGTTCAACACAAGAATATAAATATTACATTAAAACAACCTAAGATACACAGCCTGATTGCAATTCATTTGATCAAAAACAAGTTGGTAGTTCTATTACTAATTAATAATTATATATATATATATATATTTGAAACTATTCTATTATTAATTATATTAAGCACTGAAGAATCTAAAACCTAGAAGTAGTACAAGTCAAAAGTTTTGGGGTAAACCTTAACATAAAAAAAACAAAAGCAAAAATGCGACCCAAATTCGGCTTTAGTAAGATGAATAATCCACGCAAATAATCTAAGAACACTACCAACCTCATATTGGCCAAGGGAGGAGGAGGAACTTACCTTGTCCCTCAGCAGCTGCTTTCTCTCAGCTCTTTCTGCTGCATTGACCGCTTCTCGCTCAGCTGCAGTTACATTTCACTTGCAAGTTAATCATAGCTCCAATATGGCAGAACTAGATAAGGGTAACATATGAAACCAATATCACTTATGCACGAGCTATATCCATGCAGAAAAAAGATACATAAGAGATAGAGACCAGAGATATCAGAAGGAAACAACAATGCCACATTTTCTCCATAAACAGCAATATGAGTACTATTCTTCAAGACAGGATCTTTAGAGCAAATTTGATCTAGACAAACCCAATTAAAGCTGTGACAGAAATTTACCTTTTAAATCAGGCTTCCTTTCCACTTTTGTCCTGTTCAATCTATTAACTACCTCATTAATCCGCTTCTCCACTCTCACAGTTCGAACCTAAATAAAGTGTCATAGTTGGACAATGATCAGTATCTCCAAGCATGCTGAACCCAATGAAAATACAAACTACATGGCATGATACTATTCTAGATAGTAATATACATAGAATACAATTACAAAGAAACTCACCATCTTTGAATTGTAGAAACCAACTTGACCAACATCCATGGAGGCAGTTTTCTTCAAATTGGACCAGGGAGTGTAAACAACATCGACATTGTTCACCTTGTTGCCTACAATATTATAAGTCATTAGAACACCACAACAATGCAGTTGCCTAATCAGAAGAAGGAAAAACAAAACCATTTTGTAGAGGCTTGGATGGAATTACAAAATGAAACCAAATTACTCTAAAATGTATGAATTAATTAAGATAATACCTGGATGGAATTTGCTTTGACAAGCTGTGCGCAATCCTCCAGTAAACCTTCACTTATACCATCAATGGTCTGTCCTTTGTGCAGTCTAACATAAACATGGGCAGAAGACATTTTATCCACATGGAACCTAGATCACCAAAAATCCCAATTACTCCAAAACCGTCTAAACAAGCATTTCTTGAACATTCAATATGTACACTAACATGGTGGTATCACAAAACTGCCAATCGCTCTTTCTATGTAAACGCATCAATCGCATAATAAGCAGCCACGCTTGAAGTAATACACTTAACAAAGCACATAATCCCAGAGCTAATGCGAAAGAGAACATAGATCAAATGTCTCACACCAACCACAATTACACTCTGTTCGGCCTGTTCACAGAAAGCTTGCTCTTAACATTCAAAGTACACAATCTGCGTCTGTCAATCGTTTGCAATTTGCAACCCTAAACCCTAATTCTTGATTCTTGACCAGCAAATTTCAAAACTTTGCAAGAAATGTAATTGTAAATGGAAATTCGGATAAAAATTTCTAATTGGAATAGAAATCAGATAAATTAGACAAGAGGAGGATGGGAGATAGATACCAAATGTCTTCGGGGAAGCCATATTTGATGAGCTCCTCGTTCTCGAACTTGTCGAGCCCCATGAAAATGGTGTAATCGCCAACTTCGGATCGAGCTTTGAAGTAGAAGACCATCTTGTTCGTTCGGCCCTTTGGAATTCGATGCCACAGAAAACGAGAACCTTTGAGGAGCTAGGGCTTCCAAGTTCCACCTTCCAGCTTTCCAATTGGGATTTTGGGCACTGGAAACTTTTTCATTTTTATTTTTATTTTATTTTTTGTTTTTGTTTTGATTTTGCTATTTTTTGTTGGGCCTGGGTTTCAAAAATATTTATGATTAGTTTGAGATTCTTAATTCGTAAGGTCAATAATTTCATCAATTATTTGACGACATGTCGCATTGGACAACTGGCCACCTTTTTTGACAAGTCGTATCAAGTCGAACCTATGGGGACCACGATATGAGACCTAGAACCCATAATTGACAGAGAAATTAGGAATGGCTATGTGAGGACTAGCTTTTTATTTTTTTCGTTAAAATTTAGTTAAAATATATAAAAGCTATTGTAGGGGTTCCTTATAAAATTTCAACTCCAATCATATTCTCTTGTTTAGGTATTCACAAAGAGTAATGCTATTACTCTTTTTCAATTGGTCCATATTTATAAATATATATTATATAAAATTATTAATATTAATTAAATGTTTAAAATAATCATAAATAAAGCAACATTAAATTATAGAAAGCCATTAGAAGTCCTTTATCTCGCCTCATATTTAGAAGCTCCTAGAAGTCTGCCTATTTTAGGAGGTGGATATGGAGGGAGCATGGTTTGAATTGTATTTTTCTCATTCCTCCCTAAAATTTGTCTAATGAGGTGATTTAAGGAGTTCATCCTAGTGTGATTTAAAAACTCTTAAGCACCCAATAGGTTCTTAAAAATTGATATCAAAACCTCGTTTCACCACCCACCCCCACTACCTATTCGTTAGTGTCGAATAAAGTGGATGGATTACAATGACATAAATCAATTTTAGAGTCAACATCTTACGTTATGTAACCAAACCATATGTCAAGATAACATTTCCGCATACACCTACCTAGTACCTCAAAGTTCAAACCATTTTTTTATCACATTTGATGATTGACTTGTGCTGATGGTGCAATTGACGTCGAGAAAGGAAGTTGATGCAACCGAAAACTTTTCCATTTGTGTATGAATTATTCCAACGTCGATATTCTCTTTATGACATTTTGTAGCCTATAAAATTTAACGTTTCTTTAATTTGGTGGCTCAAAGTCTGAAATTTAAGTTTATTTATTTATTTATTTATAATCAAACGGGAATTTAAGTAATTTGATTTGTTATAAAAAGCAAGCAATAGTAGAAGCAGAGTGCTGAGTGGCTGACTTTGCCATCGCTAATTGATGCCAAATATTGCACTAGACAAACGAGATCATATTACACTAAACAAACCACCTTCGGAATTCCAATATACACCTTTTTAATTTTTCCTTTTCAAGAGCTGTGATAGCAAAACATTATATGTATGTAACCAATAAGAAAATAAAACTTCAGGGCATGTTTACGTATCAGTAATGGAGAAACTAAGGAATCAGATAATTTAGGAATCGGAGAACTACTGAATCGGAATGGGAAGAATCATTCCCATTAAGCTGTTTACTAAACATATGGAATTAGCAATGGAATGGGATTGATTCCCATTGTTATTGTTTACTAATTTGCATGAATCAGAATCCAAATTAATTTTAGAATTATGGTAAAGTGATAAGGGTATTTTTGGAAGTTATTAAGAGAAAACAGGAATGGGAATCGTATCGACTACTCCCCCCTAGTTGATATGATTCCTAGTTTTGAGGGAATGTGATTACGGATTTTGAGGTGGAGCCCACTTATTTTTTCATTCCTGATTGCAAGTAAACGCAGGAGAAGTCATGAATGGAAATCATTCCCTTTCGTCTCATTCCCATTACTGATACGTAAACATGCCCTCAATGTTTCGTGTTTTTCTTTGCGGAAAATAGAACAGTAGGATTCGAATTTAAGACCTAATCTTCCGCTTGAGTAAACTAATTAATGTCTTGGAGTGCATTCTTTATTCTCACCACTCTGATCTGTTGCTGACAGGGAATGAGTCATATGCTATTACTGTTGAAAAAGGTGGTGTAATTTTGAAGTTGTAGTATTGGAAGCAAATGCAGTGCACCGAAAGATTCTTTTGAAAAGAGATAGTGACTGGGAAAGCGTACACGACAAAGCAGAGAAAAATGACTGAAACTAGCTTTCATCTTACTACTGACCCACAACGTAGAGCAAAGTACCAAGAAGTTTGATCTAGGAGAGAAGTACATGCATGAGGATCCTATCCACCTCTTTTTTCCCTAAAAGGTACATTCTATGCATCATACTTGCAAAGGTTTTCAAAACCCATGTATTCATTCTGGTGAATCTTCACAATCATGTTTGATATGCCAACTCCACCTAAAAAAAAAAAATTAAAAAGAAACAAATACCTCTCAGAATTCAGGGTCTTAGCATAATTTGAAATTTATATATTGGCAGTGAAGAAAAAAAAACTCACCTAGTGAGATTGCACTGACAAATATTGTGAAAGCTAGAATGAAGATGATCAGTGATGCCCTTCCAAATAATATAATCAGCCTTCTCACTATATGCTGTCCTACAAAGGCTGCAATTGTGGCCACGGCGACAAAGTATAGAGCTGTGGAAAGATTGGAATGTGTATAAGTGTACATAAATTTAGATCAACAATCGAGTCTGTCTAGCACAGCAAATTACTTGCTCCATCTATCTACAAGTGTTTGTAGGTATATAACTTACCATAGGGAACTGGAAAACGTTTTAGAAGGTAGTATTCTACAACAGACATTGATGAGGAGAACATCATTGCAAAGGTGGCTGTGGCACTGGAGACCTGCAAGGAAATCATCAAGAAGTTTTAGAACAAATGAAATCGTCAATGGTTTTTTACTTTAGATTTTTTAATGTTCGATCATCGATGTTTATAGTTTTTTAATTACCCATGCAAGGGGAGAAATTGGCAACTCTGCAATAGTTCAATAATTTCGAATGGCAATGCCCATGATCATGTTCATGTCAAAGGCAATCATGAGCTCACCTGAGGGGGGATTCCAAGCTCCAAAAATAGTGGACCCATAACAAACCCTCCGCCTAGTCCAAGCAAGCCACCTACTATTCCTGCAAGTACACCAAAGATACAGTAGACAACCAGCTGGTGCACCCGCCAAACTGTCCCTTGCTCTCCCTTAGATGCTATTACTCTTCGTCCCTTGTACAGGCTAACTGCCTCGTACAAAGATACACCGAAAGAAACGGGGATCTGCAGGACATGGAAACAGTAACTCATCCTGATTGTTCATGTATTGAATCTTAACATGTAACATGCAGAGAAACAAATACGGTTTACACTTTAGTACCTGTAACAAATTCACTACCCAATATACTGGAGAACAAGTAGTTGTGTGATTCTGTAGAAGAGCAGATGATTATTACAAGTTAGCTCTGCAATGTCATATAATCAGGGAAATTTTCAATAAAAAATTTCTGACAAACTAAGTAAAAAAGAAGTAAAAACCATGGCAATTTGCAGTGCAAGAAATGCAACCCAGACAAAAACCAGAAGTCCAAGATCCTTCCAGCAAACATTCTCAATAACAGAGACCTGAAAGAATGCGCATCAAGATTTAGCTTTGAAACTCCACCACAATGATAACAGCTTCTGCGTAAGTACTGCATACACACTTACCTCTAACTCCTTGGTTTCCTTTTGCTGGTCATTGGCTGGGCCACTTGGAAGAGGCTTGTATTCCACATTCCCACCAGCACCTGACCGAACAAGAAAATCTATTGGCCCAATTGCAGAATTCAACTAGAAGAAAGAAATTCCACTATTTTTTACAACATTAGAACAACAGTAGATCAACTCACCAGTCGATTCCAAATGCCTAGTGGCCTCCTAAAATTCAGGAAAAGTGATGATTAGCAATGAAGTTAGCAATGTAATATATGCATTTCAGGAGCGCTTCAAGCACATTCAAATGAAAGCCTTATTGCTTCAGTGCACATGATGATATGAAGTTAGAAATTCCATCCACAAAGTGAAATGAACTTAGAATTCAGAATTCACCAAATAGTAAAGTACCATGTCACCATCCTTGAATTATCTTAAATTTCCAACAAAAGTGAAATCTATTCTAAAAGCAGTGAAAAGTAATCAGGATTTCAGGCTCAATATAGTAAAGAGACTTTAATTTATCTAAGAAACGGTCAAAAACAGCATTACCCGCTTCAAAATGGTTTCCTTTTTCCATGTTTCAACACCCTTCAAGAATGCCTTTGTTGACGTGCCTGAAAACGAAAATAATAAGTGGTTGAAGTATTCAAGCATAATGCCAAGAAAGTGGAACTTAAAACGATCATTACCTATAAAAAGAACAATAAGCAAAACTGTGACCATCCAATCAGCAAAGATCACGTTGAAAGCCACTCCTATACTAATGCCCAGCATGAGCATTGGTTGGATGAGTAGCGCCAAATCATAGTCAATAATGGGCATATCTAGTGTGGGATGCCTTAGCTTAAGATTGTAGTAAACAGTTGAGGCAGCTGCACCCATGATCATACCTGACACAAAACAAAAAGAATGCATGACTATGTAACTTCCAGCCAGTAATTCAATGTAAGAACGGAACCATTACATAAAAGTGAATGTATTATGCAGTTGGAGAGAAATAAGCTTTCCACAAAGCACCCTTGTCAACTGCCTTCTATAAAACTTATCTCAAACTCATACTCAACCTTGACAAGGATTTAAAACTTATTTGCTGAAATTATAGCACAGCCTCAGAAATAAAGGTGTCAAGCTGAGGAAGTAAAATCAAGTGACAGTGATCAAGAGCTTTTCTCTATCAAACAGTCAACTGGTTTCAAAATTCTTTGATTAAATTCAAAGAGCATGGACAATGGTTCAACCTATACTATGTCAAAACTCAAAAGTACATATTTTCCTTTCCTATTGAAACATGAAAACATCATCGCTTACATTTCGATATAGCTGTTGCTGACTTCGGATCAAACCCCATAATTAGGCTAAGCATAGGAACAAAAATGCCACCACCACCAACACCACCTACACTCCCAAATGCTGCTCCACAGAATCCGACAATGGAACCCACAATAATTTGCCACCCAAATTTCATTTCCTGTAAAACAAAATTCACGAATTCATTTTTTACAATCCCCTTACAGTAAATTTTCTAGAGTAAATAACATACAGATAATAAAACAACCAATTAACATATATTTCAGATTCTATCCACATAATGTGCACTTGATCCAAAAACTAAAACCCAAATATTAAAATTAACTGAAGGAACATTGTCGGGGATAATCTTAGCTTTAGCACACAAATTAAATTACACTTAAACATTAAACACAGAATTCAAAGAAACGGTGTTTATGGGATTTACCGGCCAAACATGTTGATAACCCGATCTCTCGGATTGCCAAAAGAAAGTTACAACTCTGAGAAGGTAATCGGATTCAGATCCCTCTGTTCCATTGAACCTTGAAGCTTCAAGCTTCAGGCCTCTCTCTGCTGAAACAAATACAAAAGCTAACGCAAAGTTCAACACCACCATTGACAAGGATCTCAAACCCCGCAATTTCGCTCCAAGCACAGCCATATCTAATCCCAAAGTCCAAACCTTCCTTCTCAACACAAGCTAGACTCTTGATATTCTGTTTGGTCGCCGAGAAACCGCGGGGGAAAAGACGACCAAGGAATTGAAACGAAAATTTTGAATTCTTTTTGGTCTGCTTGCTTAACAGAGTGACTGTGTGCGGATTCAAAAAGGAGAGATTTTTTTCCCGAGAAAGCAAATGACAGAAGAGAAAATGAGAGAAAAGTATGAAACTTATGTGTGGAAGTCTCTAAGAGATAATGGGTTGCTGCTAGAAAGAGAGGAAGGGAAAAAAAAGCTTTCTGTCTCTTTTTCTCTGGTTTGCACTCTTCACAGTGTAAGAATGGGTGGTGATGGTTGATGACTTAATATAGAAGAGAGGAGAAGAGATGTGTCGAAGAGTTTGCACGACACATATGTGAGAAGGTGGTTTTTTATTGTTTGGATTCAGTAATGGAGTCGAAGACGAGAGAGTTCCAATCACAAAAATAAAATATAAAAGGAAAATGAAAGAAAAATTTAGAGAAGAAGAAGAAGATAGAAACGGGAGAGAGTGACGGACGGTGAGAGAGAGAAATCTAATCTTTCTTCACTGTGCATTTCCACACGTGGATAACTGTTCTTTTTCCTACTTAGATTCCTTAGTCTCGATTAAACACTTTTAGAACTTCATTATTGTATTTGAAGTAAAGAATGACAATCTAGGAATGCGAAAAAGTTTTCGTATTCATTATTCTTTGTCTATGTAGTCTCATGAAAATGAAATTCTAGGGCTCTTTCATTTACATTTTGCTGTCGGTGTTTTCAGTTTGTGGAATTTAAAAGGTTTCAGAGGGTCATTTGTTAAGTTAAACAAATACGGGATGCAATGTTAAGAGATTTAACTCAGAAATGGCGACTTTCAGAATTTTTAATTTGTATGCTTTCATTGATAAAATATGTTAGGTTCGAATCTATACGTATGTGCTAAATAAATGATGAACAAACTTGTCTCGTATATAAAAGGGAAAGACTAGGGATACTGTCGTCATGTCCATTTGTTTTTTCAGATTGTATTTCTTTCATACGCATGTCCTTAAAAACGACAAGATGATAAAGGGGAATTTTAAAGTCGATGAAAAAAAAGGTCATTAGAGAGCAGCTTGTATTTCTTTAACCAATGATATTTTTTGGTATTTTGAATGTTTCACCATTCTCTGACTTTTGCTTTATATATATATATATATATATATAAACCTCTTTTTTAGATGGGATATCCGCACCATGAGATATGAGAGGCTTTCTTCTCACATATGAGCATGTGCGATATCCCACTTAAGCTTTTTCTTTATAATATTATTAGGGAGCTGATTTTCTCACTCCTTTTTTATTCACTTACACTTCCTTTTAAAAAAAAACTTTTTAATTAATTTTGTTATTTTTGTTCTTTCTCTTTCCTATTCTATCCCTATCTATCCTACATTAATTTCCTTTAACCTCACTTTTATTTTTTTTTTCTTTATACTTAATTTTCCAACTTGCATTCCTTTTTCTTTTTCTTTATACTTTTATATTATTTATTTTTCTTTATGCCGTTAAACGAACATGATAATATTTTTATTTTATTTTTAGAAGACCTATAATGCTTAATGAAGTTAATAAAAAGTTGAATTAAGCATTAGAAAAAAGAAAAGAAGGGCATAGTCGAGGAGGAGAGGACCTACACATTGATTGTAGAAATGGGAGCAACCCAACAACCATGTCAATCTCTATCCCCAACTATTTTCCCCCACTGACACCCAAAGGCCCCAACTCTCAGAGCCATACTTACCTCCCCAACTCCAATAAACCCACCTCTAATATATAATAAAAGCTCATGCAGCCTTAGAACTCTGCAATGGTCCTTCCCACTTCTCCACCCGTTGAGCAGTTCCTCCAATTCCTGACTAGACTACGCCATTTTTTTCTCTCTCTTTTCAAGTTTTTTTTATAAAAAAAATATGATATATTTTAGTTTAATTGAAACTTTAATGTATTTTAAAATTAATACAACTTTTTATTAACTTCAAAAAGTTTTATAGGTTTTCATAATAAATGAAAAAAGATTATCATGTTCATTTAACTGCAACTTTAACAGAACAAAACAAATTGATTAATGGTCTTAAACACATGTATCAAATTGGCCAAATTAAAAACACATGGACTAAATTGGCCAATATGATTAAACACAGTAACCATTTCGACATTAAAGCCAAAGAAATAATATAAAAGCGAAGTAAAAAGAAATGAATGTATGGAAAATGTAGAATAGGAAAGAAAAAGAAAGAAAAATATTGATTAAAAATATTAAAAAGCAAAAAGGAGTCTAAACCGAGAAAATGAGATTGAGAAAATCAGCTCCCCTATTATTATACTAAACAAAAACAAAACACAATATTAAAGGTAGAAATGCATAAATAGCGATATTACATCACACCAACCAAAAAAAACAACAAAAGGACTGGTGATTTGTACAGCACTCTCATTTATGAACTCCACTCCAGGCTTTTTAATACTACGATCTAGACTCAACCGTCACCCATCATGAGTCATCATCACACGGAAGAGAAGAAGAGCTGGCAAATGGCAAGCAAACCAAACAAATTACGGTAGATTATGTACGGCTCACAGAGGCACATGCCTTCATCCACCTCATTTCAAAGCACACATGACCCACAAATTTGACCAACAGCATACATTAACCCATTGAAAAGTCTCTTGCCCTTTTTCACAAACCAAAAAAAAAAAGGTTTGCTCGAGTTTATTAATCCCTTTTCCGAAATTAGATTGTCGTTTACGTTAAAGCATCGATGTTCCTTGAGAATCGCTAATCTAAGCCACAACAATAAAAGAGAACGAGTGTCGCACATTGAACCTCACGACATTATCCGATCATTCACGGCCATCCACACGACCATGGATAACTATTTAGCAGATCTTATATAAGTCACTCATGGGAAACATCCCTATCCACAAAACTATTCGATTGTGAAATGCCGTGATAGATGCAAGTTGGGAGGGAAGAAAGAGTTGGAAATAATAGTCATTTTCAATTTTGAAGACTCCATGGCGCCCCTTGTGCTGTGCTACATGTGCTTTCAAACGCTGATCCAATTGGCATGCGATCGCCTCAACCTTTTTCTTTTGGGTCCATCCTGAAAAGCAAATACAATGGGGATTTTTTTTGGCCTTGGCCTTCCTGGTTTCTTTTGTTTTGTTTTTTCATGTAATTTTTCTGTTATTTTACCGATCACAAATCCCAACTGGATGGCACTATGAGTTTTTGCAAGAGACAGACACGTTAGTGTCCCAAAAAAATTCGGGCTCTGAAAAGCAATCGAATTTGGTCGTATAATAATGTCCAAGGGCCTATGGAGAAATCAGAATGGTCCTATAAGGCTGCCAAGGAAAAACAAAACGTGAAGAACGGGACCAATACTTTGTCAGATTGGTTTGCAAATTTACGCGTTTCACAAAACCCAGCCTCATGTCTGAATCAATTGATTGGCTTAGAGAATTGTGTTCCAGAAAGAAAGAAAAACGTGGGTTTGGAATTGGATATATTTTATGTTTTTTTTTCCTGACTTAATAATTGGAGAAGGAGGAGGAGGGAGAAATCGAAGTCAAAACTCTAGGAGCAAAAATTAATGTTGTAAACTACCTGAGTTACACTAATGAGGTGTTAGTTGGATTGACTTATATTTTTGGTGTGCTCTCAAGTGATGTTGGGTTCAAACCCTCGTGGTATCTAGTTAAAGGATGTATTTTTTTGGGTAAATAAAATGAAAAGTATAGGATAATATGTTATGTTGTTGGAGGCTGAATGGGCTGCATAAGAGCATTTACACCCATGGTGCCATGGTAAAAGGCAATGGCAAGTAAGGACATGCACTATTCACTTGAATAGTAGCAGCTATTGTAAAAGGCAAGTTATGTTTCCACCCATTGTCATGGCAACCCAAGGGCAATCGCAATTTACATGGGATTAATTTTATTTATATGTATGAGATTAATAATAATAAAATTGCTAGGCATGTATATATAAAAAAAAATGTTTCTGAATTTGTTTGGATTTTTTCTGATTTTTTTTTTACGTTGATGACGTCAACGTTGACGTCATCACCCTCAGGCAATAACTCAGGTTATTTTTGCCTTTGGGCCTGCCCAGGCTACTTGCTGCGCACTAGAGCTTGCTTTGCAGGCCTCTTGCTCGGGCTGGGGTGCAGTGTTGGAAGTGCTCTAATTGGTGGGCTTTCGGACTACTGCGGGGGTAAGCGTCGTACCGTTGCTCTGTCTTTTCAAATCAAATCAACTAAAAATGTTTGCATATCAAAAAGAAAAAGAAAAGTAAAAAAGTTCCAAAAGTTCCTTCCAAATGCAAACACATCTTGGTTTTTAAGGTTCAATAGTCCTTGAATTTTGACCCGATTCGTATTTTGATCCCTCAATTTCTAAAATCATTCCCTTGATCCTTCAATTTCAGTTTCATTAGGACAAATGATCCTACCGTCAATTCTGTTAACCTTTTTTTTAAAAAAAATTTATTTAAATTTTTTATTTTTTAAAACAACCATAGGAATGATAATGAACAACATTGGTGATGTTTGGGGGCAACGCAATGCGACGTTGTGCGGTTACTCTTCCAAATTGCAGCTGGGGCCCCGTATTGGTGAGAAACTTGCATGCAACGAGGCACATACATTTTGTATTTGTCTCTCTAAGCAACATATACACTCTGTTGACAATAAGTTAGTTCCTCACCACTGAAGCTTGGAAGAAATTCTCTTAGCTACACAGTAATTAAATGTCGAACATCATTGATGCACGTGAGACTCAAGTTTACACTTCACAAACTCATGTGCTCTTAGATGACAACAAGCAATGCTAATCGAACTACCTTGCGGGCCACTTCAAGTCGAGACGCAAATGAGAAAAACTCCTCAATTTAGAGCACCTCCACCCCAAAAGGCAAGGGCAAGGCAAGGTTGGACACTATTCATGTGAATAGTGGCAACCTTGCCTTTTTTGTTCCACTCCAAAGGGCAAGGAGAAAGACAATTACTATTCACATGAGATATGATGAGATGAATTTGTATAGAATTTTTGGTGTGGAATGTAAAGAATATAGTTATGTATTTATAATAATAATAAATAATAATAAAAAATTATGGAATTTTTTATTTGTTTTATTTCCATTTTTTTCCCTTTCATCCCAATTTTTTTTTGCTGACATCATTATGACGTCAGCATTACATCATTCTGCCCAGGCAGCAGCTTGGGCTTGCCTGGGCTCGTGGGACTTAGCTTTTGCCAGGGCTGAACATTGCGCGCTGGAGGGGGTTTTGGAGCCTGGGGCTGCCTTTTGCCCTGGCTGGGCCCAAGAGCTGGAGGTGCCCTTCGAAAAGTGGCCTGCTATGCGTACAAAAATAACACCATACTAAATCTGTGCCCGCTTTACCATGCATATCTTTTGCTAAGGCCAGAGCTTCCTGCATGTACACTGGGAGAAACTTCCCTGTCCCGGTTTCAACATCCCAATCTCTTTCTTCATGTGATAGGTTACATGAGGGGCGATATAGGAAGGACCATAGTGAAACCGGGGCAGGGAAGTATTTTCATACAGTTGGGGGGTGGGATAAATCCAGGGGCGGAGTTAGAATTGTAAAATTAGGGGGGCCAAAGTAGAAAATACAAGTATATAAACATCCAAATATGCAATAATTACATATTTAAAGCTAAATTTTTCTAATTGAGTCATGTCTAATTTGTTTTAGAGGAAATTTTAACTTAATTTATAAATTATTGATTACAAATTCTACATATTATATATAATATAATAGAGGAGGGATACAAATTTGGGGGGGCCAGGGCCACTCCAGGTCTGGGAGTGGCTCCGCCACTGGATAAATCCATCAGCAAGATAAATGACCATGAATTTCTATAAAAATTAGATAGAAAAGAAAATAGCAAAAATTTCTGTATTAACCTAACATGGTTGTATTGTTGTATCTTATAAGGAACTGAAAATATTATTTCTTCCTCGATTCAAAAAAATCTGATACAACGGTGTTTGGTGCCTCCAAGAGAAAAACAGTGTTTCTTTTTTGAGTTGGAAAGCTCTGGTGTCTGTGGCGGCTTCTCCTAATTTCAACTTACTCCACCTTCTTGTTGGATTTAGTCTCACTACCTTCTTCAGATGTTGCCAGTGTCTTTGACTCGTCAAATTCCAATAGCTGCACCATATGACAGAGATCACAACCTAACTCAGCAAAGTAAATAACAAGCACGACTATTTTTTGTCTCTCTATTTGAGCTTAGTCTTTATTCCCATTCTTTTTCCTTCATCCCAAAAATTAAAATTCCTTTTAACATGAATTCAAGAACGTATCAAATAACGTCAATATCTAACAAGCATGGCTCATAACAACTTAAGGCAAATAATGGCTCATGAGTCATAACCTAGGAACCCCTACAAGAACCCGACCACCCTTATGGGTTGAAAAAAGTACTTCCATTATTTTTTCTGCATGTATGACTGTTAATTACTAGATTATTAGAATATCATGCCATAAGTAAAATCTCATAAACAAGAATGCATTGGTTGTGAACTTACTGGTTTGACATCACCATTCCATATGCAGTGAGCAGCCAGAAACCCAATAACAGTTGGTACAATATACAACAGTGCAGGCTGTAAACAATGAACAGCAGGGAGGATTGGTAATAAATTAGTTGAGATGCGCTGACCATAACTTAATGCAAAGTACATAAATATATAATGGGAATTTCCATCGGCATCAAGCCAGCTATTTAAAAAGTGAGGGGATCCCTGCATGTACTAGGGTGAAATCATTCACCTGTGCTGCCTGAAACCAGTTCATTACAACAATTGTCAGGACCAAACCAACTGTGTATCCCAAAAATGCACTCTTAAAGTACTGGCCCTGTTTTCCCCTAGATACATCAAACCGCAAAGCCAGAGCAACAAAAATACCTGAAGGAATATATAGCACCAAAAGTGAGAACAAACAACCAAATGAAGTGATTTTACTGAGTCATTTTTCATTAATGTATTAGTCTACACATGTGGTTAGCAATGTATATTAGACATTTTAAAAGTTCAAGCAAATCGATTGGCTGCGAAGCATTTGTATGCTAAAAGCCTAAAACCATTAGTCAAATGATTACCAGTTCTTGTGTTTGTTCTGGTTAGACATGCCTGCTATTAGCAAAACCTTTTTAAATGATTGATCCATGTTCTCCTTAATACCAGAACAGTATACTCCCATTAAAGGACTGAAGCGCAAAGGAAAAAGATAAAGAAAAGAAAAGTGCCACTAGCAAGATGCCTAATTAGGGAAAACAAAATCAGGGTTCCTAAAGGTTTCATAACAAATGTCCTCCCAAAATCCATAATGATTGCGTAATATGTCATATGGAAAAGGACGAGACCTAATCCAGAACTCTTTACCGCCCACAACTTACAGGAACCCTGCTGTTGCAGGACCAACACAGTTAGTAGGTAGAATAAGGAAACTAAAATATATGTAATGGAAATGACAAATATATTTTAGTTCCACATCACCTAACACTCAAACTCTAATAGAACGAATTAATAACAAAATGACCAACAACAAACCACAGCTAACCTTAATAAACCAGCATGTAGTAGATACTAGATAAAAAACATATGAAATTTTAAACCTCACCAGGGATTACAATATCACCAAGTCCAAGCATAGAAAATGGACGTGTAGCATCTGCTGTGGGGAACAACAGCTGCAGACAAATTAAATCATGGTTCCAGTAAGCATATCAATAGTCTAAAAACATTCGAAGACGCAATATACATTGGTAAAAAGATCTTGATCGATCTGGAGTACAAACCTTTATAGGAGCATCAAAAGATTTTGCAACGCTGACCATAACTGGAGTGAAGAAAACCCAGAAAATATCATACACAAAAAGTCCCGCCTGCAATGCACAAGGACCAAATATTAGAAATATATAGGCCCAAAAATACTAGAGCAATGGTTAAAGCAGTGATGACAGACAGAAATCAAGCTGCTGCAGCACAACTGGTGTGAAAGACAATCAGATGCAGAGTAAAATACTCTCAGAAATATACACAGGAATCCAAGAGTCCCACTTCTTACCAAAAGGATAGCACCAGTCTTAAAAGACCCAAGAGAAAGCATTTCAATTCCCTGAAAAGAAAAATTACCACAAAAGAAATCGATTAAATAAAAAACATATAATTATTGGAGAGGATGCGAAACATACTCAAATGTCTATTAATTGGATGCTGACAGACCTGGATACAAAAGGCAAGCCCCAAAATGTTGTTAGCCAGCCAATGCTTCTTTGATGCATACCATGCACAGAAAAAGGTTCCAGGGATTGCAGCAACAATCTGAGATATTGTGAACTCAATCTCCAAAGCTGTGTAAGAAAGGTGTAAGGAAAAATATCATTCTGCATGATGCAAGCGAGATAATGTCAACTAGATCAAATGAAAACTCAGAACATAAGACTAACCAAACTGCTTTCACACGGCAGCAGACTGATGTTAAAACAAGAGAAGTCATTGATGCATAACTAAAATTTTGCACTCAATTTTTACCTGCCCAATAATTCCTAGAAGATCCACTAATTATATCCAAATCGAGTTTTAAAACAAAAACAAAAAACATATATTTTGAAGCAAGAAATGAAAAAGACAAAAAGAAAACCAGTGATGCAGTAAAGAATGTCATAAGAATAGTAATCATAATAAAACTTCAAAAAGAAAGTCACATACACCGGAAATATGGAAAACGCCATATGATAGGGTCCTTATTCCAACTCTGCGGCAAATAACGTGCAATAGCGGGTAACAGTGTTGCCCTGTAAAAATAAGGGTGGTTTAAAACTTTTTTAACTTAAAAAAGCAGATAATTAAAAAAAATGTTTGACAATAATATAGCAGTCGAAAATAAACCTATAAAGAAAGGACATACGAGAGAGCGATGATCCCAAGCACAAAGAAATAGCACGTCAATACAGCATTAACCAAGTCTTTGGATAAGAACTTAAAAAGTAAAAATAGTGATAACAGCATTGCACTGCCCACAAATGGGAAACGCATGGCATGTTCATTAGACATCGTCTCCTGCATGATTGAAATAGAACCGTTTATGAAAATTCAAGGAAGGTTCATGAAGACAATGACAAATGCAACAAAAACCAAATAAAAATGACAGCAACACTTACTGAAGGTGGAGTTGGCTTCACAGACCGGTAGCAACCCACAAAAACTGTGAGACTTGCAGTTAAGATTACATTTAGGTTTGGATCTACGTTCACAACAAGTGGTGCTAACGTTAAACCTGCAGCCAAAGTAACGACCACATGTCAGTGATGTCACTGATGTTCAAGCTCCGCTGACTCTGGGAAGTAAAAACTAGCCACGGCATATAGCTAGTTAACAGTAATAACAAATAAAATCAAGTGACTAGTTCAACAGTAATAACAAATGAAATCAAAGGGCTAGTTAACAGTAAAAACAAATGAAATCAGGGGTCCCTTTATTTGACATGTGGATGCTTAGTTAACTGGTAACCAATCCGTCAAACTTCAACCATGGCATTTACATTTTACAGCATATGCATTGCAAATTTTACTAGATAAATGAGAATGCAGTGCCCTTATAACACTGGGGTCGGGCATGGAAAATAGGTAGGTAAACCTCAAGGAACATATTTGCCGCTCTTCCACTTTCCCCAAGTTGCCTGTCAAACAACAAGTGACAGAGAGGGTTTCCAGAAATTTCACATCACCCTTCCATTTCAAAAACATATAGTAATGAGAAAAATACAGAATGAAATATGACCACTACATACAGTGTATGTTAGTTCCCTAAGACAGCCTGCTTAATTCAAATAACAAGGATATCCTAAATCATATTGATCTAAAGTCAAATTTATTTGTGGCTCTGTCATTCCCTAAACCCTGCGTGCCTACTTTCCTGCACTAACAGCAAGCAATGCCATATATAGCCACTGAATTATCTTTAAGATAGTCCAAGGCCACTGCTGCTCTTTAAATTTGAAGCCCTAAGAGACTATAATATCATTTTTCTTCAGTGAAAGACCCATCGAGATTCTAAACTTTTTGTAATTTTACTTCCCCAATCAACAACTCAGTCTGAAATTTATATATTTCTTCTATTTACAAAACAACATTTTCCAATGCCAAAAAAAAGGCACCGAGAAACAATAACTGAGAACAAAATATCAAATTATGCACAAAAGAGCAAACCTGCTAAAGCGACATTGGCAACACGCTCAACGTTCTTCATCGTTATTATATCACTCGAAAAAAGAAACCGCTTCGAACAAAATTCCGATCAAATCAAACTGAATTCGGCCACCTTCGCGACAAAACCCTAGAAATGAGATCAATTGCATGTTGTAACTGGTAAAATTTTCCTAGAATACAATCTCAATTTCAATAAAAATGTGAAATTTACACACAATTATGAAATTGACGAAAAATAGCGTTATTGTAAGAGAGGAAATTAACAGTACCAGTGGGCCGCGATGCAGATGATTTTCAACGGTTTCCTTCCGTACAGATCGGAGAGAGAGAGAGAGAGAGAGAGAGAGAGAGAGAGAGAGATTTTGATTCAATTGCAGAGTTAGGGTTTTACCTGAAGAAGGCAATGGGCATGGGGGTTAAATTCAGAGCCCTGACGAACAGACGGGGCTGTTAGGTGAGGTTTGTGACGGCCAATGAGGAATTAGATTTTGTGAGAATTAAATAGACCGAGTGGTCAAAGGGTGGGTTAAATTGCTTTCTTGAAACGTGTTGTGCTCTGATTGGTGGTCATGGTGGAATTGAAGTGTCAGCAGGTGGGGGTATTTTTAGTAACTTCCGTTCAAATCCCCCGTTTGGATACGTTGCACCAGTCATAAAGTGGATGACGGATTTGGATCCTTTTTAAGCGAGCCACGTAGGTTGACGTCTAGCGTCCAATCATATTTTGACATGTCGGATTTTGGAACCTCCAAAATATCTCCTTTCTTTAAGATTTTACCGCGTGATGTCAGTGCTGTGTAGCTCGATAATTTTTACAGTGGCAAAATCGTCATTCTTCAAGATCACCTCACCCATTTGTATCTTTTTCTTCTTGAGCTCTTTTTTATGTAAATGGTTTCCCTGAGCACTTCCACCAGTTAGCCCCTTACCATGGCAAGGGGAGCCCTAGCGCAGTTACTATTCATGTGAATAGTGGCTGCCCTAGCTCCCCCCAGCAAATGTGTGTTTCCAGCAGTTAGCCTCTTGCCATGGCAAATACTATTCATTTTTTTGTTTTTTTTCACAACTTTGTTTATTTAAATAATTAATTTGGATAATATTTTCGGATAAGATTTTTGGGTTCCTACGTGTCAATACTATTCATATCGGATAAGATTTTCGGTTTCAAATTTCAGATACATTTCAAAATTCAAATTTGAGATAAATTCAAAATTTGAATTTCAAATACATTTCGAAATTCAAATTCCAGATAAATTACCAATTCCAAATTTCAGATAAGATTTTCATCCTCTAAAATTGCGCCACGTGTCATCTCTATCTGTCTAAATTTTTCTATAAAACCAGAGGCTCAGCTCATACCTCCCACACCATATATTCTCTGCATCTTCATTTATCATATTTTAGATTTCATTTCTCAGATTTTAGATTTCATTCTCCATTCTCAATGTCAGACATGGAAGATGTTTTGGATAGGCAAGAGCGAGAAAGGCGAGCAAGAATGCGCAGAAGAGCTGCAAGCAAAAGGGCGCAGAGAGAACTAGATGAGCAACTTGGTGTGGCCGTTGCTTTGATGGAGGAAGAAAACCAGAGCCGTCGTGGTTCACGAGAAGGCCGGGCATCGAATGTGGACAGACATAGACATTCTCGGGGTAAGAATCTTCTAGAAGATTATTTTATCCCACAATCTCTGTACTCTGATGTTCATTTTCGAGCAAGATATAGAATGAAACCCCATTCGTTCAATAAAGTCATGCATGATATTTGCAATTATGATGACTACTTTGTTTAAAAGAAAAATTGTGCTGGAGATTTGGGGCTGCTTCCCGAGCAAAAGTTCACAGCTGTGATACGAATGTTGGCGTATGGGTCATCTGCTGATCAGGTGGATGAGATTGCCCGGATGGGAAAGTCCACTATTTTGGAGAGCTTGGTGCGATTTTGTGATGCAGTGGAAAATCTGTACACCATGGACTACCTGCGCAGACCTACGCTCAGGGACCTGCAACGGCTTCTACAAAAAGCTGAGTTTCGTGGATTTCCTGGAATGATTGGTAGCATTGACTGCATGCACTGGCAATGGAAAAATTGTCCATCTGCTTGGCAAGGGGATTATGGTAATCGGAAAGGGCAGAAAAGCATCATCCTCGAAGCAGTTGCTGGTTTTGATACCTGGGTTTGGCATGCCTTCTTTGGAGTTGCCGGTTCTCAAAATGATTTGAACGTCCTAGGTCAATCCTCGGTGTTCAATGATATTTTGAGAGGTGAATGCCCAAATATCACATATCAAGTCAATAATACCGTGTATCAGAACGGGTATTATCTAGCTGATGGTATCTACCCGAGATGGACAACATTTGTGAAATCAATTCCACATCCCCGATCCGAGAAGGAAATTTTTTTTGCTGCCTATCAAGAAGGGTACAGAAAAGATGTGGAGAGGTGCTTTGGTATCCTTCAAGCTCGGTGGGCTATTATCAGGGGCGCGGCGCGTCTATTTGACGAGGATGTGCTCAGAAGTATAATGATGACTTGTATCATCCTCCACAACATGATTGTGGAAGATGAGTATGATTATGATGTTGATGAAGTGTATGAACCAGATCCCATGAACACGACCTTAACACGAATTTATGAAAAACCTATGGGGCCAAATGGAGAACCAGTGCAGCATGATCCGTTAGTTAGAGACGGTACTTTCATGCATCGTATGATTGAGCGCTACACGGAGATGCAATCGTCGTATATTCATGAACACCGTCAAGTTGATTTGATGGAGCATTTGTGGGCGGTGAAAGGCAATGAAGGTCAATGAAGTCAAGTGAAGATGTTATTTTAGTGCATTATGTTTATGTTGTATTTTTAGTTATGCTTTGTTGTTTTTTTTATGCTTTTGTTGTGGTTTGTTTATTTTTTATGCTTTGGTTGTGGTTTGCTTTTTATGTATGGAATGTTTTGAATAAAAAGGAATTTTGTTGAATATTTTCTTCATTCACTACAAGAAAATCAATACAACTCATAAAATAAAATACATGAATTACCACTAATTTTTTAAATAAATAAAAAATACAATGTAATGAAAGGCAAGCAAACTAATTTAATGGTACAATGAAATGAAAGACAAGCAAACTAACTTAATTGTTTTGATCATTTAACCAATCCGTGTTGCTAGGTCCATTGTCACGAAAAAGTCTTCGTCTCATAACATCCCTTCGTTCTAGCTTCCAATATTGTTTTGTTTCAGGGGACATATGGATTGCATCCATGGCCATTGTTTCCCGATCCTTATTTTCACTCTTTCTTGGCGTGCATACTCCCTTTCTTGGCGTGCATACTCCCTTTGTTGGCGTACATACTCCCTTTCTTTTGCATTTTCTACATCAATTGCCCTATCGTGCTCTTGTTGTTTCATGTCCATTTCAATTCTCATGGCTTGCATCCTTGAAAGTTCCTCCAAATATTAGATGATGACTTGGTAGAATTACTCCCTCTCTTCGCCTTCGCCGCCTTCCTCCCAATAGGCCTCGGCTCCTTTTCGATAGGTGAGTCTTGACTTATCGGGGAATCCATAGGTGAATCCGATGCCGGTGTCTCATGGAGTGGCGTCTCGTTCAAGACTACCGTCGGACCCGTTGGAATAATTTGGAATTTCTTACAATTCTTCACCACCTCCCAACAATGGGTATGGTTGAAGCTTTTTTTTCCTTGCCCAGTAGCACCAAAAAACATTTGTGCTTGTATAGTCTATAAAAAAAAATGAGAATGCAAGAAACTTTAAAAATTATTGGCAATTCAACAAGTATAAAAAAATAATAATGGAAATACAAGAAACCTTAACAATTTATTAGAAATGAAAAACAAAATTTAAATATTGCAACAAACATTCATATTAATATTGGAAATACAAGAAATATTAACAAAATATATAAATTGCAAGAAATATTTAAATAAACTTTAATATGACATAGAAATTAATAAAACAAAAATTACAAATAATTTACCTCACTGGTAAGGTTTTCCTCGCTTCTATGGTTGTCCATCGCCTTTGCCAAGGCATCCCTCCATTTCGCCAACTCTTTGTTAAGAATTTTCCACCTACTAGATAGTGCCTGATCTGTACGGGTCGAACCAATTACCCTTTCACAAAAATCCTGATGAATTTTTTTCCACATATGACAGAATTTCATCTCATTGCCCGTTACGGGACAATGACTAATGTGGAGCCAAGACTCACACAAGCTAACATCTTTCATGACACTCCATGCCCCTCCGGTTTCACTAGAAGAACCCATAAATTTGTCTAGAAAAATTCAACTTCAAAGTGAAAAAAATATAGACTACAAAGTGAATAATGGTAGAATAAGAAGAAAATGTATGAAGAGTTGGTGTTAAAAGTGAAGAGTATTTGTTAGTATTTATAGGAAAAAACATCAGTATTTTTTTGGGTATTTTTTCAAATTTTTTTCCATTTTTTTTCATTTTTTTTCATTATTTTTTGGCCAGAATGAACAGCTGCCGTTGGATTGCTGGAAGAACTTAATCGGAGCGCCCAGAGCATCGCCACGTGGAAGAGAGCCGTTGGGTGCGACTTTCGAATTTTTTTTTCATTTTTTTATTGGCAAAAAATGGCTGCCATTGGATTTGGAATAAAGTTGATCGGACAGCTTCAATAGGCGCCACGTGGAATAGACCCGTTGGCGGGTCACTGTAGCGGGCGTGTCAATTTTTTTTTAAGAGCTGCGCTGACGTCAGCTCAAAACGAGTTTTGTTGCTCGGGCTGGACCTCCCCAAGGGCTAGCCCAGACAAATTTTTTTTGCTGGGCCCCACACCTTGCCCTGGCAGATTTGTGTTGCTAGAAACACCATTTTCCCCCAGCCCCCCCCCCAGCCCTCCCCCCAGGCCCCTTGCTGGAAATGCTCTTAGAACTTTATTTAAATTGTTGATAATATTTTTTGAAGTTAAATAATGAAAGTTAAGTTTATCTTCACGGAATTATCAATTTGTAAATGAGTGATGGGTGTGATGATGTTGTCAGTTGTGGTTAGAGTGTTAGTGATAAATTAGAAGCGATATAGATGGTGGTGGTGTCAAGCAAGGACAGTGAATCTAGTGATGGATGATGGTAATTTGTAATTATTAGTTTTCCCTACAATTTTTATCTTTTTTAGAATGTTGAAAAGAAAACATGTATAGATAAATATAACATTGGATTTTATGAGTTATCATATGTGTAGATTTTGTTTATAAAGTAAACAAGGAACTAAAGTATGTCATTTCAAGCATATGTGCTCCCCACTCTGCACTCGAGTTTGAATTCCTTTTTCGTAGTTTAGAATTAGATTAGATTAAAATATAAAATCGCTTGTATAAAAATAAAGTATGTCATTTCAAAATTCTTAAATATTGCCCAAATCTCCATATATCAAAGAACACTACTAGGATTTTAGTATAACCAATTTCTATTCGGGATTTTTCAATGTTGAAAGAGATTCTAAATTCCAAATCTCCCCTCCCCCATTAATTAAAAAACAAAAGAGCATAAAATATGTAGACATTTATCTCTATTTTGTCAAAAAAATCATATGTTATAAATGAGAGTTCTTATGTTTTTTGTGTTAAAATTTAAGGAAAAGTTTAGTGTGTTGAAGTTTAAAGAAAAGAAAAGAAGATATTGTGCTTCTCACTCTTCACCGGAGTTCGAATCGCCCTCCCGTAGTTTAGAACTTTAGATTAAAATTAAAGTGAATATCATTTGTATCAAAAAAGGAAAAGAAAAGAAGAAGAAGAAAAATGTTTAAAAAGGGGGCAAAATTGAAATTTACTCAAAGAAGAAGGAAGATAAAAGAAAAGAAAAAAAAGGGGGCCAAAAATAAAATAGGACCGGAAAGGAGGAGCAAACATACAAAGGGAAAATCTCTCTTCCCGGTTTATCTCTGGAACCCCTGAATATCCTCCTCGAACTCCCCCAACACCCTCAACGGGGGAGGAGAAGAAGGAACAGAATGCCCCAACTGTTTCAGTTACAGTTGCAGCATCTTCAACCTCTCCCCAAACCTCGTCACCCCAACCACCAACTACTTCGCCCCACTCTCACTCTCAGCTTTCCTTCTTCTCTCTCCAATCCCTTAAAACGCACCAAACCCAACAAGCTCCGCCCTCTTCTTCCCCCCACCGTTCGATTTCCCAGCTCCATAGTATGCAAATCCAACAGCTCAGGTAAGTCCTCTGACTTCATCTTTTTGCTGCAACCAGTTGGAGTTTGGGTTTTTCAATTTCTGTTCAAGCAACCTTGTTGTGCTTATGGTGTGTTTGTTAATTGGTAGACTTAGACATTTTATCACAGCCAGAAGAGAGAGGTAAGCCGCACAGACGGGCCAATGGGATATTTTGGATCATACTTGCTAATCTTGGGATTTACATTGCTGATCATGTGTTTCAGGTAGTGTTAATCTTTGATTAATTTATATTAGCAAGTTTATAAATTGTAATTTGTAATTGTTTCAACATCAAATTGGGTTTGAAGTTTATAATTTTGTTTATGCTTTTGCTAGGTTCGTGCAATTAAAATGCTGTACCTCTACCACAACTGGCCTACTTGGTACCAGTTTCTAACAGCAACATTTTGCCATGCTAATTGGTGAGACTTCTGTACACCAGATGTAAAAAGGGTGCACCATATGTAGGATGATGTAATAAATCAGCTTATGTTGCGAGACTGTGAATGTAGACTGTTGATCATGTTTTTTCTTGTCAAAAATGTGGGTTTTGGATTCACAGTTTGGCAACGTAAATGTTTTTCTGGCAAGATAACATATTCACATGCGTTATTTTTCAGGAACCATCTTTCGAGCAACCTTTTCTTCTTGTATATTTTTGGTGAGGGTCTCTTTCTTTTTATTTTTTCCAATAGGATCAACTTTTTTTTTTTGGTCGAACAATAGGGTCAACTTAATACTGGAAGTACATGAAAAATTTGTACCCAAAATAGAAAATATATTATTGAATTTTAAAAGGGTATTTTTTTTGCTTCAACAGGAAAGCTAGTTGAAGAAGAGGAAGGAAATTTTGCTCTGTGGCTTTGTTATATTCTCACAGGGGTTGGAGCAAACCTTGTTTCATGGCTTGTTCTACCAAGAAATGCAGTCTCGGTTGGAGCCTCTGGTGCTGTTTTTGGGTTATTTACAATCAGTGTACTAGTAAAGGTGAATTCCTATATTAGAATAATCGTGTACCTCGCGATCATACGCCTCAGTCTATGCTTAACCAGTTCACCCTCTTTTTGCTTAATACAGATGTCCTGGGACTGGAGAAAGATCCTTGAAGTGCTTATATTGGGCCAATTTGTTATAGAGAAGGTGAGCCAAGCTTTTCAGAAACATCAAATCGGTGTCATTTTAAAGCATGCAAGAATTAGAGCTTATGCATTCTTTTGGCCTAATATGTTTCTACTTTTATCTCCCAATTTTGGTAGGTTTATTGTCAGATCAGTAGTTTTGTTAGTTGTTCATTGATTTTTGTTTTTCATTGTTTCATAGATCATCTAACATATATCTCAAAATGTGTTAGATATATGTGTAATTGTTTCTGTTGCTGTTTGTGCTCACAAATAGGTTATGGAAGCAGCTCAAGCTTCTACTGCATTATCAGGCCCCTTCGGTGGAGGCAGTTCTTTGATGAATGTCAATCACATTGCACATCTCTCAGGTGCTCTTGTTGGTGTTTTTCTAGTATGGATTCTCAGCAAGGTTCCTTCTGAACCCCCAGCACAAGGATCAAATTTTCAAAGCAAAACAAGCAGAACCCAATGAAAATTGGATATGGAAACCAAACTGATGTGCTTGTGTTGAAGGGCTTGCAGCAGTTAGTTTCCTGATTATCTTTATGTTCTATTCTTTGTTGATCATGTGTAAATTATCTTGATACTAATTGATTCACGAGAAATGATAGAGTTTTTCTTTTTATACAAGCGATATTGGGAGAGGGGGTAATCGAATCTAGGACCTCGGGTGCAAAGGGTAATACTCTTAACGTGTTGAGCTACGAACTCCTTGTAGAGGTGGCCCAGTTGGGTTTCTGGTAAATCTGAAATACCAAAAATCATGGTCCGTCTCAACCTGAACCTGATGTGTCTAACTTGGACCTAGACGAGAGTCGGAGTGAACGAATAAGGGGAAATTCTTATGACCCATAAGTGGTCTAAATTTAAAACAAATACCATAAAAGGGGATAATTATGCATTGCATTTGTGAAAACCAGTTCTATCAACACTGAAACTGGAAAATCTTCTTATGAATTTTTATGAGTTTCCTTAAGATTGGGACAATACAAGGGAGCTTGTGGCATAAGATAAGAACTAAGCAGCACCTTATGTCCTTGAATGTCAACAACTATATTGATGATTAATGTAGGAAAGTAGCATTTGATTTTGATTTACAACAAGGAATCAGCATGCTCAAAAACAAGCAAAAAATGCTTCATGAAAAGACAAAGGTTCCCTTCACTATCTACAACATTTTATACGCTGAAATTTCTTCTGGGAGGATTATATGATTCTGTGTCACATCTAAATGAGAATTGTTCCTTCAGTTCAAGAACACAACTGTACATTGCTGTGCAAACTGACCATACACACCAAGCTGCCCCTGAGATTGCTTCCGGCATATAATTGGCAATCTTTCCCCAAATTTACAAGTCTGAGACAGATTCATAGATTTTGCAGCAAGCGATGAGACGTCAAATGAAAAATCACCGTCTCTTAGCACCATTCTTCCTTTTCTAGTTGCTGAAGCTGCTGATCCTTTTTGATCACTTGTAACTGATGGTATCTGTAACAGATTGGGATGAAAGGCACTTGCAGATTTCTTATGATAAATTTTCTCTAAGCTCTCAAATGGTACCTCTTCGGTTTCAACCTGATGGGTCTTCTCTTTACTTCTCATAGCACCCATCATCCTATTTGCCTCCTTTGTTAATCCAATTGCACGCCAAGCATCAGCAACAAGCGAGATAGTAGATTTTTCTGGCTGAACACCAAACTCTTTCATAATCTGGAGTATTTCTTCAGCTTTCCATGGCAGCTTTGTTTCTCCAAATCCCCATATTAGGGTCTCAAATGTCTTCAAATTGGGAGAAATTCCATGTTCACACATCTTATCAAAAACTTTAATTGCATGCTCCATTCTGCCGGAACTGCACCATCCACTCATGATGGTTGTGAAAATCACAACGTTTGGACGAACTCCCAATTTCATCATGGCTGCTAATAGTTCTTCAGCTTTCTCCACTTCTTGAGCACGCACATAACCTTTGGCAAGAATGCTGTATGCATGCACGTCAGGTTTTATGCCAGCCTTCACCATATCATCAAAGATTTGCCTACACTTCTCCATGAATCCGGCTGTGCTCCATGCATTCATGATGGTGCTAAATGTTATCACATCAGGTTTGACCCCAAATTCTTCCATCAACTTCAGCACCTGCAAGTTAATATATGAAATTATTGTAATGATTTGTGGCAACAATTAAAACAAAACACCATTTTGGGCCATTACAAGAAGAAACAGCGAGACAACTCACCTGATCGACCCCATCTCTATCCATGGTATCAACAAAACCTTTAATCAGTGAGTTAAAGACAACGATGTTTGGATGCAGCCCAAGATCTTTTATCCTTTTCATAAACCTTAAGGCCTCCTTCAGTTTACCTTCCTTACAATACCCACTTATGATAATGCCACAAGTTCGTTCATTGGGTTGCACTTTGTTGTTCTGCATCTCTAGAATCATTCCTTCTGCCTTACTTGTCTCTCCATTTTGAGCATATGCTGTTGCTAAAGTGTTGTAGGTAACGGCATCAGGTCGCATTCCAGAAGTTACCATCTTATGCACCACATTCCATGCCTCTGTAATGTTCTTCTTCTTACACCATGCTCTGACTAGAACATTAAAAGTCCTTATATTTGGTTTCACATTTTCCTCTTGGGACATCATCTCAAGCAGTTGTAAAGAATCTTCAGGCTTACCAGAAATCCCATACCCTTTGATCAATGTGTTATAAGTGCTGGTAGTGGGTTTTATTCCACTCTCCTTCATCTTCCTTAAGGTTTCCATGGCTTTCTCTACATTCCCAGATTCCGAGAAAGCATTTATAACAGCATTGAAAAATATTAAATCAGGATTCATTCCATTCTCTTCCACCTGTGATATAACATAAGGAATGGACTCAAAGCGCTTCTGGATGGTCAAGGCAGCTAGGAGGGTTGTGTATGATACCAGTGAAGCCCTGTGTCCCCCTTCAATTAAACCATTAAAAAGGGACTGGGCTTCCTGAGGTCTCCCTCTCTCTATCAAAATGTTCATTAGCCTAGTTCTCGAACGCACAATTCGACAATTCTCTTTGGCCATGCAGATAGAACAATGGGATTGCCTCATTGATCCATTAGGCTTTGAAATTAGACGCAAATGGTTCTTATCATCAGGATGATTTCCCTGTGGGCTTAAAAATAAATACCAAAAAAGAACATAAATTTTTTTACCAAAAAAAAACTTTCTTTAAAGTTCACTGAAACAAATAAAGCAAGGAATCTCAGGCTTGTCAAAGTACACACCAGAAGCAGAAGCGGTACAATTAATGCAGAGCACAATCAAATCATTGAACTAATGACACAATACCTTGATGGGTAATGCTTGAACCCGTCCATTTGCAGTAGTGGCAGTTGCTTCTTCGTTTTTGTTAGTTGTTCTTAAAAAAGCCTTCCCTTTGCCTGATTCTCCCATATGGGTATGGCTCTGTCAACTTGTCACCGAGTTTGAGTGGGTCTCTACTTCGCACTGAATACACAGCAAAACCAGTTCATGAATCTTTTCTCATTTTCAAACTTTTTTGGGTCCCTATGGAGAACACAATGATACACCAGAAAATCAAGTTCGGTTCTTCATGCTCAAGCAACTTGAACATCAACGAAAAAGTTCAATCGCAATGTTTACAAATATCAAAAGCAACCCAACAAATATATTGTTTACTACCAACCAATTCTGTGAAACAGTTGTAATCTTTGCAGACATTCAAGCTATTGGTAAGCTAGAAACCCAAGAAACAACATTTAGGAGCTAGAAACAAGCTTGTACCTTTTGGCGTTAGATTGCAGACATTTGCAGTCACTGAGAGAGAGAGAGAGAGAGAGAGAGAGAGAGAGAGTGAATATGCTTGTAGACTAACGAGGCATGGAGACCCACCAAAGGGAACATATAATATAATCTGATCTCAGAATGGGTGAGACATAGGTGATGGGATAAGGAGGAAAAGTGAGGCTCTGAATTTGTTTCAGGAAATTGGTTCTTGGTTTTCCTTTATTTTTATTTTTATTTTTGGTTTTCCTTTATTTGTTTATTTTGGTCATAAGCTTTACTTTTTTAGTTCCACCATCATGAAAATACATTTATTCCGGAGAAAAAAAAACACAATCGTGAAATGAAAGCATATTTTCAAATTTAATGCATTTCTATTTAATTCTTTTTTTCTGCTGGAAATAAGTGCTTTTAGTGATATTTCTTTTGTGACAAATATAATTGACAAACCAGTCAGTGGGTGATGACTATTAGTCTATCACCACCGTCACCATTGCAATCTGGATATTTGCACCAAGGCAAATTTGCCAGGTTGAAAATGGTTGGATAGCTATGAGTATTGTGACATTCTGTACAATAACGTCACGTGGTGTTATTAATGTGTGTTATAATATGGTTATACAATAAATTTATATCTTAGTGTATAAATATCAATAAATATAGACATGATACATTTGGGTCGTTAATAGTAATAGATGTTCTAGATTCCATTTATAAAGATAAAAGATTAAAAAAACTGTTATTGACACTTCAAAATATAATCTCACCCTCACTATAGAGGACGACTCTAATTTGATAATAAGATCAGGTTGGGGCAGAATTTTGGACTGGCTCAGACCTGTGATCAAACCCATTTAATCTATTTGCAGGAGTCATTTTATGGTGACGGTGTCATATATGGACAATAGATGTGGATTTTCATATTAGCCATACCATTTATCTAAATAGTAAATTCACATAAGTTTAATGAAATAATCATATCACCAATATTAAAGTCCACATAAGACTCACTCACTATAAAATTTCTCCTATTTGCAGCGGGTTATGGGCCGGATCACCACACATGGGTCCTAGCTCTTAAGCCTACTTATGGCGCTGCGCACTCGGGTTAATGAGAAAGGACGTTTTTACCCCTAATGGCAAAATTTTCGTTTCTCTTCAGATTTCTAGGAAAATGACTTTCTGCCGCAAAGATGAATTCCAGGAAATTACAAAAAATTAGAGAGAAATTGTGAATCTTCTTTCTTCGTCATTTCCACTTATCATTAATCAGAAAGAGAGAAAAATAAAAGAAAAATAAAAAAGCACTGTGATTAAAAGTTGAAAACTTTTAGATTAGAGATTCATCTGTATATTCAACCCTGCCAAAAGGGGCACGTAAACACTCAGAATCCATTAATATTTTAATAATTCTCTGAATTTTTTTCTTCTGAAGCCTGTATCTGGTGGGAAATGTTTAGGTTGTGGAAATGGTACCAGAATTCCTTAGCTGTTCATCCAATTAAGACGCAGGTCATCAGCTCTGGTTTGATTTGGGGGTTTGGTGATATAGCTGCCCAGACCATCACTCACTCCACGGCCAAGGCCCAACGTCAAATTCAAACTCAGGTAAAAATACCCATTTCCGGAATTGTTTCTGTTCTCAAATTTCTGTCAACATTTATGCATTTCTTGCTCTTATTCACGGTTTGCCCAAATGGGTCTTGATTATTTTCTCCTGCATTTCATCCTTTGACCCTTGTTCTTGTGTTTATGGAACTGGTTTCTTGTGATTATGTTGTGTTTATGCCTTTGCAGCATTGGCATGAATTTGAAAGAATTTATTTATCTTTAAAGCTGCACACTTTGTTGCTTAATGAATGGCTTGATGGGGAACCAAGCAGAACTGGTTCCTCATGTTTAGGGAAAATGTTCTGTAGCTGCATTTTCATATATCTCATGATTTTGAGCATCATATATTTTGGAGGGGATATTAAACTACCAATTATTTTTCTTTATTTTTCTTAGTTTACATGACATTGGCGTAACATGGTGATGTTCTTAAAGGATCCTTCAGTCATATGCACCAAACTTTCTAAAATGAAGTCATGTTTGATGCTCTGCAGTTTCTGGGGCTCCCTTCTGTTGTTATTAAGCCCAACTCACCTAGTGCATAGAGTTCCCCAATTTTGGGCTATATTTTCTTCTCAATATTTGTCCTTATATGAGATAAATATTGACATAATTTTTTTTTGGAATTTCTGAATATTTAGTTTTATAATACATGATGAGACCTGTTTTCGCTAGACATTTCCAGCACACATTTTGTTAATTACCTTAATATGGTTATAGAATAATATATCTATCTTCATCTTTAGGGTGAAGATGAAGATGAAGAGTTAAAGATCAATTGGAGAAGAGTGTGTACAACCAGCTTGTTTGGATTTGGGTTTGTTGGGCCCGTTGGTCACCTCTGGTAAGCATTTTTTTTGGGGGGTGAAAAATCATACATTCTGAGTATGCGGACATGTGATTTTTTAGGGTTATTGATCTGGTTCCCACATCAAAGGGTGATCTAGAATTTTACAATATAAAGGAACCACTAATCATGGGCATTTGAGGCTCCTCTTCCCTTTAGTTTGACAGAGACGGATGGACTGATTTGCATTCCCCAGTTTATGAGTTTGGTTTTCATTATCCTTTTGCAGGTATGAGGGTTTGGACCGATATATAAGGTCAAGGCTTCTTCTGCAACCAAATTCATTTCGTTTTGTTGCTTCTAAAGTTGCAATTGATGGGTTTCTTTTTGGGCCATTGGATTTACTTGTGTTTTTCACCTACATGGGGTTTTCTGCTGGAAAGAGCGTTCCTCAAATCAAGGAAGATGTGAAAAGGGATTTTCTTCCAGCCTTTGTTCTGGAAGGAGGGATATGGCCGATTGTGCAAGTAGTGAATTTCCGGTTTATACCTGTGAGGTATCAGCTCCTCTATGTCAACTTCTTCTGCTTGTTAGATAGCAGTTTTTTGTCATGGCTTGAGCAACAAGAAGATGCTCCATGGAAGCAATGGTTGAAATCTTTAGTATATTTTAACAAACAAAAAGATGAAGGTGGGTGATTGCCCTTTAACTACAGTTTCAGCTTTCATTCCAGGCCTTGCTGATTATAGTGGATCATACGTCGGAGAAAGTAAAACGGTTGAGTGAGAAAACTGAGGTACCAACTTAGTTTTTCAAAGTTGGGATTTTGGAAGTGATGGATTTGCTCTCATGCTTATCCAGTTTTCACGTACAATACAAGTTTTCATGGATTTGTATCCTCAATCCATGTTTCAATAATGATTCTATCAATTTCCTTTGCTACAAATTGTAGATCTTGCTGGTCTTGCATCAATTATGTTTTACCATCTTACCCTCTGTAAATATTCTCCTGTTGGTAAATACTGGAAAGGAATTTTTATCGGAAATGAGATTTGAAATCTGATCTTTTCTCATATTCATTCTGTGATTTTTATTGGAAATGAGATTTGATCTGTGATCCTTAAGAGATTTGATTGTTAGCATGTTCCATAAAGTCGGAAATGAGATTCAATCTGTTCCTTGCTAATGGCAAAAGTACCTCTTCTTAATACACAGTTCTTTACACGAGGTCCTTTTTGGTGAAAAATTCTCAACTCTCGACAGTTAACAGATATGAACGAGCAAAGCCACTGTATCAAACCCAGTAAAAAAGAGGCTACTATTAAATTATTTATCAAAAAAGGCAACAAAAAAATGGAATATATATATCACAAAATCAAATAAAAAATCATTCCCCAAAAACAGGCTTTGGTGTCTCAACTTCAGAATGTTTGCTTGGCCTCGCTGCTGGAGCCAGAAGGGTTAAGACCATACTCACTGGTAGTTCCACTGTACATACTGATGCCATACTCTTCCTTGTATTGCTGGGAACTGTTATATGAATTCCCCAAGCTATTATGTAATGTGCTGTTTCCTGGTGTCATTCCTTCACGAAGATCCGTCAATGAAGCAACTCCCTCTAAAGCGTGGACTACCTACTCGGTTTGGAATAAGCGTAAAGATTTTCAGTTAATTAGCTAAATCGTTGGTGCTGTGTTATCTCATTGAGCAGGTAGCTAAATCATTGATTGTGTTTTGGGAGTTCAGGATTCGTTTTTCATTCAGTTAACAAAAAATATAACAAGGAATTACCTGGCTCATTCGTGGTCGAAGCCATGCTGAATTCCGTACACAAGCAGCGGCACAAGCAACCATTCTAGCCATCTCATTGTTGTTGTAATTTCTCTCCAATCTTGGGTCAACAAGAGCATCAAAGTCACCATCTTCCAGGGCTTGAGTGAGCAATGGCCTGGCCTAGAATGCCAAAAAAAGAGAAGAAAAAGAAAACTCAGTCATCTACTCACTCAAATCATACAATCTGAGGCGTTCAAAGCAGAAACTAGGGTCAGGCTCCTTGCAGAAATGCTGAACTTGATCTATGTTATGTGCATGTTGGTTTAGCAGTACATATCTCATTCTTAAGAAAGAAAACTTTAAGATCGCATCCCATTGTACAGTTTATACCCACTGATTAATGAAAAATAAGGTCAGGAAAATGGCACAAAACGAAGCAGTGATGCAAGAGAACTCACCCACTGAACCAGGCCCTTGTTCCTCATGGATTCGATTGTACTGATAGGCGGTCGTCCAGTTATAAGTTCTAGAAGTACAACACCGTATGAATACACATCTGATTTGTCTGTCACCTTACCGCTCGATGCGTACTCTGGAGCCAGGTACCTGTATATGTTCATGTACAGAACAATTAATTAAGTTTGTTTCATTCTACAAGGCTAAGTTTATTGCCAAGCACAGACTAACAAGCAAAGCAAAAGTGAGTACGTGGTATGAACTTGGAGTTGTAGTAACAAGAATATCATGTTCTTACCCAAATGTTCCCACAACTCGAGTGGAAAAGTGAGACATGTGAATGTTGGTATCAGAGAAAGATTTGGCCAGTCCAAAGTCAGAAACCTGAACATAAATCTCAACTTCAGAAACCTCAACATGAACCTGAACATAATAAGTACGGCTAATATTTGGTCCTACCTTTGCTTCAAACTTATCATCCAGAAGAATATTAGATGCCTTGATATCACGATGAATGATTTTCGGATTGCCTGCAGCCACAAATGATGTTCAATTACCATTAAACTTTAATGTCAACATTCTCAAGAAAAAGATGTGCAAAATTAAAACTTCAAGAGATATGTGAAAGGAACTCACAATCTTCATGAAGATATGCTAGTCCTTTTGCAGACCCAGTAGCAATTATCAATCTGGTTTCCCACTCCAGAACAGACTGCCCGTCTCCTGCAATGCAGCAATTATCAATCATACTCCATATCTAATCAATCACTCACAATAGGGCTAGTAACTAATTCTTGAAAACTACCAGCATGGACTTGATTACCATGTAAGTGGAATTCCAAGGTGGTGTTTGGAACAAACTCATACACAAGCAACCTCTCCGCCCCGGTAATGCAGTACCCAACCAAGGAAACTAGATGCTTGTGATGAACCCGGCTAATAATGTCAACCTCAGCCTGAAATTCTCGCTCCCCTTGCCGGCTTCCAGTCATCAACTGCTTCACTGCAACTTCTTTGCCACTTGGAAGCACACCCTTGTGGACATACCCGAAACCGCCTTGCCCAAGAAGGTTGGCTTCTGAAAAGCCATTGGTGGCCACCGCCAATTGATCATATGTGAAAATCCCATTTGAGACATCTGAGGGAAAACCAGCTGGCCTTTGAGTTTGAGGTGGATATGGGATCTCAGACCGGGATATGATTGAAGCAGAACCAACAGTGCGGCTCATGGGAGATTGCGGAACAGAGGTTCTAGATAGCACCCTGATAACATGGACCCCTGGTGAAGGAACAGCATAACAATCATCTGCCAATGCAACCAACGCCACAGAGTACATTAGCAAATTTAATTAATTACATACAAACCTATAAAGACGTTCGATTTTCTAAATTGGACAGGAAAATATGTAGCAATGAATCTTGTGATCACCTTTTGGGCAAAAGGATGGTGTTTTATGATGATCCTCCAAAAGGGCACTGTTGTTTTTAGTCCTCCTACGTTTGTAACCAAGAAATATAATGGCAAGCAGAAGCACAATGGCAACAAGTCCACCAATGACACATGATCCAGCTATGAGAGCTGTGCTCATATTTGGTCTTGGGTTGTGAACTTGCAAGGTGGCTGGCAGTGAGGAAGATAATGGTGGATGAAGCATTAATTGGGGTGGCATTGGCAATGTTGTTGGAGGTAGGTTTGTAGTATTGGTTTTGTTAGATGAGGGTGGCTGCAGGGTGCTGGCCAATGTGGGCGGCAGCGGCAGAGTACTAGGGGGCAATGCAGGTTGGGGAGAGCCGTGGCTTGGACTCGCTAAAGGCGGTGTCTGAGTTGCTGGTGGCATAGTTGTTGCCAATGTAGGTGGTGGGGGAGGGGTTGATGGGGTTGTTGGAGGGGAAACATGTAGTGGTGGTGGTGGTGTTGGTAATGGTGATGGCGGGTTTGGAGGTGGCGGTAGAGAAGGTTTGAATGGCAATGGAGTTTTTGGTGGTGAAGAAGGTGGAGGTGGAGAGGTGACTACTGAAGGTGGAGGTGGTGGTGGAGTGAAAGTTGTTGGTGGCAACAGAGCTGGCAATGGTGGAAGCTGAGGCGGTGGAGATGTTAGAGGAGGCGGTAGCGGTGAGGACACAGGAGGGACAGAGTTGGGTATAGGTGGCAGGGCAGGAGGAGTAGTGGGTAAAAAAGGTGGGGATGGGAATGGTGCTATCTGTGGCAATGGTGGCGGCAACAACGGAGGCAATGGGGGCGGCAATGACGGTGACAATGGGGGCGGCAACAATGGTTGCAATGGCAGTGTCAGTGGTGGGGTGGTTACTGGAGAAGCAGCTGGAGGCAGTGACCATGGTGGTGGTGAAGACATTGTTGGTTGTGAAGATAGATTTTGGTTGAGATGTATAAACACTTAACGGGGGATCTCAAAGAATATTTAGCAACAACATTCGGCGGTAGATATAAATTATAATATTAGATAGACAGGACATAATTGAGCAGAGCCCGTGAACGACATTTTATAATTTTCTAAACTTCTTTTCTAACTAACCTTTGCTTATTTTATTTATCTAATGTTGAATGGGGCAGTGACCTGTGATCATGTGATCAGTAAGACAGTAACTAGTTGTTGCTGTTGTTGGAAGTGGAAATCCAGTTCACCTTACAGTGTCTCACTAGGCCTGTAGGCCACTACAAAGGTTTCATTGTCTGATATGGGTGCTAAGAGCAGATATTTGGGTCTATGGAGGCTCAAAAAATATTCGTAAACCGGAATGCCATCGTAACGATATCCCAAATCAGTCACACATTGCAACTTTTCCACGTGACAATGCCTAATTGACTTGAAATACCCGTTGCCTGGAGAAGATGGAAGTTCTTCACCGTGGATGCTCCTGATGCAAGAGCAATCATAAAAGTTATGAGGCTCTAGAACTCACCCCTTCGGAGTTTCTCTTTTTGTTCTCTTTTCAACTTCTCAAGGTCACAATACAGATTGAACAAAATTGTTCAAATTAGTGGAGGGGGACCACAAACATCACATTGACACATACAAGTTGATTGATTTTTCTTGTTGGCAGTGTTCTACTAGGAGATGCTCCAATTAAATAGTAAAAAGATACAGAGAAAGATGTAAAATTTGGGTAGATGACAGCATGCTTGGTGCCCACAATGTAAGTCTCAGAGAGTAGTAGGTTCTTCTGGTCTTCTTTCTTTTTTTTTTTTTTTTTTTTTTTTTTTTTTTTTGTTTGGTGGAGGGTAGGGTCTTCTTGGAGTATTTGGTCCAAGGACTGATAATCTTGTTTTTCTTGGGTTGAAAAATGAAGCTTGTGATTGAACTCCCATCCTCTGTTGCAAACTGCAAAATCCAACTTGATAGGGTTTTCACAAATTATCGTCAGGTGGTTGATTTGATCATGACTGATGACCTTCCTCTATGGTGGTTGATTTTCCTGTATGCCAATAGGAACCCTTTTGGTTGATAGGAATAGAACAGAGGATTTGCTTACATTTCCTCTCATCATCAAATGGACCGCTGTAACAGATGCTACGAAAACCCAGCACATTTCATATCATTCAACCTGTCAGATAACCCGGCTCTTCGATAGCCAGCAATCAACAGATCATAAGTTGATTTTGTAAGTTCATAAGAACCCTTCAGACGTTCCAAAAACAGCTCCACCCTATCATGAGCCGAGCACCTGAAGTACGAGCAGATTACCTTTTCAACAACATCATGATGTTTAAATGACATTCCTTGTTTCAGCATCCTCCCCACAGAGTACTCTACATCATCCAATCTATCCAACATAGCATTCAACCTTATAATCCCACAGTGGACCAGCAACAAAACTTCTGAGACTTGATTGGTCTCCATTAAATCTACAAGTAGCTCCTCCAATTTCTCCACCATCCCAAGTTCAATATACAACCCCACAACCATCTCAGCCATCTTCTCATTGATCTTCCACCCAGCATCCAACACTATCTTCATAAACTCTTTAACTTGATCAAAGCTCCTCCTCTTACAAAGCCCTTCCAGCATATTCTCCAATATGGGCAAGTTGGGCATGAGCCCTGATAATACCATTTCTTCATAGAACCAATCAGCCAACTTGAAATTGTTCGATTTGATGCAACCGGAAATCAGAGTTTGATAGGTTTGAACATCAGAGCTGAATCCAGCAGCCTTCTTGGCAGAGTACCAAGCTTGCACAGAATCAGCTTTGCCCAACTTTGAGAATGCAGACATGAATGCATCATAAGTGTCAGAATTGGGTTTAAATCCCTCTGAGCTCTCCATTATCTCAAATAGGCTGAAAGCTGTCGACGCATTACCTGAAGAGAAGCAGGCATGCACAAGGGAATTGAAAATAGCAGAAGTGGGTTTGATTCCATTAGCCTCCATAGAAGTAAAGACTTGCATTGCAAGTGGGAGATTCTGAATTTTCCCACACAGAGATATCAGCTCAGAGTACCGATCATGATCTTTCTCATTCTCCTCAAGCAAGTTCTCCAATTTCCACTCCAAAACCTGACTAACCAAACAATGTGCATACACATATAAGCAGAAATTGGTTTAAATCTTCAACCAACAAAAAAAAACAAGCAAATGATACAATTACATTAATCAACCTTAATCTTTTAAATATATAATGGGCATTCCATCTCAATTTATTTTCTCACTAAAACAACATAAATCATTTAATTTCTATTAGTTTCTCAGCAACCAAACAGAGGGTGAGGAATTATAAAAACTTGTAAAGAATCTAACTTTGAGCTACAACTATTGCAATTGATGGGTGATTATTACCAAGCGAGATTTATCAGGAGAGGAAGAAGACGCGAGAGAAGTGAGGAGGGTTTCCCAGGAAAAATCAGAGCTTTGGAGGGCAGAGAATTCCTCGGAACCAAGTATGCTTTTGATGCGTGAATTGGGTTCCTCAACCAACCTCTGAAGCAAACTTGTTTGGTTACTCAACCATCGCTGAGAGCTACTAGAAATTGCCAAAGCCTTGGGTTGTAAACTCCTCGCTGCTGACAAAACTCGGCAAACTAATGCCATGGTTCTGTTCTTAGTTCCTACTTCCTACTCTACTGAAGGCAGAAGCAAACCCATCTCCGATAAGCACCAGAGAGGTGAAGGCAGGCCCAGGCCCAGGCCCAGGTCCAGGTCCAGGTCAAAGCCCTATCTTTCTCTTCCCTTAAAGAGAAAAAGAAAATCCTCATTTTTCATCTCTTTCTTCAATTTTACAATTAATCAAGTCGCGTTAAGTTATGGGTTTAGTTTGGTAAGTGACATTCTGGTTTCTAAGGATTTTGATACAAGCTAAAATGAAAAAATTCAAGTAGAAAAGTTTCTGTACAATAGAAATGTAGTACTTATTCTGCCCAATGTGCCTGCTTAAAAATGAATCACATACAGGAATTTTACACTCATGGTACATTGAAAGCTTCAGAAACTTGGGGGGTGGTGGTTGGGGTGCACAACAGAAACAATGTTCAGGTTTTACAACATAAGAAAGAAAGAAAAAACCCCCACTCACCCCCTATGCAATCTCATTGTAGATTGATCTACAGCTACAAAATCACACACGCTCTCTCTCTCTCTCTCTCCTCTCTCTCTCTCTCTCTCTCTCTTCCTTTTGTCTCCTGAGGAAACTAATCACTTGTGATCTACTTCCAGCTAAGGATTTATCTTGATGTACTCATGGCATGCCAAATTTGGACAAGGCAGATTGGAACACGGATGAAAAGGGCTGGGTTGCACTTTGATCATCGGCTTTAATCTTTATTTGAGCTTTGGCGGATGATGTGTTGACTATACACTCTACCAAAAATGTGGAAGATTCTTCTGCCTTTTGTGCAAAGAAGAAAAACTTGAAGTTGGGGGATTGGCCACCGGATGCAATGCAGTGAATGGCTTGGCCTTGCATATGCCGCAGGAGTGCTTGAGGCGTTGTCAATGCTGCAACTCCTTCAGGCGTAATTGAATACTCCTGCACCAAATAATAGATGCCATTTGTAAACAAAAAATAAAAACAACATTGAAATAAATGCTGATACAAACATTATGCAGGCCAAATATGGAATACCTGTGATAACGATATCGGCAGTTGGCGCCATTTCTGCTGAAAAGTGGTTGGATCCAGAACAGCTTTTGGGTTAAGCTTCAAAGGAGGAGGTGAAGGTGCAGGCGCAGGTGCAGCAGGTAGACCCAAGCCAAGTAGATCATCAATTGCAAAGCCAGACTGTGGAGCATTTCCTGGCACAGAGGGATTTGAAATCGCCAACTCTGTCATTTGAGAAGTGGGAACAGACACTGACGAAGCATCATATGAAGGAGCACTATATGCAGAAGAATTGTTATTGAGACCTCTTGTCTCTTCCTTCTCCGAGGTACTTAAAAGAAGATCCTTATCATTTGCCTCAACTCTGTGAGCTTGAGCAACAGTATCTGCAGATTCTGTCCCAATAGATAAATTTCCAATTTCATCTGAAAACTCAAAGGGCCCTCTGTGTTCCTTATAAGTAAACATGTATGATGGCTGCAAGCATTTCAAAATGTCAGTCTGTTTGTGGCCTGCCTTCGACAAAACTTTTAATAGGTTGTAAAAAAGCCAAAATACCACCATCAATTAAATAAAATGAGCAACATATGATGAAAACTTATATTCATACATGTATTGTATGCGTTCGCCTATCCTGATACCCAGGAAAGGGACAGGGAGTGTTGTTTTTTTTTAATCTGAAACCATTTACAAGGGAGGAGAATTGTTACTACCTGCTGATATACAACAGACAAACTGTTAAATTCATCAAATATCCGATCTTTGATTTCACTGCTGTGGGTATCAGCAAAGACAGAAACAGCTTGCTTTGGAGGGTTCACCACTTGTTCTGCTGTACTTATGTTATATTGCAAAAGCCTGTAGTAGAATAAGGCTCTATCATGAACATCCTGCAACCAACTAAAAGTTTATTGAACGTTCCTAAACAAAATACGACAAACTTTCTCACGAAAAGAAAACAAACATACATATGGAATACTTTAAAGTTAACTGTATGAAATAACAACAAAACCCAACAACATGCACCTGGTGAAAATCAGCAAGACCTGCAGCCAGTGCAGCTCCCAAGGATTTCTGAGTCTCAGGTGGCCTCTTAAAAAAGCACTTCATCACTGCTGTGAGTAGATGCAAGCGAACCTGTGCAATGAAACCGTCCCATCACTCAAATCAGAGGTTCAATTGAGGAATTTTTACCATTAGAGGTTCAAAAGCATATCTGTAGCTGCAAAATGCAAGAAGACCACAAAGATCCTATAATCCCAAAGATCATACATATCCACAAAGATCCCACCTTATGTGCATTTAAATATATACCAACACTCAACCCTTGTTTTTTATGAATTTCCAAGCACTAGGATTTGAAACCACATTGGCCGTTCCATAGAGACTGTAATGCTACTTTTTGTTTTAATACAAAACAGGAATATTCTGAGTAATTTAGAACCAAAAAGAGGCCAACCAGGATATGGATCTTCATCAAACAAGTGAATAAACACTTCACCTGAACAAAATAATAACTTAAATATCTTGTTTTTAATACATGAAGTGAAGACATTGACCAATAAACCATGGCTCATAAATATTTTCTTTAGAAAAAAAAAGGTAAAAAGAAGGCGTAATAAAGAGGGAACAGAATGGCAACTTAATAAATTACCTCAGCCGAATGCTCATCCTCCCAATTTTCAATCAAACTCTCTAAAATATAAGGTGCGTCGTGCATTTCCTGAGAATACTCCCCAAGCATCCATATAAGAGCTGCCTTGGCCTTGGGTTCTTGAACGTTTTTGCTGCTGATGTTCCCAACAACTGCAATGCAATCATGACTCCATTGTGGATATTTCCTCAGCAGATCTTTTACAAGAACCTGTATAAAGGAACTCCAAAATTGAGGGAATCTGGCAAGCTATCTGGGTATATAAAATTGATCATGTTATCTCTTTGCTTTTATTTTCATTTCTTCTTTTATAAATATATTTAACTGAACTCTACTATCTCTTAGCCATTTTAATATATCATTCAGAAATGTACCACAATTAACTGGTGCACTTAGATTTACCGTTATAAGTACCAAACAGGATTCAAACATGATGATTTACCAGAGCTTCAGCAGTTACATAGTCCTTTTCCATCTCCAGGAATTGAAGAAGCCGATCAACAATTGCATTCACATCATACTGTTGTAGAGCTATTTTCCCAACTGCACGGATTGACTCTCTTGCAATGGGAATATCAACATTTGCAGCATATTCACATAATTCTGTCACTGAAATGAAACGAAGAAGGTCATGCATCAATCATACTTGAAAGCTAACAAGAATAACAGTACCTGTGACCAAAGAGTGGGTCACCACAAACAAGGCGGATTTTACCGTGTCACACACAGATGCACAAACAGACAATTGCTCAAGAATCTGTAATTAATTTCAGGTGGTGTTTTCTTACCAATTTCATAAGTGTTGCTCTCATTTGCCACTGCAGTCAACATCTCAAGCTTCAACTTTTTAACATATGATGGCTCATTGTACTGGCAATAGAAGTGTTTATAGTCTGAAGAAAATATGAATGGTGCACGAGTCACCAAAAGATGCAGGTGGCTTAGAACTGCATAAGATTGCTCTGGACTTCCCGAACTCACTAAGGTCAGGAGAGGAGCTTTAATGCGTTCATATACCTAGCCAGTGAAAATAAAACAAAGCTTTCATTAGAGAAGTGGTTCTCATAAAAATAGCACGAGTAAAACAAGATGGGGCAAAATGCAACACTGGCATAGAAGTCAAAACCATCAGATCCTGTAAGCATATTTCTTTTTCAAACTAGAATTAGTTTGTATACTACAATGATTAATTTTCATCTAATAAAAAAAAACAAGGAATGTGGAGACTAACAGCGAAAAGTTCTTCTATATATGGTAGCTCCTATATGATTATGCAACTACAAGAGGTTTCCCTTTGTAACACATAAAAAGCTACATTTCTACCTACATTTTAAGTTCCAAATTCAAAAGAAAAAAGGAAGCGAATTTATTTATGCCTACCTGCTGATGAACATCAGTCATTGACAGAGTCAATTGAAGAAATACTTTTGTGGTTGCTAAGACAACAGCACCATTTGCATGCTGAAGTCTATCCTCGAGCAGATTCATGACATCAAATATCTCATTGCTATCTGCAGGTACATATTTACCTACCAACTCAAGTACAAGACATTGTGCCCATTCACTAAACTCCCTGATCCTGCATAAGAGAACATGCACCAAACTGAACTGCTGTTTTCTTGACACTAATTCAGTTGAATGGAATTGACATTAATTTCATTTTGAAGAATAATGGCCCCAGGTGAGCACCAACCCCATATTACTTGGGCTTTCTACTTATGCGCTATGTGGCATGGGGAAGATCCACCATTAGATAAATTAAATTCACTACGACATCATGATGCAGAACCCATATGGAAGAGAGAGAGAGGAAGTAACAGCTGGTTTCAGTATTCACGATAATTCAATTATGTAGGAAGAGCTCCATGGGCAAATTATAAAGAGAAATCCCATATCACATTTCCAAATCATATCCTAAATCACATCAAATTCCCCAATCAAAAGGTATTATTTTTTCATCACTTTAACCACAGCATTAATTTTGTCACGCTTTTATTTTATTTCACCTATTTGAGATTTTGATTTAAATTTACAACCATGCTCAGAATCCACGTCATAGTGTGCAAGTCACTACATAATCAAAAAAGTTTTTAGAAAGTAACGTGCCCAATATTCTAACCACCTAAACGTGGCCACAAGATCAGTAGAAAGTGCTTCTCATAACACTAAACCAATTAAGATTTAACTTTTACGAAATTGTGGATCCCAGAGACAAGATGCAGAATTAGTTTAATGGTCAGTTCATGGAGAACCTACCTATTCAAAAGATAATATATAACTGGCTTGCTGAGCAAAATTCTCTCTCCCTGGATACTTCCTCGGACGTGCTTCCTTCTAAGCTCCAAATCTCTTGTAAGGCAGACAAACAATTTGCAACCACCTGAGAATATAAGAATATGAGAGTGCCTAACTAAAAGAACATACGAAAACTTCCTGAATCATCTGTAATGTTATAAAATGGAGAAAACTTTGAGGCAAAATTTAAGATGCTAGAATATAGAAATAATCTGAAATAGTGTTTAGCAACAATCACCTGTGTATCACGGTCATTAAGCAACAAATGCTTAAGCATTGCTGGGAAATCTGCATCAACACAAGTTGAAGCTGATATATGATATAATTTGAGAACCCCCATAACTGCTATCATCCTCACATAGCTATTATTGTCCTTCAAACCTGCACCCAAGGGCCCCACCAAATACTCCACCAGGTTTGCCACCCGTAGCGAACACAAGCTCCTCAATGCAAGTCCTCGGATCATCGGGTCTGCATCCTTGCAATCTCTTTGAAGAAAATTGATCGTCAGAAGCGCAAGGTCCGGATTGACCTTTGCATAATTCCCAACGTAGAGATAACACATTTTCTTCAAAACGATATCCGATGTTGCTGAACACATGACCATCTCGCCAAAGACAGAAGAGACATCAATGCCGATTGTCATGTAAGAGATAACCTTCTTGAATAGCTCCCGCTTTGAATCATCTACTCCTGGAGCCCGGCTGCCGGCTAGATTCCGGAGCTGTGATTTCACATCGGCAACTTCGCCTTTTCTGCTTGGAAAGCAAAATTTGAGCTCAGATTCAAAGTACAAGTAATTGATTAACGGACATGCATGTTGCTAGTCAGATTAAACCATGCAACGCCTGATTCTGGGCAAATGCTGAAACCCTTGTGGTATATCCTGCTTTCTAAGTTCAAATAAAGTTTTCCAAGATGCATCAAAATCAGAGCAGCATAAGCCACAAATATTATCAATGAATGTGAATTCAGCTGTGCTTGGTTTCTTGTAAGAAGTTAATTAATTCAACCTCTTTTGCACAGTTCCTCAGTAACCAAATTAACAGATAGAGTGATTGTTAGCATTTGGATGATCGATGCATATGGGCTGGCACATTCACTTATTTCTGAATCGGAGTAAAAACACGCATGCTTTCGAACCACTAAAAACTAGTCCCATTGTAAACTCACTAATCGAAATTCCTCTGTTGTTTGTCATTTTCTATCAAAAACCTTTCTCGGAAACCAAACAGGAATTAGGAGGGACTAGGGTTTAGAGAGAGAGACAGAATCTGGACTTACCCGGAAGGCTGAGACGGTGACGAAGATCGCTGAGACTGTGCCGGAGGAGCCATGACCAATCGGAATTGAAGTCAGCCACGGCTATGGTAGTGTACAGTGCGTTCGGAGATCTAACCGAGGGCGCAGAGTTGGGCAGTAAATCTCAGAAATAAAGTTGAGAACTTTGAGGATGAATCTTCCACCTTCACTCGGGTGAGAGAAACTTTTTCTTCACGATGATCTTGACGTGGCTAGATCAGACTGCTTCTCTGCATATTCTCGCGTCTCCCGTTCTCAACTGTGTCCGGCTTTCTTTCTTCTCTTTTAGCTTTTCTGGTGGTCCAAAACTGGAGGCTCGAGGCCCAAACAACAATAAAAACAAAAGACTTAGCCCAATGGGCATATACAAAAGACTATTGGCCTTGCTAGCCCAACAATTTCATATAAAACAACCGAATTACATTTTTTATATATATAGAGAATACACATTTTCTTTTTTCATTCAATGGATTCCAACTTTGAATATTTGCAAAAAAATTCCACTTCGATTTCTTTAGTTTATTTTGACAAATTGATTCTTATTGTTTGATATCCTTGTAATTCAGTGTCACATTACAAATTATGTCAAATTTCTTCCAATTTCATTTAAAATTTCACAATATATCTACACGTCAAGAATACGTGCTTACTTTGTTATTAAAAAATTGGACAGAAATTTGATCGTGTTCTTGAATTGTGAGGACATCAAACTACATCAGTCAAATTGTCATAATTGAAACTACAAGTACCGAAGTGGAAAATCTGACAAATTACATAAAGCAAAAGTGATGTTTTGCCTTTATTTTCTTGTATGTAAACGCACCGTTTCCTGTCTAATGGATAGATAGTTGTTCCTTCCCTCGTCAAGTCCCCGCTAACCGAAGATTTTTTCCCTCTTATCAGTTCTGGCCTCCAAACCCAACAAAACAGAGCAGAACTCAGCAGTTCATGGCTACTTCCAGACTATAGAGACCCAAAAAACAGCACAAAAAGCTGCAGAGATGGTTCTTCTTCACCTTCCAAGAACTCACATATCTCTCTGCAACCATTTCTCTCTCTTCTCAAAACCCAAAACCCCCACCTTCAACATCGCCACCACTCTCCACCCAATCCTCACCTCCAAACTCTTCTCGGCACCCAAATCGACCCTCTCAGCCTCAGAGCCCATCCCCATTTCCCAATTCCCCGGAACCCACATCGAAACTCCTCAAGAATTCGAGACCCCCATCGAAATCCATCCAGAATTCGAAACTCACATCGAAATCCCGCTCGAGAAGCTCTTCGTGCCTCCTGAAACCGAGGTCAAGTACACCGACACCGGTGCTCTGAGCACGAGAATCTTGAAAGGGTCCAATATTCTGCTCAGCAAGTACGCCAGAGACGCTCAGGTGAACCAAGCCGAGTTTGTGAAGAGCAGTGTGAGGACTGAGGATTGCCCCTCTGACGGTCTCCCTGAGTTTGCTCTCGTGGGTCGCTCCAATGTCGGGAAGTCCTCTCTGCTCAACTCGCTTGTGCGCCGAAAGAAGCTCGCTTTAACCTCCAAGAAACCTGGTCAGTATTATTTACCCTGTGAATTCAATATTTTCAATTTTTCATTTTGGGCTGGTTTCATTGTTCTAAGTCTTATGCTTGTTGTTGGCACTTTTTTTATTATGGTGAGGAAAACCCAACAAGGAATAGTGTTTTTTGTTAATTGGTTTGGTTGTTCGATGAATTTTTGCCATAAAATTCAACAAATTTATGGATAGTGTTGTTGCTTTGCTTTCTTGTGTTGTCAATGTGTTAGGTTAGTTTATATGAGTTACCTTAATCTTTGCATCTAGTTTAGTAGGTGGTAATGAATGGCATTGTGGCGTTTTGGTATTTGCATTGACAATGCATTCTAGCATCTTGATTTGTAATTCACTACTCAGATCATTCTTCTTCTTTTTTTCTTTTTTTTTGCAGGGAAAACACAATGTATCAATCATTTTCGGATCAATGATAGCTGGTACCTGGTGGATTTGCCAGGCTACGGGTATGGCTGAAAGCTATGTATATTTGATTTCTGTTGTCCTTTTTTGTTCATTGAGAAGATGTGAAGAAGTAATGTGACACTTTGGATGATTGTTATAATGAAAGATTTAAGCTTTGTGAGAGCTGTGAGGGCGTGCAGCTTTATTGCTTGTTTCAACAAGGGACTTCTGATTTCTCCCTTATGCTTGTTTCAAACTGATCGTCTTATCTTTGTGCATTGTGTATCGTGAGAGCTGTGAGGGCGTGCATCCTTATTGCTTTAGTTTCTTCACAGTTTGCATTAATCTAGGATTCGGAGTAGGTCACAATGATTATGTTCAACAAGAAACTTCTGATTCTCCCTTATGCGTGTTTCAAACTGATGGTCTTATCTTTGTGCTTTGTGTAACCTGAACAGGTATGCAGCTGCACCGCAAGAACTTAGAACTGATTGGGTGAAATTTACTAAAGACTACTTCCTGAATAGATCAACATTGGTTTCAGTTTTCCTTCTCATTGATGCTAGCATTCCTGCCAAGAAAATTGATCTGGAATATGCTAGTTGGCTGGGTCAGAATCAGGTAATATCCTTTCTTTACACTTATGCTGGTAAATGATTATATGGTGGAACGTAATGACTCAAATTGAATAATTGTAGCTGTCCAGGCACTTTTCTCATTGACTACACTTATTTCTTATGTTTTGTTCGTTATGATGAAACATATATGCTTGTTCTAATTTTAAGTTTCCTCCCAAAATTCAACTCGCCGAAAAAAAAGTTTCATCATTTTTAAGATGGGAATGAGGGCATGTCCTTTGGCTGGCTGTAACTTAATATTTGTGAAAAGGAAATAGATACGTTCTTGAACCTGCTTGCATATGCATCTTCCCTGCTTTAAAAGAGATGATGATCAGAGGTGACTATATGCTCTTTCAGATTCCTATGACTTTGATATTCACTAAATGCGACAAACGGAAGAAGAAAAGGCATGGAGGAAAAAAAGCAGAAGAAAATGTGCAGGATTTCCAGGAGTTAATAAGTGGCTTCTTTGAGACAGTGCCGCCATGGATTATGACCAGCAGCTTAACCAATCAGGGTCGTGACGAGATGCTATTGCATATGGCCCAGCTGCGGAATTACTGGCTCAAGCACTAGGAAAACCAGAATCATGCCTTTCTACCTTCGAGATGCTATTGCATATGGCCCAGCTGCGGAATTACTGGCTCAAGCACTAGGAAAACCAGAATCATGCCTTTCTACCTTCGAGTAGGTATGTTATCAGAGTCGTCGATACATGGGAGTACAAGAAGCATCAAGAGATATTGTCATCTGCTAAACCCTAAAGCTTTGTAATTCGCCTAAACACGAATTCCTCAAAATTCCTCAAATTTGGCAACCGCACATTCTGACGGAGAAAGGGGGAGGAAATGTGCTCATTTTGTTATAGCATTGCAGACCAATTTTGTTCTTGTTGAAATGAAAATACGGGTTCTTGGTGATTCTGTTTTCGTACTGTAAATCTGCTGAAAAGCATTATTTGAGTTCAGATATCAGAATCTTGTAGCTCAATTCTTTTCCCTGTGCTGCGTTTTTTATACTGATTCTGTGCACACCCTTTAGACAGATTCTATGCAACAGTTGGGTAGAACCGGATGAACTTGTTCATATTTGCGGACCACAAACGTGAAAAAATTTTGAGAAAATTTTCTAGCAACCAACAAGCACAATAAGAGGTAGATTTAACAAAGTAATTTCCATTCAGTATCAAAACGAAGCATTGAGTTTATCAAAACTAACTCTTCAACAACACAAGGAGCAATTGACATTATAACGATCCAAAACTTGTTTGAGTGAAAATTCAAGACTATCAAGACAACAAAACGAAAATAAAAACCATAACAACGCAAATGCTGGGTGGGTGGGCTCTGAAATCTTATGAAGCAGCAGCAGCAGTTCCCTTGCGCCTTGGAGCAGCCTGTGTGCCTTCTGTGAAGTTGCTCTTGAACCTCCTTGGAACATTGCGAAGGTACCTCATACGCCCAGTTCCGGTCGTCTTTCTGCGCAGCGCCTTCTCACTCCAATTGTCTGAAATTGGCAGAGAGTTCATCAAAATTCAAATTTGCATAATTGCATACTTATTAATAATTCAGAAAATTAAAAATAAAAATAGAGAATTTGGGTACATTTTCTGAGGCGGGCAGCGGGGTAAGCACAAGCTGAGCAACGACTCTTTTGGAGGTGGAAGCTTCTGCGTCCGCATCGCACACACAGCGTGTGGGTCTTGTTCCTTCTCTTTCCGAAGCTGCCTGTTCCTTTGCCCTAATTCATATTCCCAAATTCACACCATTTTAATTACAAATATAAATGAGACGATGTCAAAGCAAGAGATAGGGAGTGAGAGAGAGAGAGAGGGAGAGAGAGAAAGATCAGAGAGAGTACCATATCTTCAGTTGCAGAGAGAAACCCTAGATTCGGAGTTGTTGCGGGAAAATTCTCGCGGACAAAGAGTTAGCGATTTATATAGTCATCATCTTCGGCTCGATTAGGGTTTCTCTTCAATAGTTGGGCCCAAAAGATTTCACAGGCTTCACATTTAAGGGGCCCACTGGCCAGGTCCAATGAAGCCCATTTTATTATATAGCGTTCCAAAGCCCTGGCAAAGCGCAATGGGCTTTTAAATCTATACAGGAAATACGGAAATCAGTAATAAATAAATCAAGTTTACTAAAGACATCCGCGGGGATAGCTCAGTTGGGAGAGCGTCAGACTGAAGATCTGAAGGTCGCGTGTTCGATCCACGCTCACCGCATTTTGTTTCATTTTTAACTTATTTATTCTGAATATCTTTCTTTAAGACCTATTTCTTCTGAATTTCTGCAAATAATTTTTCCTTTTTAACCTCTTTCTTCCCAATTCCTGCAAATATATTTTCCTTTTATTGTATACTAGCCCTTTGGCATGCCAATTGGTTTTATTTATTTATTTCATTTTTAGAATTAAGAAATTATTATATAGTTAGTTATGTTTCATAAAAGAATGACTTATTATCTGATTTTGTTTTTAATTTTAATTTTTTTAATATGCGAAACTGTGAATTTATCATATTATTCTCATTTAATTAATAATTTTAATTCTTAATTTTTGAATTAACCAATGGTATTTTATGATATTTTGAATGTTTCATCATTCTTTACCTTTTACTTTATATATAAAAGAAAAAAAAAAAAAAAAAAGTTCCACAACCTATTGTGAATACATTTTTCTTGTTCATTGTAAAATGAAAAGCATATGCAAAGATAATTGCCACATCTCATCCTCATGAATGTGGAGAAAAAGTGACGTAAGAGCATCTCCACCCACAAGGGCTAAGTCTAAGGCAAGGGCAAGCAAGGGCTGCCACTATTCAAGTGAATAGTGTCAGCCTTTGCATTTGTGGTTCCACCCATGAGGGCAAAGTCTAGGGCAAGTCTAAGGCAATTACTATTCATTGTACTTTATTTCCTATTTGTTTATACTTTAAACTATTAATTTTGATAAGCTTTTTAGATTATATTTTCGGTTGTCACGTGTCACTATTTATTATAAAATTTTCATTTAAAATTTAAGATAACATTTTTCGAATAAAAATTTCAAATAAAATTTTTGGATAAAATTTTTTGAATAACATTTTTGGTTTTGCCTTGACTAATCTATTAAAAAAAAAGAAATTGGAAATGCAAGAAATATATATATATAAAAAAAGACATTAAATTGAATAAATTTATTTTTTTTTTTTTTTTTTTTTTTTTTTTTGATTTTGATGTGGAAAGTGAAAAATATTGGAAGGAGATGAGTTTTTATGAAGATTTGGTGTAGAAAGTGAATAAAATGGTTAGGTATTTATAGGGAAAAAATACAGAATTTTTTGGTATTTAAATTCGAAAAAATAAAAAAAAATATTTACTGTGCGCTGAGGTCAGCCAACTCGGGCTTCAGCCCGGGCAAGACTTGCCCTTGGGCTTGCTCGGGCACGTGGGACCCACCACCAAACCGGGCTACGGTCCCTGCGCTGGAGCTGCCTCGGGCTCCCTCTGGCAGCCTTTCCCCCGGGCTGGGCTTTTCGCTGGAGATGCTCTAAGGGCCTCCCAACAGGTCGAGGTCGATTCCTCTACCATAATTAATAGGAGCGTGAGCTTTGCTAGTCCTCACACGGGTTGTGAGGGAAGTCCAATATGGCTCATTAAGCATCCAGGCCATATCCACGTATGTAAAGTCCAAGCGTGATCTTTGTGGCCATATGGATCAGAGACCATTCCCACCTGGGCTCCGCAAAGCAAGTCCAACAATACTAATCTATGGGCAAAAAGCCTTCACAACAGGATCAACATTGATCACATTAGTGGACGATAACAATCTCAAAGATCATGCCCACACATTTTTGGGCAAATATCTCTCACATCCCAAGTCAAACGGATAATTAACTGGATGCGTGACATAAAGGGCAACAACACCCCAAATTAATGTCAAATGCAGCCCCCTACGACGATAAGTCATCTACTAATAGGACATATATATATAAAAAAACCAACATCCTCCACCAACATGAGGTAACGTTCTATTTGATTTGGACAATTATAACCTCAATCTCATAAACTGACTTTGACACCGAGGGTTTTTTGGCTCACACCACACCGGTGCGTACAAAGACTCATCACGATCTTTCTGTCTTTTTCTTGAATTCCATGGTTTGAAAAGTCATTTCCGAAGACTAACAAGATTATTCCCTATGACAACAAAGTACCTTGATTTATTATTTTTTGGATTTTTATCACAAACGGTCTCTGGGGTTTGCGAAATTATCACCTTTCGTCCCTAACATTTTGTTGTGACACTAATGGTCTTTAAGGTTACCCTTCACACATCAATATGGTCTATGTCGTTAGCTTCTGTCAAATTTTCTATAAAATTGCTGACGTAGCACATCTGTGGAGCCCATGCATCCAATGAAATAGAGCCACGTGGCTTTAATATAATATAATATTTTTAAAACTTAAAATCCATAAATTATTATTTTTTAAAACAAAAAAAGACTAAATAAATAAAGCAACTCAAGCTAATCTATGGGCAAAAAGCCTTCACAACAGGATCAACATTGATCACTAAAATCTTTCATATTATTGGACAATAACAATCTAGAAGATCATGCCCACACATTTTTGGGCAAATATCTCTCACATCCCAAGTCAAACGACTAATTAACTGGACGCGTGACATAAAGGGCAACAACACCCCCAATTAATGTCAAATGCAGCCCCTACAGCAATAAGTCATCTACTAATAGGACATTAAAAAAAAACCAACATCCTCCACCAACATGAGATAACGTTCTATTTGATTTGGACAACCCTAATCTCAATCTCAGAAACTGACTTTGACACCAGAGTTTTTTTGGCTCACACCACACCAATGAGTACAAAGACTCATCAAGATCTTTATGTCTTTTTCTTGAATTTCATGGTTTGAAAAGTCATTTCCGAGGACAAACAAGATTATTCCCTGTGACGACAAAGCACCTTGATTTATTATTTTTTGGATTTTCATCACAAACGTTCTTTGAGGTTTGCGAAATTATCACATTTCATCCCTAACATTTTTTTGTGATACTAATGGTCCTTAAGGGTTATCCTCCACTCATCAAAATGGTCTATGTCGTTAGCTTCCATTAAATTTTCTATAAAATTGCTGACGTAACACATCTGTAAAGCCCAAGCATCCAATGAAATAGAGCCATGTGGCTTTAATATAATATAATATTTATAAAATATTTATAAAACTTAAAATCCTTAAAAAAATAAATAAATAAATAAAGCAACTCAAGTCTTTTTATAAAGGGATATTTGTTGAAATGGCACCTGAACTTATACCTTAGTTTCAATTTATCACCTGAAAAAATAATTTAAGTGAAATGTCACCTGAATTTTTCAAAATCCATAATTTGTCACTTGAGTTTAACATCATCTGATTTTCCATCTATTTTCAAGGGTATTTTAGTCTTTTCATTTTCAAGGATATTTTAAAAATGGAAAAAATTATTATTAAAAACATAAAGCTTAATTGTAAAATGGCTAGGGATTAAATGTGAAAAGATATATAATTTTTATAATTTTCAAGGGTCTTTTCATAATTTTTTTTATATTGATTTTCCATTTTTAAAATACTCTTGATAATAAAAAGACTAAAATACCCTTGAAAATAGTTGGAAAATTGGATGATGTTAAAGTGAGGTGACAAATCATGGATTTTGAAAAATTCAGGTGACATTTCACTTAAATTTTTTTTTTTCAGGTGACAAATTGAAACTAAGGTATAAGTTCATGTGACATTTCAATGAATATCCCTTTTATAAATAATTCTAAATATCTCTCTCTGTCCCTCCTCCCTCGCAGACCCACTCCTCTATCCCTCCTCTTCCTCCCTTCCCTTTCTCCCTCTCCCTCTCTAGCTTGCCCTTTTCCTTTCCGGATCTCCCGTCCACAGTTGATTCCTCACTTTAACAATTTTTGTTCTTTGTAATGCTTCAATTATAATTGCTTTGCAGCTTTCACAAATTGGGTGGGTTTATTGGGTTTAAAAAGACGAAAGAAGAAACAAATATTAAAAACCAACATCAAAGATATGGATGGGCATTGCATCAAAGTTCCTCAGATTAGTCATTAAGCAGTGCGTTTGTGTGCTTAGGGGATATGGTTTTTTTTTTTTTGTTTTGGTTGCTTTTAAATTATAAGAAAGTAAAAGAAAATCTTGTCACAGTGGTGCGTGGCCTGATGGTGTTGCCGTGAAGAATCCAATTGTTGGAGACGACTGGAATGTTGAGGAGATCAGAAAAGAACAAGGGAAAAATATAAAGAAGGTCAAATTAATAGCTTAATTTGGAAAATAAAAATTTATAGCCACGTGGAATGGATTTTAAGTTTTAAAACTATTTAAAATATATTATATTATATTTAAAGCTATGTGGCTCTATAGCATTGGATTTGTGGGCTCAACACATGTGGCATCTCAGTAATTTAACATAAAATTTGACAAAAGATAACGGCAATTACCATTTTGATGTGTGAGGGTAACTTTAAGGACCATTAGTGTCACAATGAATCGTTAGGGAGGAAATGTGATAATTTCGCAAACCTCAAGACCATTTGTGATAAAAAAGTCTTATTTTTGTAAACAAATAGCTAGAGTATGAGCCACAATAAGGATACTTAAGACTAGGGATGGGAACGGTTCGGTTCGACCCGGTCTGATTTTTGAAGACATGGAACCGGTCCAGTTCGGTTTTTGACCGGTTGTTGACTTTTTGGTCAACTCGGTTTTTTTTTCCGGTTTGGTTCAGTGCGATTCGACTTATATTTTCGGTTCGCCGATTTGAGTGCCCACCCCTACTTAAGACTTCTCAAGCACACAATTAACCTTTAATTATGTGATGTGTACATAACATCAAATCCATACTTTATATGTGGTAGCTTTGACCTCAAAAAAAAAAAAACTTGATATGGGGTAGATATTGCCATTCATAATGTTTTTATGAAGAATAATAAGAGTAATGCTACTCTTACCACATTATGTGGCAAACGAAGTGAACAACCACATCAATTAAAAAGTGTCAATAAATCATAAAATAAAAGAAAATGTGATAGTCCACTTCATCTGCCACATAAAGTGATATCAAAATATGATATACAAATATGATAAGAGTAGCATTTTCTGAAGAATAAACACGAACAATGTTGATAGGCGACAGTGGGCACACCAATATATCACAACAGCAACAATTCAAATTCAAATTCTGCAAGCAAAGTTACCAAATTGGTTGAATTGGCACAATCTTTTCTCATATGGGTTATATATTATTGGTACCACTATTTGGTGACAGAAAGACATTCCAAAAGAATAATCATGATTAGAGTGAGCCCCAGTATCATTGAATTGTGACCATCCGATGCGTGGACCATTTCCGTTGACCATCTGATCTGATGCCAACTTTAACTTGTGCCAGTCAATTTATGAATGGCTGGAAATGGTCCTTCTTATGCAGGGCATCATATGATGTACAAATCAAAGTCGTTAGGGATAATCAATTTCTTGGACCACAAGCAATTAAGGCATTTTAGTAACCCATAAAAAAAAAATTGATGGTCCTCCTAATTGGTGACCATGTGAATTCTCATTGGGTGTACGAACCTCCCAAATTGCCCTATCATGAGCTTGTGGTTGTGGATGATATGAAGCTTAGGGCAGGACCACAATTTGGGTTTGCTAAGCAAAGTGCATTTGCTTAAAGATGCTTTTGTGAGGTTGATTTGCCTAAGTAATGGTCTTTTTAAGAGTGATCATAGAACCTAATCGCTTCCTTTCCTTCTTTACCAAATTTCTAATTGTACCCATGTTGTCGATTTCTTCTACGTAAGCCCTTAAGTTCATATTTCATATTTAGCCATTTTAATTATAATTTAATCAAATAATACCTCATTCGCAATCCTAAAAAGTATTTTATATACATATGATTGGATACATTGTGGATAGGATTCAAACTAGAGCCATCGTCCCCTAATTCTTGTATGTTTCTGTTATCTAGCTAAAGTTAATAAGGTTCAAGAGGTATGTTCGGTCATTTGTAACTCGTAATGTTTTGTTATAAGCACCTATGTAAAAAAATTCTTTAAAAATTCAAGTGGTTATTGCATATTTACTTGCAATTATAACCGGTTAAACCAATTTTAAAGATTCAAACAATTCTATTTAATTCATTGATATGAAATCATTCAACAAAGCTCCAATTTTAGATATAGTCAAACTTATATGGATACCATATATAGCATTGAGATATTTAAAAAGCTCATTACATTAGGTTGGTGGGAAGAGGCATCTAGTCTGTGGCCTCAACTAAAGGACATAATGACATATAGATGTAGGACTTTGAACCTTTGTTTTGGTAGGGCAGTTATTTATTTATTAAAAAAAAACACAATTCATGTACACAAATATAAAAATATAGGCAAATAATAATTAGAAAAATAATAATAAGAAGAAAAAAAAGGTTGAGAGAGGCGCTTATTGAATCGAGAAATCGGTTTGATTGTCCATATTTTGGATATAATAATATACTAGTTTTTTCGCACGTGTTTCCGTGCCTGCTAGAGGCTTTTTTTTTAAAAAAAAAGTTTAAATTTATTTTAGAATTAAAAAAAATAATGGGTAGTTGTGTTCTATAAAAATAGGATTCATTATCTGATTTTTCTTTAAATTTTAATTTTTTATATATGAAAAAGTGTGAATTTACCATATTATCATCATTTAATTAATAATTTCAATTCTTAATGCTTGAATTAACCAATATTATTTTCTGGTATTTTGAATGTTTCACTATTCTCTGCCTTTTGCGTTATATATATATATATATATGTATTTACTTTCGTTCAAAAATAATAATAATATTTTTACTTGTTCACTAATTATGGAGGTGATGGAAATAAAGGCCCAATGGATGCAGGTGGCCACCATTTGGGATCTGATGGGCCACACCGCCATTTGCAAATGCCACCTCTTGCCTTAAATGGGGTTGCAGAAGAAAAATAAAAAAACCCATTGACGTTGAAAACTCTCTCTCTCTCTCTCTCTCTCTCTCTCTCTCTGTTCATAGAGAGTGAAGTGTCCTTATTGTGTGAAACCTAAGATTCGATTTGTATGTTGCTTCATCAAAGCAATTTCGGTCGGAACAAACCCCACCAGCTGCTACAAGCCTACGGTTATATTCTTTGAAAAAACTGCAACAAACCCTGAATTGTCAAACTCATCCACAACATCGTGCCAACATGTTATGGCCATGCAATGCTAGAAAAAAATAACCCACGAATAATTATTATATTTTATTTATCAACGGATGGAAAGATTCAAACTTGAGGAAAGAAGTACCGTTAGACCAAGAGATAATTAATAGAAAACACGAATTTGAGTTTGCCTCGGGGAAAAAGTTTATTGGTTAGTAAGCAATATAGTTAAAAACTAGCAATCGAATTAAATGTTCCCACTCAGGTCATTTTGATGAAAAATAATTTTGTCAAGTACTAGAGTCTATGGAGAAATTATTTTTAGATCCTTTATTTTTTGGGTTTCTCTTTCTTTTTGTTCACAAGCATGGAGATTTTAATCATCCTACCATTTGAGTTAAGGTTTCTAGAAAAGTTAACAACTGTAATCAATTAGAAAGATTTTGTAGATCTTTTCGGATGGTGATTAAAGAATTTAGCTATAAAGCAGTTGTAATTACGAGGGAATTTAGTCGAGAGCAAAGTAATATGATGACAATGTCCTTGCGATCCATCCATGACATTTGACTTAACGTTTGTAGGTAATCACTTAGTTAGATCAAGTAGATCTTTCTAGATAATGATGAAAGAAATTAGTTATAGTTAAGAGGGAATTTAGTCGAGGTCAAATATGCTAATAATTTAGTTTGGGATTTCGAGTTTCTACATTCACATATACACTCATCAACGACTGTCACTTATTCATATTTACGAAGACAATTGATGCTAGCATTTATCTGTTATCTAATACAATAATCGACAATGATTTCGGGATAAATGTTAGGCTCTTGAAGTCTAACCATTGGAGTAACTATCGGGAGAGTCTTATCTTACCCAAGGTCACCACCACCGGGATTTTAGTGACATCTGTGTTTGTAATGCTTTATTAACTTCAAAATCAAGCAAGAACCAGTTTTGTCAACCACCACACCCTCATTTTCTCCAAGTTTGGGTATGATAAGTAAGATTTTGGGTGCATCCCGAGTGGTTAATAGCTTTGCTTCATTTGTCTTTTTCAAGCAATTTCCAAGGTGTGAGAAAGTGATATGTGTGTGTGTGTATATATATATATATATATATATATATATGCATGCCTGCTGGTATACAGTAAAACTCCATATTGCTCCAATAGCTCAGTATGAGAGCTGTATCGTGCTCCTTTAGGAAAAAACATGATCAAAAGATTTCAATTATGGGTTGACTAATAATGTGAGCACTATATTTACTATATATGATGGAGCAATATATCTTGATGATTAATAAGTTTCATGCCCAAGTAAAGGGCTATGATTAAAACGTGGGGTCTTTTCGCTTTCTGAGATTTTGATAATATAAAATGTATAATTGGATTGAAAAAGTGGTGGTCCAGAATTACATTTTTTTCGGTTGGAAGACATTTTCTATTGAAATGGGCGATAGTATACTAAACTCACACACATTATGCGGATGGTAGGACTCGAACCCAGAACATTTCCTTAAGAAGCAAATGCTCCAAATCACTGAACCAGTGGATCATTTGCAGTGGTCCAGCCTTACTTGGGAGTAAGAAATCATTTTGACAGCGAAATTTGCATGCCATGGCAGTAATAAAAATGGGTACATGATACATATCTATGTCCTCTGCAAAATGGAAAAGAGTAGGGTAAAAAAAGAGAGAGTAAAAGGGTAGGGTAAAAATGAAAATTGAAGTCAGTGTATATGATTTTCATTGTTATCAGTAGAAGTCAATTTTCCATTGAAGTTGTCTGAAGATCTACACCCTTCAAAAAAAATTCAAAAGAACAAAAAACCCTAGCTAGATTGAAAATGAATAACCACACACAAGGCTAGCTAATGTTAATCTCTCAAATCTCATCCCAGCCGCCCCCTCCCCACCCCCCAAAATGGAAATTAATACAGGCAAAAAACACAATCACATGCATACACTTGAAAAAAAATACCAAATCCTACCCTTTTAAATCTCTCTCACTGATCTCTATTTCTCTATGAAAAGTAATACCTAATTAGAGCTAGAGATCAATAATGGTAATGTACAAGAAGTGTACAACTAGTAGTTGTTGAGGTCCCCTCCTCCCCCCTGCAAAATCAATATCACCACACCATGCTTTCTTTCCCTCTCAAAGTTCCTCTTTCCCAATGCCCTGCAGCAAGCTTGCTTCTTGTCAATCTCAAAAGTAAAGGGATCATAGACCTAATTCTCACCCTTTTAATCCACCCCACTTCCCACAAATTTTTTTTTCGGTTGTGGGTTTTCCATTTTCTTTTCCTCAATTGGAGAAGCATGCCAACTTTTCCTTGGTTGCAACAATTTTTTTTTGACTTATGGCAAAAACCATATAATAAAAAAACCCTCCAAATGATCATTTGGTATGATTTTTTTCTTGGCGAAACCCAAAATCTCCATCTCTCTCTTTCTCTGTCTCCCAGCTGCCTTTCTGTGTCTTTAGCTCATCAAATCAAAATCATCATGGTGATGATGATGATGAAAGTGGAAAAAGTGAACCTTTAAAGGGAGTACAATGCTTTGCCTCAGCTTTCCAACACCGTTCAATGTCCTCGGCAATTCTTTTGGCATCCATTGTGGCACCAAGTATTCCGCGTTTGGTGAACCCCACAGCATACAACCCACATTCACCTTTCCAGCCATTTGGAAATGGCCTTCTAGGCAACCCATCTTCCTTTGAAAACATATCTCCCTCCTACAATGACACAATATTGCAATTAGAAAGCATAACTCAATATATAAATTAGGGTAAACTTTTATTGCCGGACTTATGTTGTTAGACAAATCCTTTCGAATTTAGACCACGTATTCATGCAAGATTCAACATGTTCACTAGTTCATATTCATTTTCAATTGAGACAAAGAAAAAAGAAAATAGGGTTACATAGTAGTAGGATTTAAGTTGGTACCTTTAGCCAAATGGGTACATTGCTTCTGTAACCTGTTGCTAAGACAATGGCATCAAAGTTCTCCGTCCGTCCATTGATAAATTCTATAGCATTACATTTTAGCCTCTTGATAGCTGGACGTACCTACAAATTCAATAGTATAACAAGTGAGAAAATCACGTTTTTGTTTTTGCCTTAATTCCGGAAAAGAACTAGTGTTGATACATAAGATTTTAAATTACTGTGTGACAGCATGTTAGACTGTTTGATAAGAAAAACAAAATTACCTGCTGGCATGAGTATTACATGAAAAAGCATATCTAGGTGCCATCATTGAAAAAGTACTGGAAATATAAAAAGCCATGCTTTCCAAAGAAAAAAAAATAAAGAAAAAAAATAAAGTGAGATTAAGATTTGACTTGATGAAAAAGCTTAGTACCTCAATGTCTCCACTTTCGATCTTGGCCAGTGTACCAACGTCTAAGACCGGTGTCTTTCCAGACAAGTTCTTGAGCTCCAAGGGACCTAATTTCGGGCGGTCCAATCCGAGTCGGGAGGTGTTGCCGAGAAGTAGCCGAGACACAACCAGCAAGAGGCGATCTACCAGCCTTATAGGCAGCCACTTGAGCAACAACATGGACAGCCCAAAAGTTGATTTTCCAAGCATCTCTCTCGGTAAGACATGTACCTAATTTATTCCCCAAAAAAAAAACCCAAAAAATATATAGTTAAAATTACACTCGAAAAAAGGTCAAAAGGGCAATCAAAATTGAACATGGAAGTGATGTGTGAGCCCCATTTATGTTGTTTGCTTTGCCTGGCTAAGCAGCTAGCTAGCTAGCTAAGGACTGAGAATATTAAGGTTACTCATATTTCTTTTTCAAAACATAAAAAGAAAAGGGGAGCTTGGGAAATCAAAGGGGTATGCTGAGTTTCTTCTGACCAATGTTACGCACGCTTGGGGAGTCCCAAGAAAGTGAAAGATCGAAGGAATTTTGTTTTGCCAAAAATGGAGGTTTTTTATATTCTTCTTGCTTAATCATCTTTGAGCAAACCGTTGGAACTTGAAGTAATAAGTGGGTTGGGTTGGGGCTGTTTCTTTTTTGGACAAAAACCAGTCAATGGCTCTAACTGTCATGAGAACTTGAAAGATATATCAAGAGAGAGCAAACTTCTGAAAATGGGTTTTTCTTAGAATCTAAAAACTCATTCAAAGTTGTAGTCTTTGTGTAGTGAAAAAGAGAGGAAAAAACCAAAATCAAAAACTCAAAGACAGCAAAAACCTTAGAACACTTTAATGGCATTTGTTTGAAGATTGAGAGATTGAGAGATTGAGAGAGAGAGAGAGAGAGAGAGCGAGAGTTCTTACTGTATCTCTAACCACAAGAGAAGGCCTTGCATTATGATTGCATAGATCTAAACACACCTCCATGCCTGAATTTCCACAACCAACAACCAAAACTTTCTTCCCTCTAAACTCTTCACCACTTTTGTACAAACTTGTGTGCCTAATAAGCCCTTCAAACTCAGCCATTCCCTCAAGCTTAGGAACCACCGCCTCGGCATTCTCACCCGTAGCAGCAATCAACCACCGACACACATACTCCGTCTCATCGCCGTCCTTGGCTCCGGTGGTCCTCACGCGCCAAAACCCGAGCTTGGAATCAAACTCAGCACTGGCCACAGCCTCATTGAACCGTGGCCTAATTTCGAACTTGGTAGCATAATCTTCAAGGTACTGAATGAATTGCTGCTTTGTAGGGTAAGTGGGGAAATCATTGGGAAAAGGCATGAAGGGTAGCTCACAAAATTGCTTTGGCAAGTGAAGTCGAAGGCGATCGTAGGTCTTGAGCTGCCACAAGGAGGCTATGCAATTGGATCTCTCTAGGATCACACTTGGTACACCTTTTAATTGGAGGGATGCGGCTGTAGCAAGCCCTGACGGACCTGCACCTACGATCACCGGCCCAGGAGAACACACTACGATTCGGGGCGATGGCGATGATGATGATGATGATGATGATGATGATGATGATGATGGAGATGATGGTGGTGATGGTGATGAGGAGGAGGAGGACTTGCTCTTCATTTTTTCAATGAAAATAGGATCATGGGCTTGCTTGCCTTGTATTTCTCTTGTGTTGTAGTAGGCCATGGACATATGTGACAACATGTAACAAATTATTAATGCAAGAAGAGAAGAGAAGAAATGAAAAGTTGAGGCAGAGGAGTTGAGTGGTCTAAGAGAAAGAAGAGAAGTGAGAGGAGCCCATTTGGGAGAGGGAGAGGGGGGGAGTTGTTTTTGTGTGTGTGATTTTAGTCCAAGTTTTTGAGTGTTTTTATGAGGGGATTAAGGTGGAGATTATGGGAACAGAGTTAGTGGCGAAATGTTTCTCTCTTTCTCTCTCTCTTATCAAGGAAAGATTAGGCTTGGGAGAGAATAATTCCTTGAATTTTGGAGTGGATTAAGAGGGTCTTATCCATTTGTGAGAATGAGTAATTCGTTTTTTTCTAATCTTAATTTTCTGTGTGATGTTCAATGGGGTGTTTAAGCGGAGGAATGAGCTACAACTACGGGACTAAATCAGCATTCAACACAACGAGAGAGAGAGAGAGAGAGAGAGAGATGGCGATATGTCTATTTTTATTCCTTATTGTTCTCACACAAGAATTTATATGAGGAAAGGCTAAGTGCTAAAGAGAAGTAATGCAAGTGCGGACATGATATATTAATATTAACATTATAAAAACATTCTTTTAAAAATATTTTCTTATCCAACGAGTTCAATTTGAAACACTGTTCATGAAAATTGATTATTGTTGGAATGCGTAAGTCTTTTAGCGTGACAACACATAAAATTAACAGTCTATTTATTTGTCGTTAAGATTAATAAAATTATAAAAATATATATTTCTTAAAAGACAGAAATTCATTAACGAAATCCTAAAATAATTCGAATTAGGATAAGTGGTCATGAATCTAGATGATTAAGCGAGTGAATTATTGGGATTGGATAATATGGATCGGACCGACTTGGCTTGGGCCTCGGGCAGGTGGAATATGAATTGTAACCCAGATGTCATCCACATTACCTTGGGATATTTTCAGATGCTGTGGTTGATTTGTAATCATGGAAATTAAAGTAGCCTTCAGCTGGTAGCTATAAACAAAAAAGATGTTGAGGAAAAATAATAATTAAACTCAAATGTTTGAAAATGATAAATGTTTTTTTTTCTGGCGTAAAAGAAAGAAAATAAATATTTTGAAATTCCCGTATTTGGATTGGGGAGTTAGTTAGAAGTTGTTTCAGTTGAAAGAAAATTTCAAAGCATGTCGAATTATTTACAACTCTATAGAATTTCGATGACTCTTTTTTTTTTTTTATGTTCATTTTTAAAATTGTTAAAAATTAGAGTTTTATTTAATACTGAAACGGTAGTAGGCTTGGCATTTGATTGGTGTCCATATAATTATTTAATATTGAATTTGGGAAATATACATTTTTTATTTATTTAAATACAAGCGATTCGGGTAGAGGGGTTTTGTTACACAAGCTATTAAGGTGCCATGAGGGTTCGAAACTGAGACCACTAATCTACAAATCAAGGCATTTTCCATTGGATTAGACCCTGTTGGTGGAAAATATACTTTAGACTTAGAGCATTATTACTTTTCAATTTTGGCCTAAACTTATTTTGTGAAATTCACATGGGACTTACTAATGGGAGAGAGAATTGCGGAAAAGACAGGTTGAAAAATTAAATAGTTAGGCTACACAAATTACAAAATATGACTGGTTGTTATTGTTGTGGAAAATATATAGCCTGGTAGTTAGTGATAGTCAGAAGATAGAAGTCAATGGGTGTCTGAGGTTGAAAACGAAGGGTACTTAAAAGCCATGTGTGCATGACCATGGAATCCACACTGTGAAAACTAATTTCTAACTTCTTCAAGAGCAAGTATAAGGCATGTTTGGTGTTCAACTTAAATTCAATTTTTTAAACTCAAAAATAAAATTTGAGTTCAAAACAAATAAAACTTGTTTGGTAGCCCTATTTTTAAAAACTCAAACTCAAGAACAACTAAAAAACACCCACATTATTAAAAACGAAAAATATCTGTTTTTTCAGTTTTTTTTTTCTAACAACCCACAAGCTCTCAAATTTTTAAAATTCGAAAACAGTTTTCAAGGTGCATACCAAACAAGTTTTTGAATCTTAAAAGTGGATTTAAGAACTCCTTGTTTTTAAGAAAAATCAAAATTTTTGAATTCCCTATTTGAATAGGATACTAAACGCCCCCTAAGTTTTTTTAGGGAAGTTATTTACTGCCCAACACAACGTTATTGAGGCAAAAACCGAATTCTTGTTGCATTACTTGACTTAGAAGAGTAATGTTAAACGAGGTTTTAAGTTTGAATTTTCTATCTTCATTAATAAAACAAAATACCATCATATTTTATGTTATTAAAAAATAAATAAATAAAAAATAATAAAAAATAAATACATGCATGAAGACGTAGCTATTTTCCCTCAGACGTTAAAACATTGTAGCTAGCAAGCTAGCCTATATCCAAGCATGCATACCTAATCATTGGAAAATATCAACGACCTAAGAGCTTTGTGGAAAAGAGGCCCATACAATTATTAATGACTTGGACGTACGAATTAGATGGCCACCTTTGAGAGACAATGTAGGTGGTTATCGACTTCTCTTCAAAACAAATCATATCGACACTCATTGGTGACATGAAGTATGAACTTCCTGGTTCAATGGAAGTAGATTCTTCGTCTTCTAATCCCCTCAGTGCTCGATTTATCTGTCCCACTCAAAATTTCCATTGAAATGATGTCTTTATTTGTTCTCAGAGCTGTGCTTCGGTGAGTTGCCGTGTGTGAGTGGGGAACTCCCTTTAACATTCGCGCATGCAACAAAATGAGATAAGTTATTGTCACATCTTGGGAATACAGTATGTGTATATTATACAAAATTTGTGGCGAAATAAGTGTATAAAATAAATAGTTGCATTTATTTTATCTGTTACATTTTTTTTAATGTGATGGATGATGGAGAGATACAGTTATAGATAAGTCGAGGAATTTATGTGAGAGTTTATGAGTAGGTGGAAGGAGATAGAATCTAGCTATCATATGTATGCATTATACTTGGTGTCCGTAGTCCTGTATAGTAATGCAGTCCTTGTACATTTGAACATTTCTGAAACACATTGCTTTCAAACCAGAGATCAGCTTCGTGAGAATTATTTATTTATTTATTATTTTTATTTTGCATTTATAATGGATAAGGTCAAATGATGATGAAATGGTTTGTGCTTCAGTAAAGGTTGGGGTAGCCTTGCCTTTTTAAAATTATATATTTTTTGTATGTATTATGTATTATATATGACCTTTCTTTTTTCCTTTTTCTTTTTTCTTTTTGTTGGGTGAAAATAAAGGCGCGTTTGGTATAGGGTAATATCATGGAATGGTGGGGACTGATATGCCACCAAATTTGGTGCATGAAAAAAAAAAATCGCAGAGAGCATCTTCATTAGGAAAAAATGGTGTTTTCTTTTTTGGAAATAGGAACAATATAAGTTAATTGCCATATATATTGTTAGAATTGACTCCATTTGACTTTTTTATTTTATATAAAAATAATTTATAAATAGAGAAAAGCGATAATTATATTCATAAATTAGGCACAAAGACTATCAGCCACAAGGGCAAATACAAATGCCCACAAAGGGGTAATACAAATATGGAAGCATAGTAACCACATAGGGTTAATCTAGATACAAGCCACAAAAGCCCAGAGAAATTTCGTCATAAAAGTTGCATGCCTGAACAAACTAGACATGAATCACAGTGCCCAAATCTACCAATACAACTACATCTAACTCTCACAAGTACAAAATACAAGTAGAGATTAGAAAACAATCAAACACCCAACTCACAAGGAGTTGATGCAATTATTACAAAATAAGAAAACCGCAAACAAACAACCAAAAACCAACATAGCTACTACCACCGTTGTTGGTACCACCACAACAGACGTCGTCGTAGCCTTAGAGACAGAGAACACCACTGATATTGCAGCCAGTCACCTTACAACTAAAACACCAACCAATAAAACCACAAATTCAAGCAGATCTAGACACAAGTAACCTCTCCACAATTAAAACCCCAAATCCAGTAGATGAGGAAGGGGAAAATAAGTGGGGTTGGGAGGTAGGGAAAAGAGAGAGATGAAGAGAGGAGTGGCCTTCTCCCCCCTCTCCCCCCTTGGGCGCGTCGGGAACACATCAAAAGAGGTTTTGAGAGAGAGAAGGGAGAGGCTAGGGTTTAAAGAGTTGTTGACTCCATTCCCGAAGGAAGAATATGGGGCCCTAACTTTTATATTATTATTATTTTTTGGTATAATAAATTATAAAGGCTTAATTATGTACATGCCCCCTGTGCTTTTACGTTTTTCTCAGATTACCACCTGTGGTGGAAAACGTCTCAAAGTACCCCCCAACGTATAAATAACCGTCTCAATTTACCCCATCCGTCAAATTTTTTGACGGTCCGTTACGAACAGTGGGCCCCACTTCGTTTTAACCTTTAAGCTGTTCGAATAAGGGTTTCTCAGTTTGTAACAAAGGGGAAATTGGGTTTAGGGTTCATTGGAGAAGAGGGTTGTTGTCAAAATCTGAGGGTTCCTTCGATTTTGGGAGAAATTGGAGAAGAAATCATTCTTTGTAAAACTCTGAGGTGGAGTTTGAAATTGGAAGATTGTGGAGTAGAAGATTTGGGATGATGGAAACAGGAGAGAAGCAAGGAGAAGGAGGGCATGGCCAATGGTGTCATTGTGGGAAGTTAGCACGGATGCAGACTTCTTGGACCAGTTCAAACCCAGGGCGAAGATTTCTAGTCTGCCCAAAGTCAAAGGTAAGCATGTTTAAGATAAAATTTTCAGTCATTATTTTGGGCATCACAAATTGATAGAGTTGTTAGTGATGAAATTGTCAGTGATTGATGAAATTTTCAGTCATTTTACCACCCAAATTTTCAGTCATTGTTCTTGGTTATACAGGGAAGGGGAGA